CGAATTTTTCTGAAGCCCTAATGAATCCTCTCCAAAGCCCACCGGGACTCGCCAGGATGTATCCACGGAATTGATTGAGCGATGCTACGCGTCCATTGAGGATTATCCTGAGAGATATTCAGGAGCAGCACGCAAATGTAGAACGTCTTTACGAATGCGGCAGCCGTACGATGAAACCGCACGCGGCATGGGTTAAAATATACACGACCGTACAGTAACACGCACCAGAGGCTGCAGCCGTGGTTTCAGCGTGGCCTTGTCTGTCATTGAATTCGGGCCACGTCACGCGGATGGACTCGCAGCAATGACGCCAGCATATACAATTCATAATGGCATTCGAGTCTGCGACTTGTGTACCAGATATAAAAATATAGAGATCGAACTAACGAGGCGAAAGGACTGGTAAACTACGGAGATATGGAGCCCGCTGCATCAGTACGTTATTCGTCATTAGCATGAAGCGTAAGATGATCAAAGGTAGGTAAGGTAGGCTGACCGAAGTTACGTAGGCTGACGCGCGCTGCGTATGTTTTATATACGCATTCCCGTGTGTATATATACATATTATAACGTGATGCGTATAGACTTCCAATGCATATACGTTGTACGTACACGCGTAACCCAACCACGCATCATTACGTGTATCCGCATCCGTACTCCCACTTAACCTCGTCTTGCGCGAGGACACTACCGTACACTTATGTACTTACTTAAACAAGCTACTACGAGATGATTTGTTAGATGAATCTCCTGTGAGCTTAGTTTACCCACGTGGATGGTTCGATGGGACATACTTATTGGTGGTAGATATTTTTGTACAGGTAAGCAAACTGTCATTGGCTACGTTGTAAATTATCGATGAGCCATTTTCGGTATTACAGATCGATAGGCGCTCGCGCGGGGACTCTTGATTTTTTCTTGAAATGCCGAGAATCGAGATTTCGCCTGATAACAATTCCTAGTGCACGTGCAGTTTCTTTAATTGGAATGTTGATACCGCGCGAGACAACGTCCCGATAATGGCCGAATGACTTCGCACGAGTTCAGCCGTAAGCGTATACAGGCTACGGGGATCGTGAAGAAAAAAAATAATAATAATAGCAATCGGTCCGTGCTCTTAGCCTGGTCATAAATCGTCTTGCGGTTATCCAGTAAATTATTTCGCAGCTGGATAAAAATTCTCGCTGACCCGTAAAGCAGCGAGATATACGGCTATTAACGCAACAGCCCAGTTCCTAGGAGATTGGTATCGATGTGGAACACTCGAACAGCCCGATGCCTCCAATGGGGCATAATTATCAGGGATTCTGATCGCCGTTGCCCTAATATTCGTTAGGATTTTAAAGGCGTCCATCTGAATATCTGTAGCAGGTTTTTGTTATCGGAATATATTATACGCGTTATCGTTTGTGATGTAGAAATGGGATATCGCTGTGAAAACGACAAACATGTTTAACCAAGATGAGAACGTTCCTTTGGTGTTCCTCGATCTGCGCCATACGTGGGTGGAGATGAGTTTGAGCTTTCGAAGGCGACCCTCGAGGAACTACCGGATGACTTGCGATCCCCCCGCGACTCGGTTAGTGAGACTGCAACTATGATGCTACGTGTACGCACGGCTTAAACGATTTCACGTGACTTCAATTGAGTTCAGCCGAGCGACTTGCCGACTTGGGGCAGCGACTGTACGCAACGAATTCAAACACGGCTTTATGCATAGTACATACAAATCGTTAGCATAGCTTCCTGCACTGGGTTATTTATTAGATCCATGCGGTAACGGTTCGTGCCTTACCGCGCGTATCTTATTCTGTGTGAGTGCGCATGCGCGCTCTGATATGCCCATTGTTTGCAGCGCGCTTGGAAACGACCACGTGACACCTTACTACGTTACGCAATTTATTGAAGGAGGCTAATTTTCGGTATAAAAATTTTTTGAAAAATATTCCTCTCAACTTTCTTACACGTGTCCACATTACGGGTTCATTTTTTACTTGATTCACGAACCCATCTTCAATTCTTTATGGCTCTCTATTCCGTGCATCCTGCGGCCTTTAAGCGACAGGTGCAAACATATTTGGTTTGTAATAATGATAATACAAAAAGAAGAAGGCACGATAATTGCGGACCGAGAAAAAACCAGTTTGCTAAAAACAACCGGCCTATCTCGACCAAGTCAGCTACCGAATATGAATGCACGTCCTCGAGGGTGCTCAAACAAAGTTACTGGCAAAAGGTTGAACCAGCCGCGCGTCCTACCTGGTATTTTTGTTACTTCAGTGGCTCGAGCGGGGCGCCAGCAGTCGGAATTTAATTTTACACGTGGATTCTTACGGACGACTTGCGTCACGATTTGACTGAGGTCTCACATTGGTACATCGGTACCTGAGGTGGTACCTCGAGGTACCAATCTCATTGGGAACTGTCGAACGTCTCAAGAGGTACCGGGATACGATGTGAATACCCGGACCGGCAGCAGCTTTACAATGCAGGAGTTCTATTGTGGGTGAAATTACCTGTTGCGCGCACAAAGCTCATCTTACAACTGGTTTTTGTGGAAGTTGAAGAGAGCAAGAAGAGGAGAAATAAAAAGGAGGAAAGGAAAACGCAAGATAATGTTGCTGCGTGCATTCCAAGAAACGAATGGTTGGCACGGGTGACCAAGTGGCCACCACGGGGACGGCTAACCGTTAAGACATTAAGGTTTTGTTTCTCAAGAATATCTCACTGAAATATTCACCGATTCCTATGAACTATGAACGCGCTAATGGTAGAACGACGGAAAAACCGTAAACGGACCTGAACCGTGTACAGTCAGGAAAAAAAATTTTCATATCCGTAATTTCACGGATTAGATACGGCGATGGACATCCGTATCCGATGCAGGATTATTTTCTTGGCGGGAAAATCGAAATCATCCAAAAAAATGTGGACGATATATTGATTCTTGGAAGATCTAGGCTCCTACGTCGAAAAATCATCAAGGATTGGATTTATAAGGAGAAGAGTGGGTCCTCGTGTCGGTAAGAAGCTGTTTCATTCGTAGATCCTCGTACAAGCTCAGCCACTCGATTTTTTTGAACACGGAATCCACTGAGCATTTGTCGACACCGTTCAGGGCCAAAGAAATTATTTTCATGAGATCAGAAAAACAAAATAAGAGGGGTAAGATATAACAATGTTTAGGCGACCCATTGTGCAGGCATGAAAAATTGATGACTGAATCCTTTGGCCCTCCCTGGATAAACTCTATAAAAGCGGCTGTAGGTAATTGGGAGGTTGTGCGTCAATCACGTCCCTATTGATATACTTCTCATGAATTAGCAAACTAGCCGGGAACACTTGATTGACAGGTTGAAACGGTAGTTTGATTCCCGGTCATGATTGCCATACCCTGACCCGCCCCTATCATCAAGACGAGTGACCTTTTGATTACGCCGGGATCAGCTAAGGAAAGTATACATGGCTGTACGACCAAGGTGATGACTTATGAATCCCATAGACGACGACGGTACGAGAAATTAATATCACATCCAGTTAGCATTTCTGGCAGTCTAAAAGAAATTGTGAAAAGTATGAGAAATTCAAATTTTGCTAATTTATTTCGATGTAAAAAATTTTTGCAATTCCGTTCAATGAGTGTCTTTAAAAAGGCGATCGTAAGAATAAGAAAACAGTATGGGTCGCTGTTAGCCATGTATTCGCATGGAATGCCAATTGATAAAAATTGGAATACGGGTAAGCCCGAATACGTGAACGTATAGCAAAGCACGCATCTAAAAGACATTGTAGATTAGCCGACATTGCTTAATCCGTACGAGTCTACGATTACAGGGTCGATCAACGCCTGTAAAAAGTTCCCCATTGATATTCCTCGGACACATCAACTTTCCCTACGAGACTAATAGAAAGCACTCCGTAGAAGCCGACAAAGCCTAACGGGCACTTTGTCAACGGCCGACACCCTGGTAACACCGCTGGTGCAGAATTTGATGAAAACCCCATAGAAAGTGCACCAAGATCCCAGGATCCTCTAGGAGTCGCAGGACCCGAAGGTCTGGAAAGGCCGATGACCAAGGGTGTGACGTGAACCGGGCACGCTTCATCAGGAGATTCGTGCGCAGCATAACAACGTGATTCCTCATTCTGACAGCGGTGGGCATCGCGGCGCCAAGACCGAGAAAAACGCATCACGCTTCATCATCGCCGAGGATAAAAGTAAAAATAGTTGTGTTTACAGCCGCCGGCTTGACGCGTAAAAAGGTGTTGATGGCATACATATACCCGCTACGAAGTAAAGGGTGCTGGACCCGTGCATCTGGCGTACGTATACCTGCTGAACGTTGTACAATACTAGAACGTGGACATTGCTATGTAACAACGTAGATGCCTACACCAGTATTTATACCATAGAGTTTCTGTCGTCCAGTTGTACAATACACAGTGTATATACAGCCCATAGAAGAAAGCTCATACGAGCAGAGACGATACCATAGCCTGCACAGTCCCCGTTAAGGGGTCCCAGCGTGACGAGGCCCGACTCGTCCTTGTTGTGTGGACATCAGAGGGTGCTAACGTATTCAACGGATGTATTGTGACTGGATAACAAGAATTGCAGCCAATGCGCAGCATCGTGTTGGTTCATTATTTCGCCACGGTCGACGTATGACGGACGTGCATTGGTTATACCTCCGGGGTCCGTTCAAAGAAGATATTTAGCGGGGCCCTTGGTCGGATGTCTAATCGAGCAGGGAGTCGCTATGGTGTTACAACGCTATACAGATCACTCGAGGGATCTTTATCGAGGAGGTCACAATAGCCGTTCAAGAGCTTCTAAAGTTTTTTAATAATCATTCCCCATTGATTATCTGATAAAGGAATCTATTAAGCGCGATAGATGGATACAGACCTTTCACGGCTATCGATATTACTGTACAAGTGGAAGGCACAGGCTTTCCGTGATGCAACAAGTTCTTATCCTAGTCGTAGTAGAAACTCACCTCGCACCTGGAAGTATCCAGTATCTCTACCTCGGTTGTGACATTATCGATGGTGACGCTGTGTCGGTAAAGAAAATCTGCAACAAATAAAACGGCATTGAAGTGACAGTGTCAAATGAAAAGTCAGCTACTTGTGATATGTACACGTGAAACTGATAACTGTCAATCAATTGTGGTTGCCAAAATATGAAGTCCGAACACTGATAAAGGGACCGCGAATAAACGATAAGAGTGATTACTTCCCCGAACTTAACCTAAAAATTGTCCCGAGTGAAGTGACAGATTGACAGTACAGGAAGTGAATGCGACGAGTGAGTCGGCGCTTGAGCCAGAAAAATGGAATAGGAATATGAGAAGAGGAGGAAGACTCGAGCAGGAAGAAAGACGTAGCGGAGGAGCAAGAAGAGTAACACAAGAGCAAGAGAGGAGTCTCAGGACTGCAAGGGGAAACGGAGTGCGGTCATCGAAGAGAAAGAGAGAAAAAGAGAAAAGTAAGAAAGGACAGATACACGACACGGCAAGGGCGTGTTGCTCGCCGACTGTTCGTAATAATACGACATAAATTCTGGCCGGAGGCCGTCGTTGCGGTACTGGTACATTTTATCAAAACAATGCAGCCACGTGACGCTGCACTCCTCCGCACTCTCCGTCAGTGGTGCCAAATTGATCTTTTAACGAGGACACGAGCTCGGCCAGTCGCCCAATGAGATGCAAGGCTTCTCCACCCAGAAGTGTCTCGATACGTCAGCTTGCACCTTGTCCTTGAATTTTAATCGAATTCGGGTCGTTCCTCTACGTTACTTCTCTCCTTCCATCATGCCAGCATCCAACAATACTTTGGTCCTCACGGGTCCTCGCAGTACCGGCAATCGTTTATATCGCGTATGGCATACCTACGAGAGTACATACAAATACCTACTTACGGAGCGACGGTCCAGGCTGCAGCCATATATATATATATATATATATACATTTAACTACCCATACGCAACAGTTTACAGACTCCGTGGGCAGCGATGTGCGTGTAACATGTAAATTGCTTAAACGCTCGAGGGTCATGCAGGATATCGCGCGAAAACTCTTCGCCTCCTTAATGACTTACGTGCGCCATGGAAATTGGGACGAGGCAGGTACCTACCTACGTACCTAAAGACATATATGAATATGCGGTACGATTACGAGTCACGGTCAGAAGCACGTACTTCGTGTCTCGGTATAATCATCCGGCACAGAGGACCGAGTACTTGCTAGAGAACTGGAATAACGAGGGTCATCCAAATACTTGGAATTCTTTTGTGGTTATCGACGGAGTCGCGCAAAACTTCGTACGAGAGATAAAAATTTTTTAAACTTTTTTTTTCATATTTATTAAAACAAAATTATAGACGACGAGACACTACAAATTATACATGTATATAGATATATACGGTTATTCAGAACTATCGCACGACCTGCGGCTGGATCTGAACCTGCATGATCTCAGTAGGATCGATCGTGTGCAACATCTAAGAAGAAAATACGCGAATACCCTTAGTCCTACGGGATGGAAAAGTAGTCGTACATTAATTCCATTAGACGAGTCGGAACTATCAGTAGGTAGCTTTAAGTAGCTAGGTAATAGATGCAAGTGTGAAAGTACTAAACTAGATAGGACAATTTGAATTGGACGCGCTATCGTTCCAGCGACCGGGACCGCTCTGTCATTACGCTCTATCGTACAATAACAACTTTCGCTGCGTACAGCGTTCACGTTTATGATTTATGCTGTCCCGTGAGAACCCTGATATATCGAGAGCCTCTTCTACTTCTGCTTTTTACCTTGATTTTCATATTACACACAAGTACAGCCTGATGAATAGAATCGCGTGTAATAATAAATATAAAAGTAAAACAGGCGAATGTACATATTTAAACAGCTGACATCAGACTCTGGATTAATTCGTACCGCTTCTTGATACTGATACCGATATAAATAATTTTACAGCATCTTCCATCACTGAGAAAATTTAATTGAAACGGCTTCTTAACACTTTCGATCGACCTCACTGTAACTTCGAAAGCAAAATTCAACCAATGCGGAAGTTAATAAAACCGTATACAGCACCTACCCTTAACGAGCATAGAACCACGATAGGCCAGATGGTAAAGGCGCTCGAATCGAAGCATAAAAAAGAAACGAAATAAATAAATTCAGCGTATAATTCCGTTACGCTCGAAGAAAATTTTATTGCTGCGAACAATAATAATCCACAAGTAGAAAGTTCCTTTGCCAATAGAAATACATAATTCGAACTTTAACCCTCTTTCCCGTCAAATTCTAATCTGTTGGACTTTCGTACAATAGTCGCGGCATACAGTATATGGCATAGTGAAGTATCTTGAAAAGATTATATAATATACATACGTCCCTCGACGTTCACAAAATTAATCGATCCTTGAATTATCAATATATATATCTCGATACTCCTTAAGAGAAAGAGTGTTAAAAGAATTATATGAAAAATACAAAAACCCGTCCCTTAACGAGGACTGTATCTCAATGAGTGCAATCGTTAACGAATACAGGGCCTAATCGTCCCCTCTCTCGTGCGCATGCGCGCTCGCGCCTATCCGCGCCATTTTATTTAACGATCTTTAAAAATAACATTCCCTAAGCGGATAGCGCAGATTACGCACTGCACGGAACGCCGTTCCTGAACGGACTTACTAATGAACAGGAATCACACGAGTGATCGGTATCTTCGAGCGAGAATCGCAATGCCTAAATGGACATCGTGGTAAGCCGTCGTTGAGGCGTGACGTAACTGTTACTAATTCAAGAGTCTCCGGATACTTTCCCGACTAACAATCGGTATCCTCGCAGATACCGATCCAATAACTTTCAATACCCATCATTGGGGATGAGTTTTCCGAAAAATTATACCCAGTGAAAGTGCGTTTTGCCTGTGAAACTTTACGCGGCAATTTCGAAAATCGTTAACGCAGTTACTCCCGTTGTTGCAGTCGGAGCACTTGCGGGCAATTTCAGCCGAGTATTATCCTTTGGATTATTTCCTAGAGAATTTTCATCCGGTACGTTAGTACGATGCTGACAATTTATTGCCTTTTCTTGGATCCTCGTCACAACGCAGATGGCGCACCGGTCGCTCGGGCAATCGCGTCACAATGCAAAGTTCGCTTTCTAAATCATTACCTAGAGTTATTCCACGCAGTAAGTGGAGATGGGAGAAATTTGCATTGTTAATCGGGATCGAAATAATAATAGTCCTGTCCACCCTGGGCATTATGCTCGGTCGCGGAGATGGAAAGATCCGATCCTTCGTCTACTGGCGAACTAAGTATAGACGTGGAGAGCAGAGAACTGCAACTTTGCGTAATCAGGGAGATCGCGTTTCACTATTTGCTCGTCTTTTCCTCAATTACCAAGAGAATCGTATACGAGAGACGACAAAAAGCTCCACGTGAAATGAAAAATAGTTTCGTTCATTTTTAGAAAAATAATCAGCAAATTGATCCCTCGGTAAATACGAGATATTGTAAATTAAAAATCGTATACAACTGGTAGTCTTACTATGTTTACCAGCTGGGAAAAAGATACGAATAAAGTATGGGCAGACAGTGTACATGCATACAACGAGGAAAAGCTATAAAATTTATCGGAAAAAGTATGTATGACGAAAGTATACCATACTCACGTGCTACCATTTAAATCTACGTATGGACCAAACGTGAGAAGTATGGAAAGGATTATAGAAAAAAAAAAAAAAACCAAAAGCAGTACGAAAGGATATCAAGCTTCATCTTACGAAGCATATGAATTATTATTATATTATTTTTTTATTTTTCGTATCACACGGTCAATCCTTTATAAGTGTCCAGTATCCTCGTGGCCTGTTACGGATTCTTCTCACGAGAAAAAGAAAAGAAAAAAAAAAAGCAGATTCAAATATTTCCCGCTTTTAACATTGAAAATTGATTAAGCTATTACGCCCCGGTAATATCTTGGCCACGCAAGATTACCAACATCCTGGCTACGTACAAGAGCTATTATGTGTAATCTTTACGAGAGATCAATTAATAGGCGTTCTTGAGCCATGAAATTCCCAACACCCTACGGTGTCGTCCACCTTCGCAAATAACTCGAATCCCCATTAATATAAATAAGCAATACGTCAAATTGACGTTCATCCGTGTAAATCCGTGCAAAGATAGTTATCTACGATCTAGAAAGACACGTATCCGATTCACTCCTTTGATTCCTTCCCAAGACCACAATGAGTTGCATTGTCGAATAAGAAACGAGCAAATCATATGAAACTATGTTTTATCGCGTCCGATTCTCGACGTTTCTATAACGAGCAGTGTCATATCATAAATCGGCGACGGGCACCTGTTTTCCAAGTATAAGAATAGAGGGTCTCGCGTGGTTATCGTCTACACACCGCTGGGCTTTGTATATCCACAGGCGTGTAGCAATTATTATGGCAAGGTAGCCCCCGCATGAGTTATGAGAGAGATCTGCATTCTGCATTCTACATTCTGCGGGCCTTCCTCCGGGCTCTGTTTCATATCGACTCTTTAAATCTCCGCCCTCGGAGCGTTGCCTAGGATGTATCTGCATCCGTTAGAAAGCCACCCACCATAGCCAAACGATGTTCGCTCTTGGACTTGGGCGAATCGCCTATCGCGTGAAACGCATGCGTGCGCCACGTATAATCTCTACGCTCTTCCAATGGAACAATCGTGCGAGGAATTGATGCGGGAAGAGGTGAGAGGTGATAAAAATAGGACAGGATTTGAAAAGAAAAAAATATTGGAAAACATGGGATCGAATAGCCTAGATTCTCCATCGTGGATGTAGGAGACAATACACGGGTGGCCCGATGGAATTTTTCTGGGCACCTCGTTGTTTTTACCCCTTATGGACATGCGTGGCTACGCATCTTCCTGACTGGCCGTACGCCGCTAACACGATCCCGACTACTTAGCCTTAAGGAAACTAGAACTTGGTACGTGGAGACTAGATAATATTATATATGGTAGCCTGGGTTACCGGTCTTCCAAGAATTGGAAATGACACGCGGAGGAAACGCACGCGATTTTTTATACTCCTTGTCGTTCGCATATAAATATTTTATTTTAGCGTCGTTAATCGGAAAATTAATATCTCTCCTCGAATCATCGTACAGCAGTAAGCATCTCTGGCGGTTTTTTTTCTGTATATCACTCATTCAGCGAGATACGTTTGTTGGTACGAGTTCGAGGAAACCCAATCTTCGATATCAAATAATCTTTTGTAAAGCATCAGTGACCTATATTTATTTTTTGAAAATATCAACGCTTCCTTTTTCTTCGATAATTTACCAAAAACTCAATGATATTGTGTTAATCGTTTACGTCAAATATTCAAAATAAATTTATCAATTTCTTAACATTCTTAGCTACGTAATGATTCTTCCATCTACCGTGTACCGTGTGCATGTAACTTGCATCCAAAAAAGAAGACCGACAACGTGGAAAACCTTACAGATGCAAAGAAAGCGTTCAAGTATAATTCCAGGCATAGAACGAGGAATGAGAAATAATAAAATAAAAGCGTAGAAGGGTTCCATTATTTTTCATCGGGATACGCCACTCGCGAGACCCTTTCACGCCGGAGAAACGTCTAATCGCCGCTGATGAGTCTCGATTTGATTATCCTACCGTATTTCACGGCAAGAAACCGCAGTCTCATAGTATCTGTACGCATCCAGTTCTTCTGAAGTTTCTTCTGCTCGTGTCTTTTTACCTTTATTTATACCCATTTTCTTTCTGGCTCTGCTCTCCTTCCATTGTTCCTCTACCACCGCTGCGATAATAAATCCTGCGAAGGTCACGCTCCAAATTTTACGATAGCCACGTAAACCCACGAATTTTCATAGTTCGATGCTACAAAGTAAGGCTTACAAGAAAAAAAGCTTCTACGATAACCTGCTAATTGGCTCTTTTGACAATATAAAAACTATCTTATCCACTGCTAATTCAAATCAGCTTGTAAAGTTCAAATTTTAGGATTTACCAATTTTAGGAGTACCAAGAAAAAAAACAAAAGGCTCGAGCATCGAGATGAGATCAATATACAAAAACTACTTTTAGCAAGACTGCAATTTGATCGGAAAATTGAGTAATCGTTAAGGTAGAATTTTCGGATACAATTGAGGACGAGGGTTGAAGATGCACATGAGATAAATAAAAATGGCAAAAATATAAAAACACTAAAACTACTTACCACTGGTAGAGCTGTATTCGCCTATATAACGTCGCGTGAGGTATCGCACGACTACGGCTGTAACAAAAAAAAAGAAAAAAATTATACCAATGAAACGAAGAACAAATTAATATTTGTACCTTTGCGTCTCGATTACGCAGTAAGGATCTTCCGATTAGTTCGATAACGAAACGCCTGAGTACTTGAGGATCCGTGAAAGAGGATCATAAATGTATCTGGTTAATGAAGTAACCCTAACCGAATGTATCCAAGATGAATTCAATTAATCACTCGAAAATAATCTATCGTCGTTTATTATTATTATATTCCGATTCCTATAGAACCCTCGTTACGGGCTGCCTACCGTGTACATATATGTGCTGCTTTCTTCGTAATACAGCAGATCGCGTGCTACCAGCACGAAAACACCTGTTAACGCTACCGACTACGTGCTGAAGAGGCTGATGGTATATCATGAATAATTAGCACGCTTTTCCCGTCTCCGATTGCTAATTGCTATCGATAAATTTGACAGGTAGTCGCAGCCGTTAGAAAGTACTTGGATTTGCATGCGTTATTCATTTGCACCTCGTTAACTTACCTCATCTCGCGGCAAATTCAGCGGTTAATGGGCTCTCTTTACGATTTCGTTAAATTTACATGAACCAGTCAACTCAGTATACACATATATACATATATAATCGCCTGTTCATTTTCACTTTGTCATAAAAAATTTGGAATCCTAAAGTCATGGCTAGAATTGACAAGAGTAGCTTTGATACTACACGACGTATAATAAAAGACGCTACTATTTCGATACTGACGGCCCACAGAATCTTGTATACATACAAATCTATTGTAAGAGCGCCGGATAATCAGAACCGATCTCATAATAATAAAGTTAAGAGATTCAATTAGTATTGTGTCGTAATACTCATACGTAAGAACCTCAGTAACACAGTGCAGATGCTATAGTGTAAGCAGCGTTGAGCTTTTCTACGTAATTATATACGAAGACTCAGCAGTCTAGTAGTACGAGACACTGAAGTTAACATTAAATACAATTTTTCTGTTCGACCTAAATATTCAAATTTCGCGGGTAAGTATTCTCGTGATGAGGCATAGAGTTACCCATTGAATAGGCTTGGAAACTCGTACGAACTATGATTATGTAGTATAAAAATATTGGCCAAAGGGTCCACCTCCTGTCGACGAGCTGCCAGTCCTATCTTATGCACGTATAGCTGCACGAGGAATCTCTCCATGCTGCACCGCACACGCTTCTTCGCGAGCGCCGCACCGCGTTCAGATTGAACCCTGCAATTTGGCGCGCCACGATTGCACCACCACGTTCCCTTATCGATCCGTAATTACATACCGTAACATTCTAACACCTCAAAAATAGAGACTCGATCCGATTGCGAGTGCCCGGCAGGTGTTTATCCATTCGGCGATGATTTTTCCTACCCCAAGACGAGAATCATCAGGTATCATATAGAGAGGATAAAGCATACAGCAAATCCTATATTACCAAGACTCTGGATTGCGATAAATCTAACAGTGGATCGTCTATGAAATTTATTATAAGCACAGCCAGGAGGTCAATCTGATTGGGTATTGAGAACCCTGCCAATTTACGCTACGATCTGGAAGTCTCCTTTTTTCCTAACGGTACACCAAAAATTATACCGATCTTAACGAGGTCAATATTATTCTCGCTGTTTGATCTGGCCAGGTCTATAAGTTATCGGCATGAGATGAAATTCAAGAATCCTCTGACGATAAGTCCTAACCCACGACAGGACGCTGTTGACAGATATCGCTTTAAGGTTCTGACTGGTTCCATTACTTGCTACTTGGAAACTTATTTTCCATTAGCGCATCGTCACGTCCTGTCACGTACGTCAGGATGCTAGAGAACTCATGCAAATCCTGCACGAGATTCTTCGTTCGTCCACTAGTAAAATCCTGAGAGATACGTCAAACGTCTTGAAATACCGTTAAAGACTTGGAAGAGCGTTCCACAGTCGAGTGTACATAATATATATATACGTAAATAAGTATATGGATACACATAGTCGTTGCTCAATCGCTGAGGAAGAAGAAGAGGCGAAAACGGTCTTTCCGGAGAAATCATCGAGTAGCGCGAATCGGATCGTGAATTAGCATACCTGCCCGTCTATATTTTCAATGTGACGTACTAACCACGACGTTACGTACAACGCTCTCGATGTCTAACGGAACTCTTGTAATAGCTACCAGCCATACGTACAAGTATCTACTAACCTCCCTATCCGCTCCCACCTACCAACCTTCCTATCTACTTCCCTACCTACCTACCTACCAGATGCACTCATCAGACCATAAAAAAAGTTGTATCGAGTAGACGGCGCGATGCTCCTTGCGCTTTAAAAGATATTTACGAAGGCTTCACTCTCTTACCGGAGTAGCCATGGCTGTTATACGTCGACGCTCCGTAGCTAACCTAGCGACAAATTTATGAACTTCATTCTACAGGTACCTGTGCATAACGACACGTATATATATGTCTCTCCTAAATGAACCGATGCTATGTGTATCGGGCTTCGGGACGTACAAGACCTCGCATATCGCGAAGAATTCGTTTGGCGAGAGGTTACGCTTGGCTGGTCGCTATGCTTTTTCACTGATTGGTCGTGCTCGTAATTACTATTTTCTTACCAACACTGTTATCTGGCATCTATCTATAGAGGGATAGTACTTTGAGTATCCCCATTGCAAGTCGCGGTATGCCGGCCACCACGCGATGGTAGGTTAGATACCTCATGGTACTTGCCCTTCTCGATACTGTACGAAGGATCACAAGCATCTGACTGACCTAATCAATTTTTTTTTACACAGATCAGTTATGAAACTCGATGTTTACTTTTTGATCGCGGTCGAAGTTACCATCGTGAAATTATGCGATCTTATGACTCTCAATGTTTTGCGACTGTTGGGCGGTCGTTAAGTGTCCTATGCACTATACGATAAGGTGTAAGAGATGTGATATTTGAAAACAAAAATTTTTTGAAAACTTACAAGGCAATCTACGGGCACTTTACACGACGTACTGATGAATGATGACGGAGTAATTTTCATCCGACACGTAATAACTTTCTCATAATTAATTTAATTACAATTGCAATAAGTTTTATCCTGGCACTCGATCATTTTATGTATTCCTGTTTGACTTTTGGTTCTTATAGGTGCATTAAGGTATCTCAAATAAAGCAATGTAACCGAGGAAGCTTGAAGCCTCTGGCAACGGTGAATTCAGGCTGCGATAATAAATCGTCAGAAATTACTGATTCATTCCGCATAAGGATGTGTTCGTGCATATATAGGTGTCAATATATATATATATATATATATATATATATACACCTTCGTGTAAATATATATGTATATATTAATATAGGAGTATTTGATTGTTTATAATGGGTATTAGACCCACGCATTTATGTGCTTTAAGAAACGAGTCTTTGTACCTCGACGATCGGGTGCTTTTCATGGCAGATTTGGTACTAATCAATGTCAAGGAGTTTATCGGAAAAACCTTGGAAGATGATGCCGGCCATACATGACACGCGGAGAAGAAGCACTGACGAGGAAAAGGGAAGTTCAAGGGACGTGACGGCAATAAGATCGGAGAATAAGCGCGGAGTAAAGACGATGTAACATTTTGTATACATTAGCCCGTATTCACAACTCGCTCTTAAAGTCAGTAACAGAGTCACTTGTAGTTAAAAGTCACTAAGAAAATATTTAAAAGCGCGCTATTAGCACTAAAAGCGAGTTCTGAATACGGGCTATCGTGTGTATATCTTCCTCTCCTTCATATTAATGAAAATTTTGCCTTAAGTTTTAATATTTCAGTAATGCGTATAGTATTCCATTTTCAATCGTATCACATAATCCGTATGACTAATTTTGAGTAATAAAAATATTTGATGCATTAAAAAAAAAGAAGATTTTTCATTCAATAAAAATGGACTTTTAAACATTAAAAAATAACGACTTTTCATGTCGCCAAATTAAATATTTTATTTTAATTAATTATTATTACTTTTTTTATAGTATAGAATCTATAATCGAATCCCTCACTCTCGCTCTCTCCTGTTGCTTCCTTCTCTTGAGCAGTCTGCGAAATCCAGTCCGAAGTAAAATCCGACCCAAAGAACTTGGAGAACTCAGAAGACACTCACGTTACCATATTCGCCACACTCTGTGAATTCTCTCAATACGCTAATTAGTAGAATAATTAAAGGCGCACGACAACTCGTTAAGTTTTTAAAACGGTTCGACAGTGCCGCAACCTCATTTCGTTCTTTGGCCTTTCGAACCGGCGTGCCGTGGAAGTACGACTGGTTACAAAGGTAGAACCTGCTAGCCGGAAACGCTTCTTGAACCAGAGGTCACTGGGTTCTACTTATAAAATCATTGAAAAGCTAATCGGCGCTTCAATTATTCTCACCTCATAAATTCCCTATAAGTGATAAGACGAGCCAATCGTACGTAGTAACGAACCTGCCAATTGTAGCAATGAACATTTCTGTCTTTCCTTAACGACCGTACATTATCGGGAACGAGAAGCAACGAATCTCCTCACGACTTTTCACTGTCAGTGCTCCTTGCTGAATATACTTTTGCAGCTGACCAATAAAACGCCTCCCCATTAGCCCCAAATGAATTTATGGTGAACGCTAGAAGCTTATACGTCCTTATCGACCATTCAATTGTACCTCAAATAGGCTCTAACGGAGATAAATTGCGCGAGCAATATAATCATATTTCGACTATCGCAAATAGCCACTCCAATGTCGCTGATGCGTATTTACATCGCGCCGACATGGCTGACACTTTCGTTCCCGTCGATCGATATGCTGAACTTGTCAAGGGGAGCAAGGAGACGTCCGTTGCAAAACTTATAGAACTATTTACAATTATGTAACGTTCCCGTAACGCGAGTTGGACAAATGAAACTTTCGTGACTGCCGTCGACGTAAATAAATATTTACGCAAGACCAGTGTGTTGCGCTCAGCTTGAGAACGAAGGATGCCGAGGTGCAATACGGCGAATTGAAAACAGTTATTGGAACAGTAACGTGATGCGCTGTCGCAATTGAATTTATTGTTCATTCATATTCTCGGACGTTTACCAAATTATTCATCACGAGGGACACCATGACTTATATTTTCTCGTTCTAGGGATTCAATTGACCGATTTAGAAAGTTTGGCTTGAAGCACATCCAGATGTCACTACGGTCTTATCTTGTGCATTCGTACTAAGCAAGATATTTATGTACACGATTGCAATACTCTGATTTGTATAGTCCCACTCTATGGTCTGACAGATACTGCACTGTTTTTGAATCTTGTAAACTTAGCTCGAGCACCCTTCTATGGGTTGAGGGTAAATCCGTTTTTAGCTTGCCAGTAGACAGCGAGGGGTACGAAAATGAAGTTTGCCCCGTGTGGCATTATGAAAGTATTTTTGCGCGTCAAATTTTGTATTTTAATAAATTTCGACCAATTTGCACTGTAATTATAATCCAATCAACAGCCCGCGTGAGCGTAGACGTGTGGTCAGACTTTGTGTACTCAAAAAATAATTGCTACGGTCCAGTGCTAATTGCAGAAATTAATATGAACGACACACGAAAAATACTCCAAGAGACTAACAATAAGACGAATTTGCTACCGACTGTTGACCCTAACTGGTCGACTTCTCTAAGCGTTTCATAAAGGCCCACGTGGGGTATTCGAAAACCCCAAATTACTTTTGTCTTTCACCCACCCTCTAATCAGCTGTTAATAACTAATTAATGTTCGTAATTTGTTAATAATGAAAATGTTTATCATGAAATATAACATTTGTTATCATTCCCAGTAATCCATCATAGAAACAACTAGGCGAGACGTAACATGTCAATTTAATTCTTTTAAAAATTCACTAGGACTTCTGGTTCCCCACGTAGACCAGCTAGGATTAAGTACGGCGGAATTTTCGTCTTAATGCAAGATTCCATACGGATATCAGATGTCCTCATCTACCTCTGTCTACCTGCTACGAGGTAACTTCGAAGTACTACGTTAACCAAGCACTATACCACCTTTGTGATACTCGATAGCCACTTCGGAGGTCCTTATTATTATAGTCGGGAGAACCAGAGATCCCATGACTTTTACGGATTCCTACGACGTACACGATACATTTTTTTTTTTCGATACGGCTCGTTCCCATTATGGAAGAAAAATAGCCGCGTGAGAATTTACACCGAGTAGAAGAAAACTTGGGTATAGCAGTACTGCAGTCAAAATTCAGTATGCATCGGTATGACGAAGAAACGAAAAAAATCTTTATACAAAAATACTTACTGAGAATACACGTGAATAGAGTTATAAAGTTAAATCCTTTACGATGATTATGCTGATATACCGTAAGATAAAAGTATATTACAAGCGTACTATAAACCTGGAGTGCATCTGCACGCGCACTCATTTTTCGTTTGCCTACGCTTTAGCAACGTGTGTTTATCGAGTTAATGTATACGCTATATTACGCCTTAGGCTATGGGTGTCCGTCTCAATACTCCTTACATTAAATTCGACCTTGCACCACAAAGGAGTCGCTCGATGGAAGTTATACGTAGATATATACATAGATATATCGTCCATCAAGGCATCTACTAAATATCTCATTTTTCGAAAGAAACAACCGACCTATACAACAGCTCGTACCGTCCCGTCTATTATCTGAGGACTCTTCTGTCTTTCATCCTTCCTCGTGGCTCGACAGAGTTCAATGACTCCTTTTGCCAGGAGATTCCGTCATTTTCGTCTTGTTCAACGATCGACAATACGATACACAGAGCTATTTACATATTCCCCTGTTCGAATCAGATCTCAAATGGGTCTTTGACCCAAACCGTCACGTCAAACACGTTGTACGTACTCTATTAAAAAAAAAGTAGGGATACCGTAGGTCGTCTATACGAGATAGTGTTAATTCTAATTAAAAAGGCTAAACTGCAGAATACGACTCCTTCTTGAAGTTAGTTGTGGATCGTTTACTTTTTCAACATGAAATTCTTCGAGGAGTCTATTTTGAAGTTTTACCAAATAATAATAAGAAAAATATGGTACCATAGTACAAGTATACTAACCAGACTTGCCGACTCTGGGGCCGCCGAGGACGACCACCCTGATCCTGTTGACGTTTGTCATCGGCCGGCGATGCGACTGTTAAGTGTCGTTGGATTCTTCCGCGCACATTATATCTTCGAGTCCTTTGTCGATTCACGCATCAGTTTTATGGTTTGACGCTTATTTTATACGTTTAACCCTCCCGGGTAAATCGTTCCGTCTATCACATTCGCGTGAATCACTTGAGCAACGATAGAAAATGGTTCTGTTCTATACTGATTTATTGATAGAGTAAGAGAGAAGAAGAGAGAGAGGGAGAAATGCCGCCGACCCAGTTATGTTCAGAGATCAGAAAAGTTTCTGTCAACTGGAAATCCGACCGCAGGCTATTTAACGCGCACTTGCGAATACACTTACGATTTTTCGTGTCCCTTGCTTGAAAATGCCGACGAGGATGATCGTGTCTGTGGGTGTCTCACTGGGGACATTACCGACCCTCTTTCTTCCCGACAAAGAAGTCACGATTGCCAACCGCTTTATAATTATTTCAAGCGACTCCCCAACTAAATTATAAGTTCCTTATTCCCGGCGTATTCTTCTCTCCGTAACGTTCCTTTAATCACAGGCGCTTCTAGTATTCACGTCTTTCTGTTACTTTTTCTATTATATCCCCATAGGAAATAAACACAACACTCTCGAACTTGCGGAAGGTTCGCAAGAATGGCAACGCGCAAGAGGATACGTACACGATTAGTATTTTACTACACGATTCGCGGTTACGTCTTCGAACACTCATTGATATTTATTTGCAATTCCAATGCTTATAAGCAATCCCAGTTACACGAGAGAGTATATAAAGGTGATTTAACAATACGTTTTAAAATGAAGATGGTAAAAGTCAAGCAGAGTCCCATTATTCCATATTCAATGTAGAGCGTATTCACTGTAACTGAGATAGGAGCTATATCTTATGACCGTATAAAAAATGGACAACACGCTTCGACGACTCAATAAACGTAAAGACACTATTGCGTAAGTTGGCTCGTGACACGAAGGAGGAATTCTAAACGTGCGAAGCGTCCAGATGATCGCGGGTCCGTTTAGAGTCCCATATATCAACACACGATTAACTCCTATTTTAATCCTTTCTTTGTACTTTAGCAATTGATCCTAATTAATATCGAAAATCCAGGACGTTTGGCAACTTTTCCAGGAGCAACGGAAACTGGTTGCCTGAAGTATATTTAGCACGTATCCTGCTGTCGAAGTCGCGAGAGGCGCCAGTCCAGACTAACTCTTTGAGTTCGCTCTCTTCACTGAACTGTACTTCACTAAGCTGCTTCACTTTCTCTGCATCCCACAGGCTGCCTTCAAGACTGCAGACAGGAGAATGATCATCGTAGTGGTGGCGTTACCGATGCTGATGGTAAAGTGATGTTAGTGCGGCGATGGTGGTATAGGTGGTGCTGACGGAGGAGAGCAGCAGATGCACTGGCACGTTGACACGCGAGACAGCAATGGAGGGAGCCAAGACGGACACGCCGGTAACGCTGGCAATAATAATTTCAGAAATGTCACTTTACTAGTTCCATTCAGGGGCTTCGCTCCGCGCCATGGCGCCGGCTCCCTTCGATTTACCGCGATCTTCCGCATATCGTGATATATCTTGCCGACTTGGAAAGCCTGTCCTTGCATATGGGATAAAGACATAGTGTTTGGCCTTTCGCGATCGTAACACGGTTTCAAGTTCAAGGATTTTGCTAGGATATAAACAGTTATATATTATGATGGCAAATAATAGCTTTTAGTATTAAAAAATATATTTTTTGACAGTTAATGCAAGTAGATATGAAATTTCGATCCTTTTTTTGGAATTTCTTAGGGAATTTTACAAAGCACGTGCGATCGTCTGAATGAGGTTGGTAAACCGAAGAGAAACGGAGCATGGCGACGTATTAATAGCATCGCTTATTTATTACAAAGTATGTCCGGTTATACGCATATATGCGGAACGAGCAGTCAACATTTCTCCGCGAGACTCTTGTATGAAAAATCATTGGCCCTTCATATACCGGAAACCCAGATGCGTACAATAGTTTTGATAAATATGAAATACCAAGCCTTTGATACTATAGTGTCAGAGCAACGAAAAAGAACGCTTGTTAGCATTTAATAATTTAGGTACTGATATTTATCAAGTGAATTAAACTTATAATTTTATGAAAATAATTATTAATCACGTATATAATTAAAAAGTACCATACGTCATTGAGTCTCTCGTATCCTCCAACTGTTCAATTGCTCGCTCGTAAACTACAAACGAAGAAGACTTACCTTCAAAGCGATCTCTCGACAACGAGCTTCCGGCAGCTCGACAATTTCCTTATTGCGAGTTAATCACATAACAGTTTTCACCTCTTGGAGCTAATACATTTATGTATCACTCTTCAAATTCTCCCGATTTTCCGAATCGGAACAATTGTACACAGCAGAAAAATGCACCAATAGACTCGCATATCACAGAAATCCTTCCATTTCTTTAAAATATTATAACGGTTGCTTTTGTCTGACAATACCACACCTTGAGATTATCGATATCGCGAAATACACTCAGTTTATTGTTATCTCAAACTTGGGAATATGGGAAAGATAGTCTCGCGAAACTTTGCCGTAAGTTTAAAAGGCTTCACGAGTACGGATCGTCTCAGTGAAGCAATAATCGCTCCACTCTCGTTGAGCGCTCACCGGCGAATGTTCGTATTCGAGCGCGCGCTCTGTCTAATATGCACTACCGGCTACACCGGCTTTACTCGCAAGTCTGCTCTACACTACAAAGTGTTTGTTGTGTTAACGGCGAGTCCAATGCACATGTAAATACGTGCATGGTTGCATTCGCGGCGACGGTGTGGGATAAAATGTCTCCTACAGCCTAGAATTAAAGGGATATATAATTGTTCTTGTTCTTTTTTAACATCCGATCGATAATTTAATACGGAATAACTTCTGGAAAAATATCAAATGGCCATGTGTTATTGATATAATTTTTAAAACCTATGTATCTTTTTAAAACACTGCCATTAATTTTTTAAGAACTCGAATCTTAAGGATTGCATGTCAATGCAGCTTTTACCTACGAGGAAAAGTGCCTTGTGCGCACAATAGCTCGTATTCAATCATCCCTTTGAGTGACACAGTTTAATCATAAGAGTAATTCACATATTCTATATAATCCTCTATATTTTGGGGGCTGCTGGTAGCGAATCTGAGGTCAAAATGGTAAAATACAACATAGTAAATCTAAAAGGACGACCGTAAGGTTTGATAATTCTTTAGATTCGCTTGACACTTATTACTTATGGATTGTTGAGGTAGCTAATTATGAAAGTGGCATCAGTTTTTCGAAATTTAAATTTATAATTTAAAAAAAAAATACGAGACATTGCGTTTTAGAAATCAAATAGATTTTTATTCTATTAATACAATTTGAATTTTTTGAAAATAAATTGTGTCTAACAAAAAGATAGACGTGCCAACAATTTTGCAAAAAAATATATTTTGTAAACTATAATGTTCTGAACACGTTAAAAAGGTAATTACATATTTTCGTTCAATAGTTTTTCAAGAGTAGAATTACACGTCAAAAAAGTACCTTTTGTAACAGTAGACTCTTTATAAATAAAATAAATATACAAGTTTGGACCAAAATTGTTAAGAAATGTTAAATTAAAGTTTTACGAAACCTAAACAAAAAACCAAACCTATTTTCAAGAAATCTATGATAAATTACTGAAAAATTGAATAAGAAAAAGGATTGCATATATATGACACTGTGATTCTAAGAATTAAATTAATATTCACGGTTTAACGGAAAAGTGTATCATGGGGTAAATTTCACTAATGAATTCTTGGAATTGCTATACGAGCAATGAAAACATTGTACTTATCGTGGATATAATAAAACATGTCATTAGAATATACTCTACTATCCTTTATTCCCTTGTAATAATGCTAATTAAAAAACGCACAATATGTCAAAATCACCCCGAGTGACGTTTCTGAACGCACTATGATATGGAGGATATAGAGAACATCCGTGTTTTGTGAAACGGTGATCAGTGAAAATTCCTGAATCGAGATTTAAGGGTTCAGACAAATGATAACTTAGACATTTTCCGTGTTTTATTCTACAAAACTGTTTTACTTAACTTTTGTATTGCATAAAGCTTCTATGTTTTGTAGAAGTTCCTCTAGATGGCAGCAGCTCAAGGCATTCAGAACCTGCAGTCTATGCACTGATATTCTGTGTTATCCAAGGAACGTGCACATGCATCTGCAAAATGCGTACACAGTGCAACTTAGCAATTGTTTACGATTATAGAATCTTTCCTGAATTAAACATTATATATTCTCAATACTAATAGGATGTAGAAGCGAAAAAAATGATATAATAAATATATCCCACCATAGATTATTAAAAAATGTTTATCGAAGATCATAATGACAAAATTACTGGCTATACTGCAAGACCATGTGTGAATATTTTTACAATTTATCTCCGACGAATTTTTTAAATAAAGAAGGTTTCAAGGATTATAAAGTGTTATTCAGAGGTATTGTAATAATTGAGATTAGCCCATCCAACTGATTTCTATGGTAGAACAACCTTTAAAGTTCTGCAAGCTTCCAGAATAACCCTGTATAAGATTAAACGGTAGGGTTTTAGTGTTTCTAATTTGACATGGAAGCTTCACATTGGATAGTAGATGTCAGGTGATATACGCGTATCCATAGCAACGCTTGTAATCAAAATCCGAAAAAAGAATCGGGTTATAAAACTAGCATCCAAGGTGGATTTGCTGAATATTTTCATTGATCATGAGCAACGAAAATAGTGGCTACGTTTCAACATCGAACAAAAATGAAAAGAAATCGTTACTAGAGCGCTTTGACATTCCTGTAGAACACCTTTCTTACGAATACATTTCGGCGTGCGTAAATGATAAAGAATTGGAGCGGATAACTTTAGTACTGAGGCAAGTATACACCCTCCATATTACATATGCTCTTAATATTTTATTATATTATTGAATCACGTAGATCCGGTGAGGAAGGTGTTTATCCAGACTTAACAAAGCACGCAGAAGAGAGACTTGCATTAGTGAAGCCTGACAGTAAAGTCTTACGTGTGGAAGAACCAGTAATTATTCGGAACATGCTGGAGATTGAAACACGCGAAGAGATTGAAAACGATATTGACAGTTGGACGCGAGACATGCATCACAAAGAAAAGGAATTAAACGTTGAAAAAACTTCATTAATTACCGATGATCCAATTCCGGAACCTGCAATCAGACAAATCAATGTTGCAGGAAAGGAAAGGGTACGATTTCTGGTATTAATAATAATGCAAAACTTTCTTATGATTTTTTTTTCATGTTTCTCTTTAATACAATTCACTACTCAATATTCATCAGAAAATCACGCAATCAGTGCAACGACTTAGTAAAGAAAACCGATTGGCATCATGCGATTATGAGGGATGGGAAAAGTATGATGTCGATACTGAACTGACTCGCATGGATTTAAACGAAGAATGCCGACGAGCTGAAATTAAAAGAGATCAACAAAGCCAAAAGGAAACCGAAGAGAGGGCAAGGAAAGTCTCCAAGGAAGTAGAAATTAATAAATGTAAGTTTTCAACGGGACGGCTTCATTACTTTGTACAGAACATTAAAGTATACCTAATGGTATTTCATAACAGTGTCATTAACGCAAACTGAACTGAAAATAATGGCTGAACAAGAAAAAGAAAAAGGAAATGAAGCTTTTAAAATTGGCGATTACGACGAGGCATTACGACTTTACAATTCCAGTATCTACATAGAACCTACCATTAGCGCTTATAACAATTTAGCAATCACTTGTAAGGCTCTATATTAAGATTTTTCTTTATATAAAAACAAGTATTAGCTATCTACCGGATTTAATGATTTTACACCAGATATTAAACTGTCGAGATACGACGATGCAGTTAGAGAATGTAACAGAGTACTTTGTATGGAGTATATGAATATCAAAGCACTTCTTCGTCGTGCGCTGGCTTCGGAGTATCTAAAAAAGAAATCACAGGTATTTTATCTGAAACATAAAAATGCAAATAACTTAATCTCAGTATTTTGCGCTTTTTCTTAAACCAAATATGTTCTTTATGTCTGTTATGTGCGAAAGGCTTTGGCAGACTATGAGGCGGTCTTAATATTGGAACCAGTAAATAAAGTAGCTATTGCTGCAATCAACAGACTAAGAGAAGCATGCGATTCGAAAGGAGTGAGGTAATATATCAAATATTTTGATAGATTTATATCCGACGTACATTATTTAGGTATGAACAAAAATGGATTTGTTGCTTGCAGAATGAAAATTAAGGAAGAAAGTGACGATAAAGGAAATACGGAAGTGTCTCCGTATTCTAAAATTCTCACACATAATAATTACAACTACGGAATTTCGTCGAAACAAAATAATGATTGCGGTATTTGCTTTTGCGATGGAGCGCCTGGTCCATCGAAGAACTTACACCCACGACCACATATTAAAAGCAATTACTGCCTAGAATTGGAAAATGAAGAAAACGCGCGGAAAACAAGTAATGAATCCTTGAAAAAACGGACACAGACTTGCTTTGTACCAAAAAACACCGGGTACTTTTATATATTCCATTTTTGTTTCATATAAAAACTGAATATTGTGTTCCTATAGATTCATATTCAACCACTATGAAGAATCGTTCAGATATTAATACTGGAAAACCGATATCCATCTTCACTAATGTGGACAATACTAAATCTATGTCAAGTTTCTCTGGAATTATAATAGAGGAAATACCAAGCGAAAAGTGTAATCCTGATCCTATATTGGAGAATAGCTCGAAAACGAAAGACACTATGGATAAAAATAATAAGAAAAATGAAATGAAGTTTGGAGATAGTAATGAAATATTAAAGAAACCTCTTAGAATAGAAGAAGTTGGGAAAAGAACGCAGAGAGATAAAAAAAACAAAAAGCAGTTTGAGAGGTCACCACAAAAAGATAACCTTTCGAGTGAAACTATAATACAAGAGCCTCTTAGTTCAAACAAAATCAAAGTGGCGATCAAATATGAAAAACCTGGCAGTAGCACAAAAGAAAATTCTTCTAGGGTAGGTTATTTTATATTATACAGAGCTATTGAACCGACACACAAAGCAAAGTTACTCTACTAATTTGATTGCTGTGGCTTTTAATTCATGCATTTGAGTTAACTAGTTCCATATATGAATAATGAAAAGATGTTTTTCAACTTATGCTTTTCTACACTTTAGGATATTGTAAAATCTCCATATGAATTTACTCGCAAATGGCAATCATTGAAAGGCGATTCTGATTTGTCTATGCATGCTGAACTCTTGCGATCTGTGACACCAGACGATTTTGAAAGAAGTAAGGGCTTCCTTATATTGTACTTTAAACATAAATCTATGCTAATGGAATTTTGAAACACAGCAAATGATAACAGTTGTAGGAAATAAATTGGACGGAGATATATTCAGTACCATCTTACAGTGTTTGAAACAACACTTCAGTGATCCGCAAGATATGAATTTGGTTTTCGGATTTTTAACATCGTTAAGTCATCTAAGTCGTTTTTCAATCATCTGCATGTTCATGAACTCCAATGATAACGAAGGTATATAATTACTATTGAAATTATTAATTTACAACTCTAATGATTCTTTGACTTTACAGTACTCCAAACAATATTCAAGAATTTGGAGCAACATGGATCATTGGACATTTCAGCGTTACGTCAAGCATACAAGATTTAATCATATTTTATCACTGATGTTTATAATTATATAATTAATAAAGTATAGGAAAATGTCAACGACCATAGTTCAAAACTTAAAAATATATTGAACCATGTTCTTATGTCATGAACATAGGATCACCTGCTAACTAATCCGACCATTCCACTTGGCTTACATAGGACTAATTTTACAAAATTTTCAGTAAATATACTGTAATTGTAATATTTGTAGCTCTCTCACGTGATACAGATAAACAGAGCTGACGAATGCGCACAAGCAGTAAATTTCGTAATATAGTCCCCCTCTAGCGGTAGGATTGCCGAGCTAGACGAATAGCGTCCCAGAATGAACCTTGATCCGTTCATTGTTAAGTAGCCGCATCGCGGCAGCACCGACAAATTCTACATTGGTGAATACATTCTCCGCGGGCTTTCGACATCCGGACTCCGTGAGTTTAGAATTTCGTTCGTCGCTTACTCTTCCGTTTGAGTAGCTTGTGACATTTTTTTCTGTTACTACAAGATGTTTACCTGGATAAACCGTGCAAAATTCAGCGACCGTCTCGTTCATTCCGCAGACATAACCGCTATGAGACCTTTAAGGAGACTGCAGTAATTGGAAGGTACGTGGAACGTCATTGACCAGGACTCAGGCTGTGTGTTTATAGCCTACAAACTCTGACATAGCAATGGCGTTTCTGTCGCCCTAAAGCTGTGCCAACAAAATCCTCCCTGTGCTCCAATCGCGTAAATTTAACGCGAATATTTTGTGCCAAATTATAAGCAGAAAACACATAGAATCGGGGGGCCACTTTATTACCCGCTTTTCAATGGTTTTTCGTGTTAAAAAGTGCTTTCTGGTGGTTTCTGCAGTGTCGTGGGTTTCCGAGTGGGGCGAGCGCCGATCGCTGAGCGGCACGCCATCCTACCGTGGCCGAGTGCTGAATGTAAGACTAATGTTATGTATTACTGGCATTAAAAGGATATACATATATCGAATTTACTCCGATTTCGGGACATATGAATATCACTGTACGCAGAAGCACCCGCTTTTCCAATTTTATCGTGCGGTTCATTTCGTACCATGGGCGGCATGTATGAATGGCTAATTATCGTGCTTAATCTCTGGCACATAGAATCCGCTTAATTTTATTTTACATTTTGTTTTTAATGTTGCCTTAATATCACTGATGTTTCTCAAACAGCGATATTATTAATTTTGTGTTCTTTTTCTGCTCTACTTTAATAGTAAATTAGGTGACTGCACAGTTTTCATAGTTCAGGATGCTATTTGCCAGCTAGAAGTATTGGACAGGCAGTGTGATTCTACCAGCAGTTAGGAACATGAAGTTAGTGGATAGCAACCATTAATCTACCACCAAACTCTGAAATATGGAAAATGCATAAAGATATGGATATGAAGATTCAACCTTGTATATAGTTTATTAATAGGGAAATGCGTGCTACCTGTATGCAGTAAACGCTTTTATTATTTAAAATGGCACAAAAAATAAAGAAACTTCTACAGTAGTGTAAAATATATGTTGTTTTTGAAAATTCCAAACAAAAGCTTTAATAATATAAAATACTTAATATTTTATATCATAAATATAAAAATGTAGCCAATCTACATCAACGTTTGACTGTTATCTAACTTAAATTAAATATCAAACAGTTACAGAAATCTTAAATGTGTATTATAAGCTTTAAAGCAGTAAATCCATTTTATCAAAATACTTCAAAAAATATCTGCATTACATATGACAACCAATGAAAAGTAAAATACTAGACATTATAAAATTTGGTTACACAATGTAGGAATATACATATATTTATCAGCAACTATTACATTGTTTGCACATATATCTTTTTCTAGAAAAAGAAAGCATAATGATAACAACCAACATTTTCATATCTACAATCTCATCTGACAATATATATATATATATAACATATAGGCATTCCTTAAATTAACAATAGTGTTAACAGTAGTGTTAACAAGTTATGAAGACGGATTGAAATTTTGCCAATATAGGTAGGTATCGCGACGTAAGTCCAATAAGGAAGTGCCATGGAGGACGAAGAACGCCTCGAGGGTGAGGAAGAGATGGAGCTGGACGAAGCTTCTGACGGAGAAGATGAGGACGACGAAACCACGGGAATTCCAGTCTCCCCGGCTAATTCCGATCAACTGATCGGGCGCGCTCCAACTCCCGGCAGTAGTCAGTATCCCAACAAATTTTCGAGTGCCACACGTAACTTGCAAAAAGTAATGACGTACTATTCTGCGGTTTCTTCAGTAACCCCGGAAGAAGCTTTTCCTGATCCGATACGCTACCAGAAATTTCCATTTCCCGGCGGGAAACCATTAAGCATCCGGAGAGGTCCAGGCCGGCCGAGAAAAGAACGACCGCCTGGAACTCTCCGCGGAGGAGTCACACGCAGACCATTCGGAAGAGGAACGACCCGGGGCAAAGGGTAAGATTCTTCATCGATATATTTTAGTTAATTTTATCGTCTGCCTATATAGTCGAATGTCCTTCGTAACGATAAATCGCATAAATGGATAAGAGCATACTAAATTATTAATTATACTTAAAGTATGTATGCAAACATTATCATATTAATATTCTCGAAAAGTCATGTCTTGTCGAATGATTTTGGTACATTTTATGTGGTGTTATTCAGTATATACAAGATATGGTTACGGCACTAGCAATCTTTATGGGAGCGTATACAGGATGCCTGGAAAAATATTCAACTTTCAATATATCACGGAGCTGTAATTTGCAATGATGTAATGCTAGGAAAAACACTAGTTAATGCCTATGGGATATAAATATATCGATGAAGCTGCACGGGATAAAATTTATTTATTTGCATTGTCTTTTTATCATAGTCTTGGGTATATGAGGGGTATACCTCGTCGTACGAAAAGCAAGGATGACGATACTCATTCGGAATCACCGAGTCCCCTGAGAATCGGCGAGGATCCTACAGCCGATGGTGAAACGTCCAGTACGGACAGATCTATGCCAGCCCCGGAAGAACCACCTTACTTTCCAGAACAATGGTATCTTAATGTTTATCACAGTCGTCGTTTTAAAATTCATCCAACGATCCATATTCTATCATAACACATCGATAAAGTCTACAGATCAATAATTGCACTTGATTAATCCAGTAACATTCTTAGGCCCGGTAAAGTGTGCGCACTGTGCAATTTGGGTGAACGAAGTCAACTAGGACAAGGAGAGTTGCTGAGATTGACCTCCCCTGAAGGCTTTACTCCTGAAAAAAATACAAATCGTGATGAAACGCCGGATACTCTTTTAGACGTGTCTTCCACAGGGGATAAGAGTCCGCGCGCAGCGGGACCTGGGGCTGTTACTTGTCGCCGGCAAAAGAGTTTAGCCAAATGCAGGTAAATAGCGGAACACTTTTGGTAATTTCTATGTTTCATACATTTTCTTATTATGTAATCGATTCTTTCACAGGAATCCTAGTCTTACAAATTTCACGGAGCCGGTGGAAGAGTTAACTATTGTTGGATATTCGGATGAACCGGAAGTGAGCATATTGTTTGAATCAATGGGACACTATTATGTGCATCATTCCTGCGCCCTTTGGTCAAGTAATAGTCAAGAATTAGTTACTGAAACTGTGAGTCTAACTGTAGTACAGGCATCCTCTCGCCGTTGTGCTTATTGCTCTCATTATGGAGCTGGAATCCCTTGCAAGGTAAGATTACATTCCTTTACTTTGATTCTCATTACTTACATAGTTCGTCAGATTATAAATAACGTTAACTTTTTCGGCAGGTGGGATCGTGCAATCGTTATTTTCACTTACCCTGTGCAGCAGCATCGGGTTGTTTTCAAGACATAAAAACCCTGTCTTTGTTTTGCAGTCAGCACTTGGGCCAGGTTCCCTTATTATGTGAGTCTATGGAGAATCTTAGAAACTTTTCATAATTGTTCATACTGCCTTTTTACTTCTCTAGTTGGTGTTTGTCTTTTATGAATTCCAGTGAATGGTGATGTCACGTGTATACAGTGCTACGGAATGGGGGATGTCTCTAACCTGGTCATGTGTTCAATCTGTGGGCAACATTATCATGGAAGTTGCGTGGGTCTGTCTCTTCTTCCAGGCGTGCGTGCTGGCTGGCAATGTGCTGTATGTCGTGTGTGTCAAGTATGCCGGCAACCGGAGGAACTTTCTAAGGTTATGCTATGCGAACAGTGTGAAAAGGCTTACCATCCAAGCTGCTTGCGCCCAATAGTGACTTCCATACCGAAGTATGGCTGGAAGTGCAAGTGTTGTCGTGTGTGCACGGATTGTGGATCGCGTACGCCAGGTGCCGGCCTATCGTCCCGTTGGCACGCTCATTACACGGTCTGTGATTCATGTTATCAGCAGCGAAACAAGGGCTTTTCTTGCCCACTGTGTCGAAGAGCCTATCGTGCGGCTGCATATCGAGAAATGGTCCAGTGCAGTTCATGTAAAAAGTTCGTTCATGGCACCTGCGATCCTGATGCTGATCCTCTTACTTACCAGCACCGTAAAGAAGCAAAGCCTGACTATGACTATGTGTGCCTCCACTGCAAGAACATGGCTCTTGTGAAGCGTAAAGATAATGCCGACGAGTACGGAGGTGACTCTAGCTTGACAGCCTCTCAAGAGAGCTTATACGGCGATGGAGACTCGTCGGAATTCGATTATCAAGGTGGTTCTGAAGATACGCTTTATTCGATTGGGCTTGGAAAAGGAAAGCCATTTTGTGCCTCAAAGATAGCTAAGAAGAGACTTGGATTGGGAAGTGGAATGATCGGGAGGCCGAAAGGAGTTGGTAAACTAGGTTACCAAAAGCGACAGAAAATGACGGAATTCGGAAGAAAGAGAGGACCTAAAGCCAAAATGAGAGGAATTTTTGGTGTTCCAGGTGTAGGACTACAGGTATGTCATTTTACTTACACTGCAAAATATCGTCTGCACCCTATTTCTTCGAGGCTAATAAATGAATAAACACATAAACTGTGTTTATTCTTTCAATTGGATTCCTACACAATGCTCGTTATTAATGTCCTTGCAGAGTCTTTTGTTATTACCAAAGAGTAATTAGTATTATCAGTGAACTAGAAAATCCATACAGTAATTAAATCTTTAAAATCTTCCCATTTAAAATAAAAAATTAAATCATACAGTATGACTTATTCGATCACTACGCGTAAAGAAAAAAAAATTCAAAGTACAGTACAAAGTTCATTAGAAGAGTACAGTATAGTTATGAAGTTAGTAAATTAAAGTCTCATTGATAGAACTCCACATGATAGCGATAGTGAACAATTACCCAAAAAGTAACCGACTGTCTAATCGAAAATATTCATAATGTTCCAGAGACCCATTTCGGATTCACAATCTAAAGAAGAGGAACCGGGCGTCGAGAATAGATTAGTGTTATGTTCGGCAAAAGATAAATTTGTTTTAACGCAAGACATTTGCGTTATGTGTGGGGCAATAGGTACCGATCAAGAAGGATGTTTAATAGCATGTGCGCAGTGTGGTCAGTGTTATCATCCCTACTGTGCTAACGTGAAGGTTACGAAGGTGATTCTGCAGAAGGGTTGGAGATGCCTTGATTGTACCGTGTGCGAAGGCTGCGGAGAGAGAAATGACGAAGGTCGTTTAATTTTATGTGACGATTGCGATATCAGTTATCATATCTATTGTATGGACCCTCCACTAGATTACGTACCCCATGGCACTTGGAAGTGCAAATGGTGTGCACAATGTCAAACCTGTGGCTCTAACGATCCTGGCTTCAATAGTAGTTGGCAAAAGAATTACACCCAGTGCGGTCCTTGCGCTTCTCATACAGCATGTACATCTTGTCAAGAACCATATCTCGAGGGCGATCTTATTATACAGTGTATTCAATGTGAACGATGGCTGCATTGCGCTTGTGACTCTATAAAAACTGAAGCCGAAGCAGAGAAATGTGCCGAGGAGGGTTACAATTGTATCCTATGTCGTCCAAGGGACGTGCCACCGCCCCACATTGTGTGTAATATGCCAAAACCGCAACCAAGCAAATATCCACGTTCACCGCCGCCAACTGTACGAAGTCCAGAGCTGTATAAACCTTCGCCACAACAGTATTTAGTCGACGGCGTGTACTTGTCTGAGGCTGGTATGAATCACATTAAATCTTTAACATTCGAACAGCAACAGACTAGGAAGAAGAGAAGAAAGATACTGCCTTTGATTGATAAGGAAGCGGATATCATGGCAACCATTGAATCCGTAGTAGCTGGTGGTAGCTTAGATAATTCTCTAGAAGAAAATGGGGGAAAATTGGATCTTCTAGATGTAAAGGATGAACCGGCTGAGGTACTCAAAGAAGGTATGGTTTGGACTCCTCGTGGAGATCAACCACCGCCAGAAGGTTTCAGCATCTATACCACGGAAAATGGAGTTCCGGTATTGAGGCGAAAGCGACAGCGTAATTTACAAAAACTGGGCATCGGTGGCTTCGTAGTCAGATTGAGAGGGACTCGTAAGGATAAGGAAGAAGAGGGCGAAGGTGGTGAAAAGCCAAGCGAGGGAGTCATTGGATTAGGGGAAGATAAGCCACGCAGAAAGCCACAAAGAAGAAAACCAAAGACCAAACTCTCTGAGTGTTTTCCTCTGTACATGCAGGAGGCCTTTTTCGGCAAAGACCTCATGGACACGACCAAAGAGAAAGATTTGGAGAGTAGTAGCAATTCGGATAGTGAGCGTAATATTTCCGGAAATGCAGATACCATACAACTCTCACAGGATGAGTTGAAAGCGATAGAACAGGTTAAAGCAAAACAAGAAAAGGAAGAAGATAAATTAACCACAGAATTGCCAATTAAGCGGGAAGAAATTTTGGATGATGATGGTAGCGACACCGAAGCCCTCGGTGATATTTTACCCATTTCTGGTGATCTTCTCGATAGTGATCTGGTCAATACCATTATGAATGAACCGGATGAGGATCTAGCAAAAGCCAGTGAAGCTCTAGAGGAATTAGACGATGCTCCAGGACCTAGTAAAGATGAATTAACAGATATACTTAGTCCACATTTTAATCTGGAGTCGATGGTCAGAGATACTGGTGTGTACTTCATTTCTATAGCATGCTTCTTTCATAATGAATTGTATGCCAACTGCTAATGTTTGTTCAGGACTACCAAACATGGATAGTAAGGACGTAGAAGAAATATTTAAAGGAGTCTTAACGGATGAGTCTCAAGAATCACAGGAATCGTCGGTATTTCCTGTGCAGACACAAGTACCTCATGCACCATCGTCCTCGGCTCCACTTGTGTCTCCTTCTCCACATCCAGGTTAATCCTAAAATTTTTTTGTTGCAGGGATAATTATCAGCAACACACAATAGATCAAATTCGACTTTTTTACGGAGCCTGAATTAACACTAAATTCATTTCTTTGATAGGAATGCAGACAGGATTGCCATTAGGTAGACCGCAAGTTCCTGGACCGCTACCCTCGGTTGTTCAATCTAATTTGAACTCTCCAATGAGCTTCCCACCGCCATCGCCTTATCATTCAGAGTATAGCAAGTATGTGAAAAACAAATTCATACAAAATCTATTTCTCAATGTTTTTCATTTTTTCTCAAAATTTATTTAAGAAACAACTCGTAACTGTCAGGTTCTTTTATTATTTTACAGCAGTCCACAATTTAGCCCTGCTTTCTCGGAACCACCGAGTCCGTGGGTAAACCCAGACGATGAGGGTACGGCTCCCTCTGGTGGTGCAGCCATCTCTTACAATCAAAGAAGTAATCTAAAAATGGAAGCAGATGAATCTCTGGGTAGTGGTGCAACCATATCATCTGTACTTTATGCAAATATGAATCATCCAGAGTGGAAAAGTGAATATCCAGGTACAGCTCTTAACAGTCATTCTCTCCTTGACACTGAATACACATCATCTAGTATCGACAATATATATTGTTTTTAAAATCAAGATTAATTATTATTTGTCTTTAATATACTTGTTTCAGCTTGGTCTGAGCGATGCAAGCAAATATTGAAAAAATGGCGTGCATTGCCAAACGAAAAGAAAGCTCCGTACTTGACACAAGCCCGTGATAACAGGGCAGCAATCCGTATGAAGAAAACTCAACAGGTAACGATACTTCCTATACTTATATGTGATATATAATGGTTAATCTGATGTTGCCTACATAATATGTAGTCATCTTCGTCTTATACGGGTGTCTTGTGCTAACACATAAGTCAAACTAACAGCTCGTCATTTTTGTGTTACGTTATGCTACGTTTAATATTAGTCAATGTGAAGACACGCTGGTGTTTTAATGAGCTCAATATATCGATAACGGTTCACCTTGGACGATATTAAAGCAACAGTTTTTTCTTTAGAGCGATCGGGAAGCCGCAACATATTGCTGCCATTTAGATTACCGATACACCATTTACAATGATGTACAGATGAACGACAGACGTTTATTTAATTTACACTATTTTGCAACCTGTATATAATGGGACTAATTTGAGCCTTACTTTTGTATCTACCAATGTCAGCTTCTCTGGTCTCAAAGGTATTAGCATCGTTTAAACATTTTCCTCGTAAATTGAACCGACCTAAAAATAATCTGAAATAAACTGGTTGCTATGTGCACGAATTTAACAAACTGACCAAAACTCAATTTGGTTTTAAAAAAAATATTTTTTTTTTAAATTATACCATCCGCACTCGCAGATCACCCATAAAAGGAATGTGAATGTTGAATTACAAATAGTTAAATATTAGTTTCTTTTTTTAATTCAATCACAGAATAACATTGAGTCCTGAATTATGACTGAATGAATATTAAGTTGGAATTTAGAACAAATCAGTCAAGTTTTCGTTAGCCTTTGTTTGATTTTGTGTAACTCGTAATTTTATCATAACTGAACTTGGACTATATTCGGCAATTGAACCACGGATACGGTTATTAAATTTCAACCAATGATATCGACTGATTTTGGCACTGGCCGAAATCATTTAATGCAATTGGCTCAAATGTAGGGTATATTCCGTAATTGAACCACAGTTGCGGTCATTAAATTTCAACCAATGGCATCGAACGATTTTTATCACCCGGCCGACACCAGTCGTTGCAATGGCTGAAATTTAATAACCGCAACCGTGGTTCAATTACGAAATATTATCCTAATAAGCGCAATCGTGGTTTAATTGCAGAATATACCCGTAATACTATTTTAATAATCGATTCCTAAGCCAAGCGAAATCCAATTTTGAAACAATCAAAATTAGGGTTGGTTCAGTATACGAGGGTTTTCTTTCTTAGGAAAATTTCCTATTGACATTACAGTGTAGCTTACAAGGAAGGTACTACAGGCGTCTCCCTCTGATTTCGTTCGTTTTTAAATATGTTATTCTCCATTAAAATCTAAGAGACACGTGCTTTTTTATCGGCGGAAAAATGGGTTTAGGGGATGAAATAAACCTCCAAAGTTAAGCTCCTCGAGGGCGGTTTTTGCAGTTTCGCATATTTCCAGTCGAGATATTTAAATGGGACCAATTGCAAGTTAATCTTCATGATGAATAATGAAAAATGCATTTTGGTTCTGGAATGCATAAAAATTAATAGGAGTTGAAAAGTGGAAAATTATTATTAAAAAAAAGCTATTGATTCGATTTTTCACGAAACAAATTGTATTTGAAATTACTTCAAAATAAGGAGATACATGTTTTTGCATCTTTCGAAAAACGTTGTTTAAGGGGTGAAGTACCCCTATGCCGGTGCAATCAATTTCTCATTAAAGCGGCACTATCTTGCTTCAATTTGGTTTCCCAATTATTAAAAAGCTCTTTTTATTTGTTATTTAAAAAGCTTAAGCGTTTCAATAACGTCCGGTTGTATGTTTACCAAAACTACCCCTTCGTTTGCTGATGAGTCTCATTACTCATTGTGACAATAGCTTCATGTGAAAAAATTGCGGCAAGCGGATGAATATGTTCATATGATTACACGTTATCGGACAAACAACGTGAAATTGCGTAGCAGAGTATGTATAAAAATGGGAGCAATGCCATATAAAAACAGTCGATCACGAACGTGCTGTAACTTCAGTATTTCTTAAAAGGAAATAACTTTAAGTGTCTGAAAAGCATTAAAAATGCAGATAAATCCTGTAGATGATTTTAACCTTTTGCTTGCCACATTTCAATTGCTAAAAATAAAAGAAACTGCCATAAATCATTAAGAAATCGAGTTAAAAGAGCATATTGAAACTATTTTATTTAATGGAATGAACGAGTTCAATGACCTCAAAACGACAATGAGAACTCTCTAGATTTTCAAGAACCATACAAAGATAATGATTCACAAATAGTAGAAGATTATATATTCTACATACCTTACCTGACAATCTGGTATCGCCTACAAATGAGTGCACAGAAGACAAAGAAAATTTGTCTTACGAGTATAAATCAAGAACTGTGTTGAATATTGGAAAAGTGGAAAGAAAAGAACTGAAGTATTGAAAGCGTTCGACAGAAATTCAAAAAAGTGAAATCGTTAAGACAACTGCAACGCTGGGCTCATACTTTGAATAAAGGTGGATAAATTTGGTAATCTTCCTAGATACGATTCTATATGAATACTTAAATAGTGTGAACCAGTTTCTCGAAGCTCTAAATCGTAAATTTTCATATCCTATTTCTTTCTGGGCTTGCATAGTCCATTTGCGTAAATCATAATCATGAATAATTGAGCAAGCCTCGATCGCCGATTTAAAATGTTCCAACATGAATTCGCAAATCCTAGCGACTTTTTCTCTATAAGTGCCACCTTCATTCAAAGTATTAGCCCAGCGTCGCAGTTGTCTTAACGATTTCACTTTTTTGAATTTCTGTCGAACGGTTTCAATACTTCAGTTCTTTTCTTTGCACTTCTCCAATACTCAACAGCTCTTGATTTATAATGGTAAGATCAATTTTTCTTTGTCTACTGTGCACTCATTTGCAGGCGATGCAGAATCGGTCAGGTAAGGTATGTAAAATATCATTTACTATTTGTGAATCGATATCTTTGTATGGTTCTTGAAAATCTAGAGATTCCTCAACTGTCTCAACTCGATTTCTTTATGATTTATGGGAATTTCTTTTATTTTTAGTGATTGAAGTGTGGCAAGCAAAACGTTGAGAACATACAGGGTTAGTCAGTAGAAACGCACCAGCAGAAGTTGGCCGCAAGTGACCGACACGGCAGTATGGTAAAAAGTAAAAAATGACATGTGACTGTGACCCATTCCAGAGCATGTTCTCTGCCCATTCCCATAAGCACAAACTGACAGTTCGCATAGCAATAAGGTTATTGAAATATTTCAATAGTTAGGATACTGAAATAATTTATTAATATTGTAATGACAAAATGTAATATCATTTAAGATTTATTTTTACTGCCGTGTCGGCCACTTGCGGCCAACTTCTGCTGGTGCGTTTCTACTGATTAACCCTGTATAGAGGATTTATCTGCATTATTAATGCTTTTCAGAGACTCTTAAAGTTATTTCCATTCAAGAAATACCGAAGCACTCTCGCGATCGACTGTTTTTATATAGCATTGCTCACATTTTTATACATATTTTACTGCGCAGTTTCATGTTGTTTTTACGATAACGTGTTATCATATGATAAATATTCGTCCGTTGATATGAACCTAGTATCACGATGAGTAATGAGATCTAAATGCTGTATCTGTCAGTGATGAGTCGTTTTTAATGACATTCGTTCGTAGAAGTTACATACTTCCATAAAACCGTAATAAAATGCATTTAAGGGTAGTTACCCCCTACCATAATAATTGAAAAACTGCATTTTAACAGTATACTGTGAATTTCAAATATTCAAGTCTAGAATCGGTTTCAGCGACTTCCAAAACCCTTAGGATACAAGAGTTCTGAAGACCTTGCGATCGTACGGGTAATCCAGCCACAAGGGCGTCAGGAAACGACAGGGTGGTTTTGGTAAACATACAGCCGAACTTTATTGAAAGGATTAAGCTTCTTAATTAACACATAAAAAGAACTTTCTAATAATCGGGAAGGCAAATTGCAGCAAGGTAGTGCCGGTTTAATGAGAAATTTGTTGCACGGCATATGGGTGGTTTACCCCTTGAACGACAATTTTTTTTCTCGAAAAACACAAAAACATGTATCTCCTACTTCTTTTTACTAATTGTAAATGCAATTGGTTTCGTCAAAATCGAATCGATAGGTTTTTTGTTTTACAAATTTCGCACATTTTAACCCCTATAAATTTTTATGCATTCGCTCCACCAGAACCGGCCAAAATGCATTTTTCATTATTCATGATGAGGATTATCTTTCAATTGGTCCCATTTTTGGGAGGAGCCCAACTTTGTTCCACCAATGAAAAAAAAAACGCGTGTCTCTCAGATTTTGATGGAGAATAACATATTTAAAAACGAACGAAATCGGAGGGAGACGCCTGAGGTACCTTCCGTGTTAGACGTATGGTGCTCGGTTAAGACACCAGCGATTCTAATTATATACGTGATTCATTAATATAATATATATTAGGAGCGCAGTCCCAGCTCATTTAGTAAATTTTAGGAAAGCTAGAGATAAGTTTTTTTGTGTTTGATCATCTATTTCCTCTATGACGTTCCTTCGTACCCTTGTTATGACTAACGGATAATGTTACTCTCCCAAGCGATGCGACCTGGTTTAAAACTATGTAAGAAATGTCTTGTTGTGTAATATAAAAGTGTGTGAACGAGGCACCCCTTGAACCGACAGATACCCAAGGACATACCAAGCACGACCCCAGTCACTGCAACAAGCGCACCCACCATCACCACCAAACCCGTCACAACTATAACATCAGCTCAACTTTCTCCAGTAGTAGCTATGGCCGCTAGTCAAAAACAAATTGGACTTTTGACCTCGATGGGCAGTGATAAGTCCCAGGAGAAGACTGGATTGAGTACGACTGCTACAGGAGTTCCTGGGGTTGCAGCGTCTAGCAGTGGTCATCTAGCGGAGGTGTGTGCGGTGCAAGGACCGCCGAAGCAGCTAACATCTACTTCCCCAAGTCCATCCCCAACCTCCACGACCCCATCTTCTTCACCCAGACCCAGCTCTGTCAATTCTATCAGTTCCATTAACAGCCTGGCGCACCAGGAGGTAGCCGGTGGCCAGGCTAGAGTAGCTCAGTCGCCAGCCACGCCTTGCACATCAGCAACTGCTTCTTACTGCAACATGGGCGTCGGTGAAGGGCCGCATCAAACGTCACCACCCCAGCAACGTCCTACACCCGCTCATATCACGATCAGTACTAGTACTATCGCTAACAATCTGAGCGTACCCCAGCAGTCTCCCACTGCCAACGTGATTGTGGGCCAAGGCCCTATACGTCAATTATCCTCGGTAGACCATCAGATTAGAGTGCTCACCCCATCTGAAATCATGCGCACCCTTCCTTCCCTCAGCCAGGAGCACTACGATCCGCCACCCACTGCAATTATTCACACTGTACCTGTACAGTCCCCGGCTATGGTGAGCCACCTATTCTGTGCCTCTAGTGTCTTGCCTTGTGCCACGTATCGGATCGAAATTTAGTGTCCGTTACTCTTTTTTATTATTATTCTTTAGTACGAGACTACACAGGTTGTCACGTTATATGCCACCTTGGTTTTCAATGCAATAACGTCTTGTTTATCCTTTGAAGAAACAAATGTATGACCACCGATAACATTACTTGCATAATATTCACTGTGTATTGCCTAGGGTCACTTTTGATGACCTGAGGAGTTGAGGTAATCATTTGTGCGAAATGTTATTGGTCGTTATCTTTTGTCTAAAGATATAGACTTAGTTTGGTATTTGCGCAATTTAAATGTACCGTAAAGACATACGAGTTATCAATGGTATTTCATTACTTCATTTGGAATGATCACTGTTTCAGCATATTACTAGTAACAGTGTATTTTCTTGGGTGGCTGCTCTACATAATTCAATATTACTTTTGATATATTATATGAAATTCCATACGATTACAATTGTTTGAGTCAAGGTGATGTTCAATGATGTTTATTTTCGATGGCATGTTGAAGACATCTGGTAGCACATGTTTTTATTTCGTCCATTGTATAGATCCTAATGAAACATTCCATATACAATTCCCTCTTCATTCCCGATTACTAATAATCTTGCTTATTACGTATTTATTTATTTATTTATTTTTTTGGGTGGTTGTAGTCTTGTACTGTATTGTAGTAGTAATTTGTACAGTTGTTCCATTCATTAGTTGAACACTCAATTCATCAACGTTCCCATTGCTTTTTGTTGAGATTCGTTCGATTATCAGTGCATATATTTTCTTGCTAGGTTGTTTAAATGGTATACCTATACAGGGTTATTCAGAAATAACTCAGCAGCCTGAAGGAACTGTTAATTCAAAATGGCAAGTTACTTTTGAATAACGCTGTATAAGCTTATGGAGTCTGTGCATATAGGAATATTAATTCATTTCTTTTGCTTTGTCTTTTCTATCTCAGTAAATTTATGTTTCTATTGCGCGGTATGGTAACAGAATTGTTTTTTTTTTTTTTTTTTTTTTTTTATATTCATCTCACTATAGACTGACTCATTTATTAATGACATAACGCTGTCATTCGGATCTATTGATTTTTTCTTGTGACTGGGGTGTCACAATTTTTCTTGGGCGATTTTTTACATAGGAATTCTGATTTTTTACTTTGTGGCTTGGGGATAATCATCTGAATATGAATTAAAGTATATTAATTATTCACTAATGATTAGACTAGGTATCCTTATAAATTGATCATAAGGAACATGTAATATAAGCATTAAAAAGCGTCACTAAATCAATAATGGTAAAATTTTCAAAGGGATGCACCACTTTCATTTGATAATTCTTGTCGCACAATATTATAATAATCGTTTAATTTTTCAATAACTAGAATAAGTGGGGGATACTTTGCATGCATATTATTTGAATGTAATATGCAATGACGGATTTTCTATGGCATCTGTTTTATTTGCGTGGTATAACGGAACTTTGATGTAAACTGTGACTACTTTGTGTTCTTTATTTTAGATGGTGCTGGTTGTTGCCTCTGCCATATTCATATGTATATTTTATATTATATCTTGTACAGAGAAAAGATTTCTCAAACTCTCGTTAAACGTATTAATTTAATATCGTGCTATATTCTTTTTTCTATGAATGTTGGGGTTTGCTATTTAATTTTGGCTGGTTGTCATTGATGCCTCAATCCCGCGTTACAAATTGTTTAATGCGAATTTCGATCATTACATCCTGGAAAAAATTTCATTTATTGCCGACATATTTTATTGCCTTCATTTGAAGATACGCAAGTCATCATTTGTTGTTTCACTCTTTTTTGAAGAATTTTGTTGTATACGATTTGTCTTATCACCGGACGTGCGTAACTTAAGAGATTACAAAGTGACGATAGTTTAAAAGTCTTGCGTATGCGCTACGAGGATGTAATGATTCTCAATTACAGTGTAAATATCAAATTTTAATTAATTTTTCTTCAACAGGAGCAAGATAGGATCTCGAATAGAGATAGGTCAACAAAAGAAGCCGAGCAGGAGCGTCAGTGGAAGCAAATGCAAGCATTGCATAAACAACAAGCTCAACTGCAACAACAAGTTATTCACGATCAGCGTGTAAACGGTATAATAAGATTAATACCCTACTCTTGGATATGTTACGTATCGATAATACTTATTATACTTTATTTCTTATTATAGCGATGGCTAGAGTTCATAGGCAGATAAGTGAAGATGGCACTTCGCAAATAAATAGTGATAACAATTCGGGGCTTACAACGCAGTTACAAGTCTCCACGTCTCAGGTATATTCTGATATTTTTTAAGCAATTACTATGTTTATCAGCCTCACTTGATATTGTTCTTACTCGTATTACGCTTTGCTTTCTTCTAAACATCTTCAAATTCTGTTATGTGAATGAATTATGGGTATTCTAGGATGGAAATCATTTGGGACCTTTGGCATCGCCATCCCCGGGGTCCCGTGGTACGTTTGCCACTCCACCCATAAAGTTAACACGAGGAGTGGCACCGCAGAGTCCTCATCAAGGTATCCCGCGAATGCCCAATCAACCTTGTGGCACCGTTGCAAGACCAGTCGCGAATGTCGTTAGACCTGGAATTCCAAATACATTTACGCAACCACCCTCTCCATTCTCTCCTCAGGCTCCTCAGTCTCCTCATGATTTCCCACAATCCCCAGCTTCCTCCCAATCGCAGGATCACTTCCAGCGCTTCGAGTCTGGGGATGCCTACCCTCAGGGCCCCCAAACGCCTAGACCGCAGTTGCCTGGAACTCCGGCATATTCTACCTCTCCACGAAATGATGCCTACTCTCAACCTCCGGGTACGCCACGGCCTCACTTTAATGCTCCTACGCCTCGTCCCTCCAGTCATGTTTATGCGCCGTCTCGTACACCTGATCCCTACAATAATCAACCTCAGACACCTTCACCGGCATCAAGCTATACCTCGCCTAGACCGGAATCGCGACAGGATCCCCAACAGCCTGAGGCGTTTAATCAACAGCCTGAGGTCAATCGCCAACTTCGTGACCTTCTACAACGACAGCAGTTTAATAAAAAGATGGATACAATGAATCCATCTTGGAGTCAGGGTATTACTACTGTTTTAAGAAAATTCGTATTTTTTTTCGGTATTTGGCGAATACTTTAACATTAACTTTATATTCAGACGGGCAAAATAATGGTGACACTGGACAACAACAATTTGAATCAGGTCATGTGCAACTGCCTCAGCATTCTCAACCTTCAGGAAATACAGGCGAAGGGACTTTTAGGCATCCTTTACCACCTGGCATAGTCAGACCAAGGATGCCTGTTCAACCAAACGTCCTTATACGGAATCCAATAGGTTCAATTTCATTGTCGTATATTTCACATATGTCCGTTGGCATGCACTTTACACATTTTTTTCGTGTATCAGGTATGAATCCAAGACATCCTGGAGCAGGAAACATCGATGCTCGACTTCAGGGAATGGATCCACGTACGAGAATGCTTCTTCAGCGACCGCCAGTATCAGTAGGTATACCTCAACATTTTCAAGGCAATCAAGTAATGCAGCAACGAATGCCTAGTCCAAGAAATCCACTCGCAGAACAATATGATATATTACAACAGCCAAGATTTTCAGGTAAATAAAGAAAATCTATTTAACTCGGGTAACATGTGTTTATGAAAAACACTATTTTTAAATTAGTTTCTGTTAATTTTACATTGTACTAGATCGATGGTTAAAAATCTTTATGTATTTATATTTACAGAACTTAATCAAGGGCAAAACTTAGGTCAGCGTATAGTGCGTACGGGACAAGATAATATAAATCCAGGTGCTCGAATGATGGGATCTCAAGGAATGGTTAGACCACCTCTTGTACCCGCAACTTCCAGCGAGAATACTGTTAATACATCGGATGCTTCCGAAATTCCGGATAACGTGACAGCGGAACTTGAAAAACTAGAACAAGAAGGAGCGCCAATGGTCGAGGTTGAGGGAGTAAGTGCAATTCTAGGGGATTTAGCTGACGACGACGATGAGCTTTTAGGTATGTATCATTTTCAACAATTATTTATGAAAGTGATTTGAAATTTATATTAAATAGGAATATTTTTATGATCCACATAGCCGAGATGGGAGCGGATTTCAACATTTTGGAGTATGCCGATCCTGAACTCGACAACATAACAGGGGGCGAGAAAACAAATATTCTTGACTTAGATTTAGAACAAGTAGAGGTTGAGACTAAAGAAGAGAAGCAAAAAAAAGAGAATAAAGAAGAAGAGCCAAAGTCCGAGGACTTGGGAGGAACAACAACAGCACATTCAGATATCAGTGAAGCTAATACAACAAGTACAGTGCAAACGCCAACCGAGACAACCACCAATGCCCTTACTAAAGGGAAACAGTTGGCTCCATCGGTACCAACTTCTCAACAAACACATTCACAGCAACAAGCATCTATGCCACCTCAGGCTCCACCTCCTCAAGCTGTTGTCGTGCAACAACAGATGCACCAACAAGTGCAGCAAGCAGCAGCTATGGGGAGACCTATGCTACCGGGTACCAGGTTACTCTCTCCCGATGGTGCTATTGGAGTTGTGACATCGACTAACACTGTGACTGTTAGTTACCCCTCCACATTTCCTGGTCATCCTCAACGAATCACACAAGCACACTTGCAAGGTAAGTGTTTTACTATTAACGCTATTTCTTGCCATATCATTTTATATTAATTCCTGCATTTCTGCTTAAAGCTCAACAACAGCAACAACAACAACAACGACATGGTATGAGACTTACTGGAGCTCCTAGCGTTTCTAGTGTATCCGGTGTTCCCGGTAGGGCTGTCCCTGTCGGTCATATGATTGGACCACGAATGCCACTTGCACCGCCTCCTCCTCCACCGCCACCTTATCCCGGACCACCGCCGCCATATCCGGGACCTATACAGGTGTGTACAGAATTTTGATAGACCTGATTTCATGGAATTTATGCATCGCTTTCAGATTCAGTATTTACACTTAATGCTGTTAACACTTAATTCTAATCCTTGGATATTTTTATATAATACGTGCCTTGGCAAAAGCGCTTTGATCGCTTAGTGAAAAGGGCATGTGAGATTATCATCAATCAAACTGCTCTCGTTTCCAACATCGATTTCATCTTATTGACTAGACCTGTGACATAAATAATAATCAAGCAACTCTTAATCGTTTAAGTATTTTTTTAACAACGGACGTATTGCCAATAATTTAATTTAGCATTCCATACGTTTCAAATCAAGATCACGAAAGTTTCTGCTGAAATTGCAAATGCAGCACCAACAGACTATAGAAGTCTGTTACAGAAGTAGGTGTAGACGAGTGATTTATTTGATATAACAGTATTGGCTGGTAAAATGGTGTTTTGGCCTGGGTGTTTGCAATGCATTGGTGTTGGTGCATGTCTAGATGGGGCTGTGCCCAGGGGGGCGGGCTATGGCGCGACCCCCAGTCCATATAGGGCATCCTGTCCCTGTGGGAGGTCCACCAATGGCCCCAGTGGTTCATGCGGGTGCTCCCCCAATGACTCCGCATCCACATCGGAGACCCTTGCTTCTGCAGGTGAGCAAGACTTGGGGCATTTCCCGCACTCCGCACAATTAAACAGAGAAAGTTAACTTTTCTCCATATGAAAATTGAAATTGAAATTTTATTTTACTAGTCAGATAGTAAAGGATACACTGATCAATAATGCAACTTGTGCTGGCATAACACTGCGTATGTCTAATTATGCGGCTACTGTTTATTATTAGCAAACTTCTGCTATCTGAGTGTATCCATATAATGGACAACCTCGAATGAGGTACCACACTTTTTTTTTCACACCTGTCTGCTGATTTTTTCTCTTATGAAACTTTAATATAAATAAAGTCCACTGAATATCAAAATATTGTGATTGCGTGTCAGAGCGCGATAATTTTGAAATGTAAAATTGTAGGAAATCAGTAATATCGACGATTAGCCCATATTATTCATCTCTTCCTGTTTTAAAAAGTAATTTCCGTATTAGCTTTTAGTCATTCAATCAATTTCGCGATAAAATACTGTACGGACTATGTTTTTAACAATGTAGTAGGTATTATTTTTAACGTTCTCTCAATCGTCACTGTTCTCCAAAGCATTGGTAATGGCTGCCGCAATGATGTTTTTGCATGCTTTCTGTTTTATATATATTTTTGAACCTGATGATTTTGAGATTAAATATATACAGTGCATTTGCACTAGGAGTGAGGTTGATTAAAGTACGAATTTTCTTAGATATATTCAATCCATCATGATACTTCACACTAAGTAATTCATTAGTTAGAATTCGAAAGTAAACAAGAGTTAAGATGGAGGAGAACACATAATTATTAAGATAACATGACAAAAACACGAGTAGTTCACCATGTAGCAAAGTTTGATTCAGGTGAAAGTGACCTTAACTGTCAGCAGTCATGTTCGCAGGAGCAACCGTTGCTGCTGGAAGAGCTGCTAGAACAAGAGAAACGTGAGCAAGAAAAACAACAACAACAACAACAACAACAACAGGCAGATACTACGACACCAGGCGGTGCATTGCTTAGTGACAGCGAATTCGAAAGGCTTCGAGCAGACGTTCTAGGATCTACTCCACTTGCATCGCCTCCTCAGGGGATTGTAACGGTCCCCCCTAGCGGTGTTCCGATTATAAGGGCGCCATGCACACCAAGACCACCATCAGCAGGTGCAGGATGGCCTCAGGGTGTTCCGGACAATGCAAAATTAGTAGCACAAACACCCAGACAGCCGATTGCTACGCAAACGCCTCCAGAACGTTAGTAAATAATAACATTCTTCGAATTCTTAGTAACGTTATTTTATTATATTTTGTTCATTTTTATGTAGCGAGAATTGCAACATTCAATATTCCACACATGCCAGCACCTCCGGCACCACCAGACAACATTGTTAACGAACAAGATCGTCAGATACAACTACAGTATGAACAATGGTTGAATCATCAGGATCAAATTCTATCTCAACAGCTGAAGTACTATGAGACCGAAGTTCAGAAGTTACGTAAAATACGAAAAGTGAGTTCTGTTAGGAATTGTAGCCATGAATAATTCAGTGCACTAGGAACGTTCTGATCTATGTATGTATCATTTTCTGTCCATTAGTCACTCAACAGTAAACAACGTCAATTGCGGAAATCTGGTAATGAATTGGCGGAAAACGACGCCGCAGAATTACAACGAATTTCTAGCGAACAGTCGGCTTTGCAGAAACATTTGGATGCCAGTCGAAAACAAGCTCGTCAGCATGGAATGTTGATGCAGGAGTATCGTAGTAAGCAACAACAAAGGCAACCTCAACCACAAACTAGCGAACCTTGTTCACCTTTGATGTCGCCGTCTCAGCACTCTTCGCCAATGCACAGTCCGGCAGCTCTTGTTTCTCATAGTCCTGGCCCAGGAAGTGCACCATCAAATATTATTCAGCATTCACCGGCAACCTTTATCATACAACACAGTCCAAATCCGCCATTGCTACAACACAGTCCGGGAAATCCACAATCATCGAATCCTGGGACGATGTCTCCTCATAATATGCAGCCATCCCCAAGAATTGGCACACCGCACTCACAGGGCGAGGAAAGTCCTTTCAGTCCTGGTGCAATGCCATCTCCAGGGATATGCGGACCAACAACTACAAGAATGGCATCTCCGCAACACAGAGCTGTTATAACTGGTCGATTGGCCACAAGTCCAGGAGCTTTTAATCCAGATGGCCGACCACCTCAACAAATAATGAGTGAACAAGCCGTAAGAGTTCATGGGCTCACACAAAGATTTGTTCGTCCTCCGGCTGTTGGTGAACCCGGTCAGCGTCCGAGAATGCAACTTCAAAGTGGAATTGTTTATGGACAACGCTCACCACTAGGAAGTCCACAACCTTCTCAGCAACCAATGATGACGCAACAGCAACATCAACAAATGCTGCAAAGACAACAGATTATTCAACAGCAGCACGAAGTTAGTAATATCTCACAAGAAGGACAAAATATTATAACTCAGCGAACATTGCAGATGGTTCAGCAGAGGCAGCAACTCTTGCAACAGCAGCAACAACAACTCGTGCAACAACAACTCGTACAGCAACAAAGACAACAATTTATCCAAATGCAACAGCAGCAGCAGCAGCATATGATGCAAAAGCCCCCTAATTCCCCAATGGTATCCCAACCAGCGAATTCGCCTAGTCCGCAACTGCACCAACAAATTCAACAAAATTACGGTCAACCTCCCAGTTCACCTATGCCTCGCAGTCCTATGGTACAGCAAACCATGGGTTCTCCAATGCTACAACAACAATTAAGCCAAACTTCTCAGCCTCCAAGTCCAATGGGTTCACGAATTCATTCTCATCCACCAAACTCTCCAATGGTATCTCAGTATCAGCCGCCAAGCCCAATGGCACGGAATCATCCTTCAACTTCACCAATGCTTCAACATCAGTTGAACAATACACATCATCCGCCACCTTCACAAACTCCTAGCTCACCAATGCCTAGAAGTCCAATGGTAGTAGGTGGTTCTCCAATGCAAATGCAAAGAAGGCAGTCGAGCGGAAACAGCCCAGCAATGCCCGATCGGCCACAAAGTGTTGAAAATCCTGGAACACCAAGAACACCGCATACTCCACATACTCCCCACACTCCATATGCCTCGCAGAATTCAGGAAATCACGTAGGAACGAACGAACAACTTCAACAACATCAGCAACACCAACAACATCAAGATCAAAATTCCTCAGATCTTACCAGTAGAGGGGGAGGAAATCCACACAATCCATCGAATGCGTTGCCTCTACCGGTAAGTTTTGGTAGGTTTGGATACTTTAAACTTGGATTGAGAGGAGGATCACCTATGTGGTCCATGAAGGCAGAATCCAGTAAAGGAAAAACCGCAGAATCGCATTTAACAAATGTGGATGAGAAACCAAACACATCACAAGTAGTGCACAGAAAAACGGGTATCTCGCAATCGAAAATAAATTCTTTGGTATGTGCTGATTATAATGACTTCGACGATGATTCTCACACGCCACCTCAAACTCCACCAACAGAAGTGGAGCCAAAACCAACCTCCTCCTTGGCTGATAATCCTACATTACCGTTGGGTAGTCCGAGCGATAAACTCGAACCTATTCCTGATACCACTGATTACGACGATGATAAAACGATCGTTAATACTGAAGTAACATTAAGTTCCACTGCGCAAAGGGATAACGATGACATTACAGTTATAGAACAGTTTGGTGATACTGAATTAGTTGATGTCATATCTGGAACGCTGGAAGCTGATATGCAAGAGGAGTATGTTCTTTTTGAACCAGACATGGTAGTGGATTTATCAGTGGATAGTAATGATTCATTGAGTCATGCTTTAGTCAATGATAGCAATCAAAGCCACGATTTGGTACAAATACTAGAAATTGAACATCCAGGAACACAAACCGATGGAGCGGCTTTGAGTGATGAGGAATTGGTTCCTTCTCAAACAAGGAACAAGAAAGGATTGCGACTTGACATCGTCAGGACTCTACAAACTGGTAAAAGGCTTATGGCCGTGACTGACACGCCAGAATCTCCGGATCAAGAAGAACTTAACGTAGATCCATCCCCGGGACCATATATAGATCATTCTCCCGATCAGGATTTGATGGTTTCATTAGATGAGGAATCGGAGGTTGTCATAATTGATCCGAGCACGAAATCTCCGGAAGATAATCTTTCCAAGGAGTCATGCGGTAATGAGACAGACAAGACGAGCAATGATCACAGTATTGAAACATTAAAAGATAACAAGCCTTCCGAATCGCCAGAGGATAAAACAAAGTCGGAAGAACAATCTAAAGAAGAAAACGTTTCTACGGTTTTTGTATTTCCAGAAAGAGTTCCACATAATCAATTACCACCATCTAGCTTGCATCAAGCTAATATTGGTGTTCCCGGTATAACCAGACCGGCAGTATCTTATCCCACAATATGTGCATGTGCTCCGGCGATTACAGCGATAACAACTGCAACAATAACACTGGATAGTGTCCACAAGATAACAACGTCCTTTGCTACTTTGCCTACCATACAGGAAGTAATAGCAACAAACAATCTCACCAATTCAAATCAAACTATTCTGCCATCAACAATGGCGAGTCTTGTAGCGGATGCGAAAATTGCGGCTACACTTAGTCAGAAGGTTTTGGAAGTTGTTGCTGTGAATTCTGATAAAATGGCTTTAACATCGGTACAACCAATACCCAAATCTGATGCCGTCACTTTTGAAACACAATGCACGATGTCACAGCCATTAATGGCAGTTTCTGAAAATATTACTAGCACTGTTGCTAGTACATCCTGTGAATCTTCTAACATAGCGGAAACGACAAAGATAATTTCTATTGTACAGGCTAGTAAACCTGTTAAACTGTCTGTGACTGGTCAGTCAACATTAGTCACTTTATCTGCACCTAAAATGTCTATACCTGAGTTACCTGTGACGGAGAATTCAAATGTCCAGCCAAAAAATGTACAGCAAGAATGTGAAATTAAATGTTCCGTTAAAGAGGAACAAAGAGAGAATAATAATATAAATGTTGAAAAGAGTGATCAAATAGAAAAAGAGGAATCGGTCGTTAGCAATCGTGCATGTAGTGATGTAGTAACATCAGAAGACACCACGCTGTCAGATGAGAAAAAATCTGATCCACTGAACACTACTGATGAGTTAGAAAGTATGCTAGAAGCTATTCACAATCCAGCTGAAAACACTGTAAACGGTGAAAAAAATTCAAAAACTGATAACAAGAGTAATGTTTCCAATTTGAAGCGAATGTCACCTGTAGCCGATGAGTTATCGTTGGTAAATATTTTGGAAAATGACGTAGAGCCGGCAGTGGTCATGGGTGAAAATAGAAATGATAATGCGGCAACTTTCGAAGGACAGGAAATTACAAAATCTACGGAAGTAGATCGAGACACAACAGACTCGGCTAATAAAACAAGTACAGCCAGTGCTTCAGATAAGGAAGAACGAAAAGACTCGCCTACTGGTAAGGACACGAGTAAATCTTATTCTCAATCGAGCGACAATACGGAAGGAAAGAATTTAATGGAGGAATCGTCAGATGATATATTGGACATGTTACATAATATTATTTCATCAAAACCTGAAATGGCTAACAGGGATATATTGCAAGAGGACAGATCTAGGAAGTCGAGTCTCATCTATCAATTGCCAACACCACTGGATACTCTACCTCTAAATATCCTACAGGATTCCCTAATGGACTTGGAACAGGGATCTGGAGCCGAAAATGAAAATCAGTCACAGGGTGATAGAAATTCACCAAAATTACAAAAATCCAGTACAACTCAGCCAGTGCCAAAAAAGAGTCCACCAACAACACAACATTCTGTGCCCATTGCTGTGAGTACTTTAGCTCAACTTCAAAAAAATACAACAACAGTACCGCATCTCTCACCGCTATCTAAACCTACGGAACTTACATCCAACGTGGTTAATGTTTCTCATCAATTAAGGACATTATTATCATCTTTGCAGACGAATCATTCACAAAGTTACACCACTGCCGCGCAGCCCACTATAGTGACAATGGTGTCATCGGTAATAGCAGGATCTAAAGCTGGAAACATTGTGACAGCAACAAGCACATCGTCCCCAAACTTTCAGATTGTTTCTCAGTGCAATTCGAATATTCGCTCACAGGCATCCTCCACAAGTGCTTCCACTAGCATATCAACCAAAAGCGAAATCGAATCGAAGAGTACAACATATGCGACTCAAATAAAAGAAGCATCAAGTTCTTCAGTCAGTGTGATATCAGCTATCAGCAAATCTACGACATCTGAACAATTTTTACGTATCGGTACTAGTACGATTCAATCGCAGTGTAGTACTACCAATTTACAGACATCATCGGGTGCAAGACCACCGGTTAATTCCGGGATATCTATTACCTCAAATGCAATGTTGAATGCTATGCTCGCTGGTACGAATTCTGCTAAGCCTACAATGGCCGGAAATCGAGCTAATACTGCTTTAACACAAACTAGCAATTTACTAAGTTCTGTGATACCCTCCTCTTCGGTACAGCGTAGTCAAAACTTGCAAGCTATACTTCAGGTGAGCTCTAATTGCACTTCCATGCCCTCCCGGAGCGTTGTCAGCGCCACATCAGGTACAACAAGCACATCCATGCAATCTGTAAGAACCATCGTACCACCGATAATCACCACTGCTACCAGTATCCTCAATGTCACGACCAGTATACTTCAGTCGACTTTATCGCAAGCTCCCACATTATTGCATTCACAACTTACGTCTGGGCAGAGTCAGTACAAGTCAACGGGTCTTCTGCCAATCGATAATAAGAGTAACAAACTGGAGAGTTTTATCCAAAATGCAGCAGTTAAGAAGGAGACCGAAGAGTTGGCAGCGAAGATACCATCAAGCAGTGAGAAGATATCGACCACTAGATCCGAATTGGATAGCAGCAAAGTCAGTACGAATTCCCATAGAATGGAAGAGTCACAGAATGTCCTATTGAAGCAGCTCTTGCAGAACACAGCATGTGCTACAACAACCACGGCTTCTGGTACTAGTCAAGGACCTAGCTTGCCATTGGTACCATCGCTAGAAGCACAATTAGCCAGGCCAGTGCCGCCTACACCATCTTCTTTGCTACCACCATTACTTAACGAGACACCTACTAGCAAAGCTGCGACCCACAAGCAAATTCTGAATAGAGAAACTTCATTCGTGTCCCATCCTATAACATCGGTAAAAAGCCAGAGTCCTCCGACTAACGAAGAGCCACCAAAACCACCACCATCGTCTACGTCATCGTCAACGTCGAACACTGCTTTGCCTTTGCAATCGTTGCAGCGTAACGATAGTTTTGGTAAGCAACAACAAGCCATTATCCAACAAACAAAGACCCTTCCTGTCACCACGCAAGGAATCCAACCAGGAAGTTCTACTCCTATTGTGAAACAAACCTCGATAACGCAACCAACAACATCAGAAAGTCTAACTCCACTTCAACAAGAAATTGGAATTTCAACATCTCAGTTGCAAAACAAAACGGCAAACGAACCTCCCGTTATAAGCACTGCCCAAGTACAGCAACGTGTATCAACACCCATGTCAATCTCTAGAATAACTACCCAGTCAACTTCCGTTATTAGTAGTATCAGTGCGAATGGCATTCAGCCTTCTTCACAAGCTTCAAATGTTGGCCAAGTCTCTCAGCAAGCGGCTTCTCTACCAACGACACAAGCTCCAATATCACAATCTCAACTTCAACAACCAACCGCTCAGAAACCTCATTCGACAGAACAACCTTCTCACGTTAACGTGATACAGCCACCAGTGCCTCATACGGTGCCCCATCCGACGGGTCATCAAGCTCAGCTGCCACAGGGTGCAATGACGCAACATACAGTGCCTTTAGTGGAAGTGAAGAAGGAAATACTTGATGAAGTTTTGTCGGGCGGTACACCTACTCAGCTAGGCGATACCAAAGACTTTCTTACTGCCAAAGAAGAGCTTATAGATGGTTCTATCGATGACAAAACCGGTAATTTTTTTTTAATTTTATGTTTATACCTGTACAGGGATTATGTTACGCTACCATTCGTATGGACTTGTTGAACTTGTCTTTGTAGATCTTAAAAAGTTGAAAAGGCGCCAGTACCAACAAAAGAGAAGACAAAGCCAAGGGAAGGACGCGGCAGCGGCTCCACAAAAGAAACGTTCAAGAAAAGTATCTCGCTTGGATGAAGATTATGATACGTTTATTGACAATCTCATGACGCAACTACGACAACTCCAACCTATGGCAGTACTGGAACCGCTGCTGGGAAGGAACTACGGTGTATGTCCTATCTTCGGTTCCGGTGACCTATCGAAAATTGGTAATCAGAAAGATTACAATACCAGAACTGGTGATCTTACTGGTTCTTATGGATCTGCGAGTCTTTTCGGTGTTGCGGATCATTACAACACTCAACCTTTTGGAGAACTCGAACCTTTACCTCCACAGCAACCTGCATCCACTCAAAGAGGCTTCTACGATCAAGAATTTGCACCACTTAAATTGGATGACTGTAATTATAATTATATTAATTTAACTAAAAGCCCAGTTATTACCAACTTCTCTGTAATCACAACTTACATAAATGCATTGCTATTCATATTTAGCGGACGAGAAGAAAGAAAATTGTTTAACTATGAATCGTGAGGTTGATACGCCAGACACGATCGTTAGCTCCTCGTCCCCAGAGTGTGTGATTCCTGAATTCATACATCGATTTCCTGGGCTAAGATTGATTGAGGAAGATTCTGATGAAGAGTCTGATTGGTTGAAACGCGTCTCTCCTGTCATACCATTAGTCTCCCCTATTCCTATTAGACTTAGACCAGGACACGCGAAAGACACATCTAAACAGGATAAGGAAAATGTCGGCGTATCTAGGTAAAAACTCAAGATGTTTACTTCGTTAGAACTCTACATAGTACAGTGAGCGTCAACAATGCCCTAGAGTCATCTCCACTCTAGGCTATCGATGACGCTCAGTATATATGGAACAGTATATGCAACTATAACATTCTTTTCTAGGTTGGGAAAATCACCACCCATTCCGTTAAGAGATAATGGAAATGTTACTGTTACATTGACCTTAAATAGCCAAGCTGCAGATGATATAATGGGAGTACTTAAAGACTTGGCTAATATTCTAAATATAGCTCCACCTACTGGTTACCAGATAGTAGAGCGCACAACTACACCACCTAGTCAAAAATTAGGACTTTATAGGACTAAAGGAAAAGATGGGAAGGAAGGAGGTGCGTTTCTTTTAATTTGCTTTCATTTGTAACTTTCATGTCCCAATATATTTTACTAATCACAATATTTGATCTGTAGCTCCGATTGACATCCAAAGTATTTTGAATGGTGCCGCAAAATTCTGTCGTCACTGTGACGTCGTAATATTGAACAGCTTAATAAGGAAGAAAGTATCAGATCTACCATTTTTGAGCAAAGAAGAAACAGACCCTGGCGAGGAACTCTGTTTCTGTTCAGCTGCCTGTTACATGCAATTCGCCCTAATGCATAGGGCTCCTTCAAATACACAGGATAAGGTACGGGCGTTACTGCGCTCAGTATAATAACCTTTATAACTACACAGTCAACATAAAGTAAGAGTTGCAACATTACAATTTACTATTCAGTAATGTGATATAATGTATGATATATCATGCGTCAGGTGGTTTATAACTATGACACCGCTGAGTACGAAATTGTAACGTAACTAATCTGTAACAGTCACGTTGTATTTTCCGAATAACGTTTCTATAACTATCTAATTATAATGTTTAATCTATTATATACAGGTTGCAACGATCGTAGATCACCTATGTCAGAAAGCAGAAACCAAACTTCTGGAACATGACCTTAAAAAGAAATTGCAACAGAATAAATTCATGACAAAACAATCTGTAGAATCTATCGACAGTATGGATGTCGATCCGATAGAAATGGATACGGAAACTAGAATCAAGACTGAAAAAGAAGATTTCGAAATGTCTGATCATAAGGAAGAACTGATCAATGAAAAACGATCCAAAAAGCACCCTGCGACTGAAGAGCCATTGAATGACGTAACAGAACTGCCTCCACCATCGAAAGTTTGGAGAGGTCTCCGTTATAAAAGTTGGTCTCTTGGTGCTATACATCCAGCTACTAAGTATAAAAAACCTACCGACAGAGAAATCACGGAGGTAACTATAATTTCGATACCTTTAATTAACTGTAGGATTCGTCTGAATTATCTTCTAGTCTAGATCTTACCCTTATTTCTTAGATGCTCTTCCGCATGGGTGTTACTGTAATTCCTGCCAAGACGGAGGACAGTCGACGATGCATGTTTTGTCAAAGTCAAGGGGATGGAGCAGCCGATGGACCAGCTAGGTTGCTCAACTTTGATGTTGATAAATGGGTCCATCTCAATTGTGCTCTCTGGTCTGAGGATGTTTATGAAACAGTCAATGGTGCCCTAATGAATTTGGATACTGCTCTGCAGCACAGTCTTGTACTCAATTGCATTGTTTGTGAAAAGCCAGGGGCTACAGTCAAGTGCTTCAAAATGCGCTGCACAAACGTGTATCATCTGGGCTGTGCTGTAAAGGATAGCTGTGTCTTTTATAAGAACAAGGTAATTCTTTATTTTAGTACTAAAATCCATGAGAATATAATATTTTTTTAAATGTTGAGTCTCTATGTAGCAACGGATCCCAACATTTGTTTATGTATTTCAGAGCACGTACTGTTCCCAACACGTACAAAAAAATGAAAAGGATAACGAACTAACTACACTCTCAGTATATCGTAGAGTCTATGTCAACCGCGATGAAAATAGACAAGTTGCAGCCGTAATGCACCACTCGGAGCACAATCATCTTCTACGAGTTGGAAGTCTCATATTTCTGAGCGTCGGACAGCTACTGCCCCACCAACTGACAAACTTCCATACACCAAACTACATTTACCCAGTCGGATACAAAATCGTAAGATTTTATTGGAGCATGAGGCGACCTAACAAACGTTGTAGATATGTCTGCTCGATTCACGACGTATCCGGCCGACCAGAGTTTAGAGTTCTCGTTCAAGAACCATGTCAGGAGGATGTGGAATTGCGAGATGCCACACCTCGTGCTGTGTGGAGTAGAATCCTGGAACCGCTTGCTGAGTTACGTAGAACAACGCACAGCGTCCAACTATTTCCTCGTTATGTATCCGGAGAAGATCTTTTTGGACTCACAGAGCCAGCTGTCGTAAGAGTTCTGGAGAGTCTACCTGGAATTGAAACTCTGACAGACTATAGATTTAAATATGGACGCAATCCTTTACTAGAGTTACCGCTTGCTATAAATCCAACCGGAAGCGCAAGGACCGAAGCTAGAATGAGAAATCAATTACCCTGGAAAAGGCCGCATACGCAGCGTACAGGTTCCTCTGCTCGCGCTGCTTTTGTTCCAACAGCTACTGTGGCGGGTGAAGTAGCATGTCCATATTCTAAGCAATTCGTTCACTCAAAGAGTTCGCAGTACAAGAAAATGAAACAAGAATGGCGTAATAACGTCTATCTGGCTAGATCTAAAATTCAAGGTCTCGGACTGTACGCCGCGCGAGATTTGGAAAAGCACACGATGGTCATCGAATATATAGGAGAAATCATCCGTACTGAATTAGCTGAAACGAGAGAAAAGCAGTATGAAGCAAGGGTATGTTATAGAGACTCATCGTTCTAACATTCCAGTACTTATTCTAAACTTGTTTTAAATATATAATTTTCACGATTTTAGAATCGTGGCATCTATATGTTTCGTTTGGATGAAGAGAGAGTAGTCGATGCGACCCTGTGCGGTGGATTGGCTCGTTACATAAATCATTCTTGCAATCCAAATTGTGTCGCCGAAATCGTCGAGGTCGAACGAGACCTAAGAATCATTATCTTTGCGAAGCGCAGAATCTCACGTGGCGAAGAGGTATGTTTATTGCATTAAAATAACTCGTATGTGCTTGTGATGCGATTTGAAATTTTGTCAAAATTATCCCATCATATTTGATGTTAATAAAATTATTCGATTGGATGTGTTACAGCTGGCATACGATTATAAGTTTGACATAGAAGATGACCAGCACAAGATAGCATGCGCGTGTGGCGCGCCTAACTGCCGCAAATGGATGAACTAAAAGAGCTCCCATCCACTGTTGTTATTTGTTGCTATGTTATTATTGGGTAGGTTTTACATGGAATATATATATATACTATATACTATAATATATATATATATTAGGTCTAATATCTAATCGTACGTATTAGATGTAATATATGCATATATTAGACGTACTATTTAAAATGTAAAGTGCCATTGCAGTTTGACTAATCGATTCATAGTGAAGTTGGTGCTACGCCATCACGACATTCCTCCAAAGTTGTACAATATTAGTTTTACTTTGTCGACCAGAAACAATGATCGCTTGTATATTACTTGTGACACTCTTAGGAAGAGAAATTTAAAGTAACACGACGAAACGTACAGAAGGAGAGACGAAACGATGTATGTATACAAAAAGTTTGTTTCTTTGTATGTTGAGTGGTTGTCGACGCCCGGTTGACAATATTGTAATATAGAGCGTTTATTATTATTATTGCATATACATTGCACTGTATCTGTACATAGGTAGAAGCCAATGTTATTTTGAAACCACCAGAAAAATTATGTAAAGTAAGAGTACCTAATTTAGAATTATATACAATTATAACTATTTGAATATACATCAATAAATCAGTATGAAATCTTATAATCCTGCCTTTTATTATTACTTTAACTATACGAAACTTGTAAGTAAAAGCTTATCAGAAAGGGAAGTTCAAGGTTTGATTGCAGATAGAATGATTAGGACATGGATTTTTCTGTAACACCCACTAAGATGATTAACTTTATATTTACTTTTCATACAGAACACTATCATTAATTTTTATCACTGAAAGTAGGTTTCAAAATTTTTATGCTTAGATATAAAGCCGTTATTAAAATCACGAGCTGACATGGGTTGGCGTCCAGGTACAACCAATTTTTCAATAGAAACCCATGTGTTATCTCGACAGCATACAGCCAAAATATCATTCTTCTTGTCATATATCACTGATCCTGTAAAATAATCTTTTGAAGTAATTTGCTAATTTGAGTAAAATATATTTAAGAAAGACGAATCAAGTGGGTATTACCAGGTGAACTATGTGATGAACTATATGCTTGAGTTTGCTTTTCTAGCACTTTGATATTCAATATCTTGATCGTAATATCCTGAAATTTTGTAGTCAAGGGGTACAAGCCTGTGATCGCACGTTGTAAATTATATACATCCTTTGCAGTCATTTCACTCCACTTCACTAACGATATTTTTGATGATACTTTTGGAGCTGAAATTATATTCATAGGATAATGAAGTTTTTATAAAATTTCATTGTATTACACACATCATATAAGAATAACTACCATAAGTAATACCAGTATCTCCTTGAGGTTTCCCAAATGTTAAAACCTTTGGTAACTGTTCAACTGTACTAACTAACAAATCAGCTCCCATGCATGACAATTTTTTATACAATTCTGGCATTGTCTCATCAGGATGAATATCAACTTTCTGCTGAGCAATGATGGCTCCCACATCAAATCTAAAATCAGTGACTCCTAAACCCATCAATATCAATATACATACAACTCTTACTCAAAATCACTTAGTAATGTGTATTACATCAGGTAGAAACCATTTTTAACTACAAAATAGCTTTTTAGATAATCAAGATGCTTACTTTTTTGGCATTATATTCATTATTGTAATTCCTGTTTGAGTATCTCCATGCATTAAAGAATAAATAATTGGTGCTGCTCCTCTCCATCTTGGCAATAGACTAGCATGTACATTTAACATACCTCTATAATATTAACACAGAATAAAGGAAAATACATTTGATAAGAGAAAACATTTTTAAAAGCAATTTTTAAAAAGTCTTACAATGGGAAAGAGTGTATGATGTCAGATGGAATCAGATGTCCAAAAGATACAACCAAACCAATATGAAATTCTGATGTGTTGATCTTTAGCGGCCAATGATGAATGGGAATACTATGAAGATTGGCATATCGTTGAACAGCATTTTCTTTACCTTTGTAAGCTGTCACAACTTCCAGCCTGTGCAATAACTTTTTGGACCTACTAAATTGATAAGATTTTGAACAACAATTATTTAATATTATAAAACTTCAAAATTATGATGATTACTATTTGGCATGAAGTTTTTTGAGGCTTTCCAAAGCAAATTCATCGGTGCCAAAAAATAATACACTCCAAGGACCATTATTGGAACTAGTGTGAATATTGTTTTGCGTGAATACTGGTAGTACTTTAATAGTCGATATTAGTTTATGGATGTTTAAATCTTCTTCAATTTTTCTCATCAGCAGCACATTCCTTAAACTTTGCTGTTTGATAATGCGGCACAATGACATTTCAAATTCCTAATCATTTATAAATACTAAGTTCTCTACCTATTACGAACTTGACATAACCTGTTAATATATTATACGAAGGAAGGGAATAGTAAAAAACTAAGAGCAGATTTTTCCAAAATTAATTGAGGTTCCACTGGCGAGTTTAGCCAATCAAATCCAGAATTTCTGTAAATACAGACATTTCATTGGCTAATCGTACAAGTCAAACCCCAGTAAACTTTGTGGTATTAAACTCCGGCCAATTGCATCCACTGATTTCAACCGGCGACAACAAAATTAGTCGCATGCCATAGGATGTGGGTTCCCGTCTCGCTCATGGTATTATTCACCAATGAGTTTTCCTCTTTTCAAACAGAAATCCATCGGAAACCCTAAACACTCCGATATATAGGACATTCACCCACACTCCCCTAGGTCTGTCTCGTTACCTATGCTTTCTGCATTTTTCAGAAAGTACGAATTCTCATTGATTACTTAAAGATATCATCCAATAAGAATTTTCACTTTTTGAAAAGTGCAAAAAGTGTACGTAACAAGACAGACCTACAGATTGTTTCTAGCGGAGTCGAACGAGAGTTTAATTATAGATACTCCCGTGGAAACATAGCAACTGTCCCGATTTAGTGCCTAAACTGCTATAAGTTCACATATCCTGTCTATTTAGCCGTCTCATAAACCATTTGATTGAATTATAAATTCCTCTCTCTTATCAAAAAGTATCCCAGTTACTGGTCATGTCGTATTCAAGATGAAGTCATAAAGAAAATGAAAGAGGGAAGAGAATCCCCAAGGCTATTATTCAGCTACTGTATGTGCATGTACGTACACACATACGCGGAGTGATGACACGAATGACTATGGTCATTGAATTTCCAGTAAGATGGACCACGATCTCATGTATCTGAAAGCGGGTGGTTCTATTTAGAAAAGTGAAGGTGATCTTAATATATAAAAAAATGCAACTTGAAAATAATCACTTTTATATCATTGTACATGTTTCTCTTTGTTATTTACAACTTCGTCTTTAAGGGCTTTTGCATATCTTTGAAAACAAACAAGATATTTCAAGAATAAACTTAGGTGATAAATAAGTACCATTGAAAAATATGCCAGTATGTAAATATATAAGTACCACTTAAAATCCTTATAACGCAATACTAAAGCTCAGATTTTTTGTGTTCGTTTGACATGGCTTTTTTCTAGCGATGGGTATGTTGCTAGAATAATTTTTCATCTAATAATTTGCTCTGTACGTACAAATACAACTATATCTCGGCAACATTTAAATTGTTAACCGTAAGTTCTCAATAGATATTTATTCTATTTACACTTTTACACGCGCTCATTAACATATAACTGTATTAGTACGCACATAACGAATAGAATATCACGAGATATATGTTCTTCTAAAATTGTTTTCAACAATATTCATGAACATAGCTCATGTTGCGTAAATAAAACAGCGTCATGTACAGTTACAAACATTTTAAAACTAGGCTTTCCATTTTCATATAAATCACACTTCTTAATTTTTTCAAACACCGGCGCTGAACATCCTGCCACATACATTTGTACGTCTATTTTTTTGTATTCTGCAGCAATATTACGTAATGATTTGATACCACTTGGATCCACATAACTTAGTGCAGTCATGTCCAATATAATACATCGCAATGTTTCTTTATCATCGATATCGTGTATATCTGAATATATATCATTCTTTAATTTCTTCCTACAATCCAGAACTAGTCGAGGGACCACTCCTATGAGTTTGTATATTTCCGACTTGAGGTAGCCTGCGTTTGCAAAATTCAGCCCTCCGCAGTAATGAAAAATCTTTATTCCGCATATTTCTGTCGTCTGTAAAAAAAAATAAATGCTTAATTTTTTTAGTAGCATTATATATAGCGAAGATATTTTAGATGATCAAGTTAGATGAAGCATCCTTTGAATTTTAAATTCTGCTTCTAGTTTCTTTGACTTACTTCCTAGTTTATTTTTAAAAAATAATCAACATATTCTTTAATTTTGCATTGATCATCATCCATACATACCCCTTTATATCGATTTAAATCCAGGTACAGATCTGTGTTTGGAATATGCCCCAATAAGCAGGTATATGGTTTGATACTTTGTAATAATATAGTCGCAAGAGATACTAATAATCCTGTCAATAAACCAATATCAATACTTATTAACACCACTGTCAAAACGGTAACAATCCATACACATGCATCAAGTTTGCTTAAATTCCAGAACTTGATTAACTGTTTTGCCTGCTGTAACATGCCTTTTAATGCCACCTTTAAGTAAACAAATTTTATTATGTATACATTGTTTGATACATTGTAAGCGTTTAAATTTTTAATAAGGAATGCAAGTAATAAATTATAAGGTGAAGTGTGCAGTTTCTGACCTTTTAGGAGCTTATAGGTAATTTATAATCCCCCATTATATAAGCTTCATTAGACCAATGTCTGTCTGATCCCTATATGATTTAATACCATTTGCTTGTTTGTGCCGCTCAAAAACTGAATGCTTTACTTTATACATATTTAAAATATAATGCAATTTTAAAATCCGGAATATATGAAGTGATCTTTTTTGAGAATCGAATGAGTTAAAATATTTTAGGCGTAAAGAGAAAATTTGAGATTAAAATTAAAAAATTTCAAATAACGGATCCAAAATGACGATCGAAGAGTCGAAATTGTTTGATTTACGTGAAAACTAATTTCCGAGGATATTAAAGATCTTTGAAACAAATTCAAGATCAAAAATTTTTAATTAAAAACGATAATTAACAATGCAAAACGTAGTCAGCTTCGTAGGGCAATTGGTCTCCGCGGAATCTCATGTACCAAATTTTTAGTTAGACATTTACAAAAATGATTTACTATGATTGAATGTTTAACATAAAAATTTTCTAACTTGTAATTTAAAGCAGAAACTGAAAATTCTCTGGAGAAAATTTACCGTGTATATCTAATAACTTTTAATTATTTGCCGTCATATTGATTGAAAGAATTGAAACCTCAGATTTGAATTCAATAACTCAAAAAAAGACCTGTTAAAGTAAATTCAATAATTTTTTCATCAGAAAATCATTCATTTTTCTTTAAATACAAGGGATCAAATACTGTTGAACCTAAGGTGTATAACATAAAAATCTACTTTACGTACAACGATGATAGAGGCTAAAACACATCGTGGCAAAGTCTCAAAAAACGGTCCAATCCACAGTAATATAACCAGTAGTATCATGCATGATACTATACTGGCTAATTGGGTCCTTCCACCAACTGACTGCTGAATAACAGACCGACTAAGTGATGCAGTCATCGGCATGCATGAAAAGAACGATCCTACTATATTGCTGCTCCCCTATATTTAAAATATAAATTTTAATTGTCAGAATTACGCCGAATTTCAAAACCGTACATAATACCACCTTGATATATAATATTACCATTGCAAGTAGCTCCTGATTCGAGTTGATATCATAATTTAATTTTTGTGCAAAAATTAACGCCATGGACATCGATATCGTATACGAAACCAAGGTTATCATTATGCTATCCCATGCAATGATAGGTAATAGTTTAAAAGTGGGCAACTCTGGCATGGGCAATCTATTAATTGATAAAATATAACACATATTCCAGTATGCTAAATATGTTCAATAACAAATACAGTCTACATAAAAAATGATTACGTACCCAGTAGGAATATGGCCAACTGTTTCAATATCATACAGTTTAGATAAGTTACAGTAATTAGAAATTAAAGTTCCAGCAACTACAGCGATTAACTCAATGGGTATGGGAAACCGGCAACGCTTGCTGAACCATGGCTATAATTATAGTTGTAATCAATATCAAATATTGGTTTCACATGAAATAGTCTGAATTGTCTATAAAATTGTGAACTTACTTTTAAAATTTCATTATTGAGCAACATTATAGTTATTGATATTATTGAAATGGTCATTGCAGCTATATTTGCATCTGGTAATGCATGTACTATATCTATACTAGTCTGAAACATAATACATATGTCAATTTTTTTAAACTAATGACAATGTGCATGTTTATAAATGATCCTACTTTTTCTTTAGAAAAACAGAAAAATAATATTTTTACCATAATCCAATTTCAAATTGTATATATATGATACATACGAATATAAGTTTAAATAATCCTTTTTGCGGAGGTAGTTTTAGTCCTAGGAGGTCTTTAATTTGTGACATTAGAACATATATCGCTGCTCCCGTTGTAAAGCCGTTTACCAATGTTTCACTTAGCAATGTGCTTATGATACCCAGGCGGAATACATACATCACAAGCTAAAAGTATTACTATTAATGTCATGAAATTCCAAATAATTATTATATTGCTCACTTACTTGGAATGTGCCAACCATAAATGTAACAGCTGTAGCAACTTGCATAGGTGTATAAATAGGCAGTGGTTCTGAACTTTGATAACCCATAATTGAAGCTGTTTCATTCATTTTTACTAATATATCTGAAGGGGTTGCATAGGATGACACCGTCTTTCCTGTCATCAAGCATACCACAGCAAATGTTCCTATTGAATAAATATAAAGATGAATACGTACTATTAAAGTATTTCAATTAATATTTCAAATAGTTAAAAAATATTACCCATAGAAACATGTCTAGATGTACCAAGAAAGAAATAGATAAGAACAGGAAAGAATGCCATGTATATACCAGTCACCGGAGGTAAATTTCCTAACAAAGCATAAGCCATACCCTGGGGAATGTGCATAATAGCCACTGTGAAACCAGAAATCATATCTGGAAGAGCATTTTCCTGCCATTTATATTTTCTTAACCAGTACAATGCTGGTATTGTAGATATTAAACACGATTCACAGCTTTCAGGCTTCAATGACTTTGCAATACTCTTGATAACTGTGAACATAAAACATAAGTATCTGAAATTTATACTCAATGCTATATTTGAATTGGTTTGGAATGGTAATAGCTTATTGCAAGTTTACTGAAAAAAAAATTGCAAAAGCCCTTATGGTTACTTACCAGATACTTTTGGCTTTTCATAATGATATGCCTCATTCAAAGCTTCCTGTTCATATAATGGTCTTTCTACTTGTAATTCCTGTAAGACATCATGTTCTTTTCCCATGCTACCTATATGGAACCACATTATGTTGTAAGGTTTTATTAATAGATATTGTCTATAGAAATTAATTACTGTGATTAAATTAATATGTGTAGTGAAGTATACTAAGCACATGATACAATGTTACATACTAACTGAGGAAACAATGATTAAAAGTTACAGGAAAAATTATTACAGTATTTTGAACTTAGACATGATAGATATATACTTAATTACCCATTGATTAATTATTTATCAATAATATTTTATTAGTGCAAATAACCTAAAAGAATCAGAATAATAAGCTTATTATTCTTTATAATTCTAATTGAAAAGTAATATTGTACATTCCAATCAGTAAGAAATTTTTATTCATTGTCCAATCTTGTGATAGTAATCAAATCATTGTAATAAATATATATCCTTAAAATAATATTTTTACTTTTTACTAAGTTATTACATACCATTATAAATATAAATTTATATTGCATGTATGTCAAACTGACTCTGACAAGGAAAATGTTATAGATTTTAATTTTAAATCTAGCTATCATTATTTTCCTGCAAGTTTTCTGCTGTCTTTTATGTAATTATTTTATGTATCTGAAAAATATCATCTATCCCATTCATGACAAAATTAAACAATCAGGTGTTACTATTAAAAAAAAATATTCAATTGAGAAATATATTCAGGATTAAAAATAATACATTAATAACGGAGGTTATAGTCCTATCTTTAACTTTAAAGTAATAAACTTTTATTTCCAACTATATAATTTTGCCTAATCATTAAGCAAATGTACAGTTCATTAAGACATAGTTTTAGTTATTATCATGCAGTTTTACAAATGGCTCACATAAACCATACGCAAACAAAATGTAACTTTATCTAACCTCTTAAACCTAATCAACATTTACTGAAAACATATTACACATTGAAGATAGATATTTGACAACTATTATTTTCATAATCAGTAAGTAATACTATTACTGTATGATGGAATCTTGCAAAGACTTGTATATACTATTATAATATACTAATTTTTAATTATAAATGTAAGTTGCAAATAGCGCAGTTCTATATCATAATACTTATGATTGCTGGTAAAATGATATGTTATTATTAAGCTTACCCATGATTAGAACTGAATTTCATAAAAAAACTGTTACTAAAATTTTGTAATTTCCTAGAAGAATGTGATATGTCAAATATACATAAGACTGTACATTGGTTATGTTTTTTAATAAATCTACAACTATCATTCATCAGTAACATTCCGTATACCTAAGCAATAAATAACCAATTACAATTTTCAATATAGATCAACTACTATGAAATACAACACTGTTTATAATAACACAAATCCTACATCTTATTCTGTTAATGGCATTTGCTTGCGTCATCATGTTAGCTGTAAGAGTATGAAATATAGGTATATATTCCCACTAATTGACAAAATAAAGTTTCAATGCTATGGATACTTAACGCCTGTAAGCAGTTAGTACAAGCGAAGTGACGTAAATGATATGTGCTTTAACCTCAAACGCCTCCTGTGAAAAATTGATATAATTTGAATCAAATAACACATGTACGTAATAAAAAAAGCAACATTTTTGTTTTACGCAATGCTAGATGAACTTGTGTAATATGACCACAATTCTAATGTATCATTAATTGTAAATCATATGTATTAAGTAGTAATTATCATATGACAAAAAATTATGGGGAAACAATTTCATTTCATTACAGTTTTTCGATTATAGAATGGTCTATTTTAAGAATATGGTTGAATTTTTCCTTGAGCAAGTAATATATATCATACTTCACGTAGTTTTTACTACGTAATGAAGTTACATAAGATTGGTAGTGAAAGTTCCTAATCGTTTAAATACTTTAATACCTATTCATCTATCTCTCGGTTAATTCACGTAGAAGATATATATCTTCTTATCACTTATAAATAAATAAGCGAAGATCATAAAACTGAGTAGATAGTAATATATGCGTTATTTATTTTTATCAGTTGAACAAAAACGCTAAGGAATAAACAAACTTTCCTTAAGTAGTTATGGATGTGCTTCCACCGAAGTTTGACAAGATTTGAAATACATTGCACGTATGTATATCTATAATTTATCAACATGTTATTCACGGTAAATTCACCAGACGAAATTGACCGTGAGCGGATGATTTCATGAATCCAGAGCAGGATTGCATCATCAAAGAAATGATAGTTAACGTCATAACATTGTTAGGATCATGAATTTTATATTCTTTCATTTGTTTAACAAGGCTGCACTGCTATGATTGACAAAAATGCTCAATCGCGTCCAACTTCAGCTGGTGCGTTTACCGTGAATAACCCTGTCAATATTCAAATATACAATATGTACATGTATTTCATCTCAGTCTGAAATTGAGTATCTCCAACTATAAAAAGTGCAAATATGTAGTAGTGAGCCGTGAAGATGAAGTAGAAACTGTATTCGATTTTGTGAAATATTAAAGTGATCATTTTGTTTAAAACCGCATTCAAGTTATTTATGAAGGATGAAGTTATGGAGACACCACAAATTACGAAGATGTCGAAAAGACATCTTCAGGAAGTCTTATGTCTCATTTTTTGACGTTTTATAGACGTCTAGTGTTTAAACGATCTCATTTTGATATAAGACTACGAGATTTGTGCTGTCTGAGTAGACTCAATCATCATTTTTGCATTTGAATATTTAAATAGAGTCTGCTACCTAATATACCTAGCAAATACAAAGAAACAATTATATATCGGCAATTTAAAAATTTCCTTCTTAGATATCTAAAAAGTATAATAAAATATTTGTAAATCTGAACTAAATGTACGATACCTTAAATTGAGTTTAGGCAACCACTATAGTCACCAGACACAAGTTCGAACATTGAATACCGCTCTCACTAATCATAACTCTATTATGACTGTTACCTTCACATTCACTACTTCGCTACACGTACATAATCGTGATTTATCTGTTAATCCTTCAGTATTGCTTGAGAATCACTCAACAAGTAATATAACGCTTCTGTTGGCTAATCAAAATCTTAGCATTTTGTACAGAGTAAAGATAAAAAGGTCGCGTGATGCTACGAAGTTATCCGACGTAGTCTAGGCCTTTTGTAAAACTGTACTGTCTCAGATTGATTAGTGTAACTTAATGAGAATTGATAGCATATATATTCGACTTATATACTCATACCTCTAGAGACTTTGTACGTAACATACATGTTTAGTACAAACGATCATTTGTACATACACACTACGAGATATTGTATTATACATTGAAGTACAATAATACAAATTGTTCGAATATGTATACACAACGTCTTTTTATCGTATTGAAATAGAAATGAGCAATCATACATTAATTTATGTATATGTATATGCAAATGCACAATCACTGCAACTTTAAAACTACAGCCAGCGTTATAACTGGTGCACAAATAAATTGATGTAACCAAACTTTACAGGTACTTGACGCTGCATTTAGCCATAAAATAAAGTAAGGTTATGTCCTTTATAAATCTTCATATGATCATAATTTTGACATAAAAATAAACTGAATTTTCAATAAATATATCGTACATTAATGCAATTGAATTTGAATTAGGGTATAGTGCAAATTTAATTATTCATTTACAGTTCATTTACAACTCTACCACCTACAATCACTTGATTCTTCTTCAAGATACGAGAAAATGTCACAGAAGAAAGTTGTTCCATTTGAAGGGTGAAATCAGGACATGAAAGTAAAATTCATCTAATTTTCATATTTTCCGAAGCTTTGCTGACAACAATGTTTTTTTAAACGGGACTTCTTATTTTTTTCCTACTACAGGAAAGCTGAAATCAAAAACGCAATCAACCATAATTGAATTATCGAAGTGAAAATTCAACGATAAGTAGATATAGTGGCAATGTTAATACTATTTTTCACTCACTCATTTTTCAATATATGCTCAAAATATTGTCCGTCAACCTGAATGCACTTGTTCACACGCATAATATAACATTGCCTAACCTTGGCTATTATTTCCGAATCAACATTTGCACACGCATTCGTAATACGTTCCTTTATATTCCTTTCTTTATGTTCCTTTATATGTTATTGGGATGTACAGACGGATAAATGTTGATAATTCAATTATGAATTTCGAAGCTCAAGGTTATTCGAAGGTTAAGTTATTATACACGGTTGAATGTGTTTTGATTTCAGCTCTTCTGTAGTAGGAAAAAAATAAGAAGTTCCATTTAAAAAAACGTTGCTGTCAACGAAATCTTGGAAATTATGACACTTAGATGAATTTTACTTTCATGTCCTAATTTCCTCCTTCAAATGGAACAATTTTCTTCTGTGACATTTTTCTCCTATCTTGAAGAATAACCAAGTTTTTGTAAGTGGCAGAATTAAATGGGACATCCTGTATATGTCTTCGGTGATAAAGTAAAAAATTTGTAAACTTTCAAAAAACCAATTACTTTATTCAATATAGACTCAGGTCGTGGTATACGCGGGAAAAAAAAACCGCAATGATTACTAGTCTGATTAGCACGAGTCCTAGATAGCATAGAAGATGAACGATGAGCAGAGTGGAATTGCACAAATTATTTAGAAGACAGTAACCACTACTATTTCGAAGGAAATTCTTACTGGGTTCGTTAGTGACGAATACTTTGGTACAAGGTGGGACTCACTGCTAACCAGACTGGTAACCATTACTGCTTTCCTTTCTGCGTGTATTCAAAGCTTATTTATGTAGTTCATACTTTACGTAATATTAGTTCAAATATCTTTATATTCTCAAAATTCCGTTGATGAAAAAAGGAGACAAAGATTCTGGATATCGCAGCACCAATTAGCTATATATTAAATGATCAATGGTAAAATAAGACATTACCGATGATTTATGTTCTTGTGAACTGATTATACTAAAAGACAATGACGATTCTTTAGCATGTGCGAATGGTGTCATATATTGACTTGATCATTAGAAGCAATCGAAATGGAAATATCAGATGACTGCCAAACATACAATATAACATGGACGACTTGGAAATGAAATTAATGAAGAAAATAATCTTGAAATATAAATTAATCATTTTGGAATTTCTGTAAACGAGAACTAACATTATTAATAATGTATAATTTGTATCATTCATGTTGCATCTGCCACATCCGCTGGCACAAATAAAAATTTGTTTCAATAATTGGGATTTAGTAGTTCGGTTTAGTAGTTTATTCAAAATGATGGATACCGTTTTTATTCTAGAAATGCTGGACAGCTGTGAATATTATTATTAAGGGACTCACAATTGGTAGAGTTTTGCGCCAAATACACTTCCTTTATTTTAGGTGCCCGGTACCTGATAATGTGAAGATATCTCAGAAATCGTGATTTAAAAATCGTACTAGTGTAATCAAATGAGTATTAATACAAATATTTAACTCTAATTTTTAGTAGCTGTTGGTAAAGTAAGTTTACATTGGCAGAGGATGACGTGTGGTGTCAGCACCATAACGTTAGTTTTTAAAGTTCTGTAATTCTTATTTTTCTTCGTTTAGTATAGTATATGTATATTCGTCCGTTGTCTCCTCAATAAATAAACTGTATCAACAGAAAGATAAATATTTACCTGATCACATTGATCCTCACGATTGTTGACATATCGATAAAGATTTATCGATAAGAATAGGGTACGATATTTAAAATTTAAAACTCTGTTCATGCTAAATTTTGATGCGCTGCGCTAATTGATTTTCAGCAGATGAAATAAGCATTGCCAGTTTCAACATATCTAAATGTATATGTTCATACTCATTTTTGTCGAGTTTTTCTCACTCACTAAGAGATACTAGCCGTTTCTAACTGTTTCAATTCGAAACGGAAATGGCTTCGAACGTGTGAAGTGTTATGCAACCACCTGCTTAAATAAAATGCGTATGGTCTTCCGTGGTTTCAAATGCATGTATCCAAATTTCCGGGAAAACGGCTAAATTAATTAGATTAAACTTGCAAATAACAAGTTCCGATTGTATGTAAAATATTCGATACTTGCAGACGTCTGATTTCAAAACGTTGATTGTGCAAACAGATAAAAGTGACATGGTAGGCATTTTCCCATCAGACGTGATCGAGGATGTGTTCAAGATTTGGTTAAGCCAGAAGAAGATGAAACAGACAGCCAATCAGATCACAAGAATATAGGTGAAGTTAGACTCCAGTGATTAGTTCATTCATTTTGACTCTAGCGGAAACGTACTTTGTATATCCATTTAAAGTTAATGAACTCATATACCGTCTGAAGTGAACTATAAGGAAAATCATGTTTTAGATATAGATGCAACAAAGTAGCATTCACAAATGTTTAGCAGTATTGAATTAAAATTAGTATATACGCAAAATTAATTTTCTTTTCACGGCAAATGTACAAAATGCGAGTGCATAGTTCGTCTGTCATCCCTCAAGAATAATCTGTCTTCTTATTTGTATGTGCAATAGTCTTAACCTAAATGCTACTTATTCATATTACTTTCATAAGCTTCTTGGACGTGGAATCTATGCCTGATTCCATCATTATTGAAAAATATCTTTTCATTTTTATGTATCTAAATACTATTACTTATAATAAGAAAATATATTATAAAATAAATTTGGTACTTACTACTTGATAAACTAAAAAAATAACGAATAAAAAGTGTTACGCATTATTAAGAATATGCTAGTAAACAATAGAGAAGAAAACTAAGTAAAATACGTATAGGTTTTTAATGAAAAAATAAGTACGGCGTACAATATAAAATTATGAATCTCATTTCGATTATTTGTTGTAAATTGCATAATAATTTTTTCATTGATGAGTGTAATATGTCCATAAATGTCTGTTAATAGTTAGTTAAAATTTAGCTCAACTGAACCATGATAAAAAGCCCTGCTTCCAGTTTCTTATTGTTGTAGTTACAACTTTTTTCTCTGGATATACAAAAACGATTGTAAATGTTATTACTATTTTCAGATACATCGTAACAATTTTTAACAAGCATGGGGAAAAAAGAAACAAATGCATCTCCAGGAGATGGATTACGATCTCTGCGGAGCACAATGTTGTTTCGAGCAATTAATTACGAATTATATGTGAAACCGGTAAGATATTTTTTTTACAATAATTGAAAATATACTTTTAAGTGAAGTTTATATCACTTTATATAACCTACAATATGTGGGTGGATTACAGTATATGGAATACAGAGGCAATACAATTACCATATGAGGTAGCTGCAATAGGCTTCTCTTGTAATAATGTTTGGATTTCATTGTCGGATAACTCATTTTCATCAGCTTTATATATACTTTTCCTCCACATTTATATGCTTATCCCCTTTATTCTATTTTATAAAACGTTTGCACTGTTGTATGTGTTCACACACTTCTTACGTGATATTTTTTTTCTTTATAGCTCTATTTATATGGGTTATCTGATAACAGATCCGTTGAGGTTATTTCATTATGAAGTACAAAGTATCATAAAATATTGTAGAGCAATTTGTTTTGGAGGTTGTCGTACACTTACTTCATTTGTAATGATTTCATATTCCTGTTGCCAGCTAAGAAGAAAAATAATGCAGATTTGACTTAATCAATTTATTTTTAGAATTCTGTGATAATGGCAATGGGTATAGTTGCAATAGCAGGTTGTGCTGGTTATATACTTTATATGCGCAGCAAGTATGAGAATATGGGATATTATTCTGCTGTTGCAGTGGATGGATCAGAAACATTCAAGAAAAAAGTATCAAAGTGGGAGGATTAAATTCCTTTTTAAACTAAATGTATTTATAATTTATATTACAATTATAGTTTAGTAGTAATAAAGACGAAATATTTGTATAATTATTGTATTACTTATTACTATCCCACAAGCATAATTAAAGTCATCAAAATGCATGTACTGTTCAATTTTATTAACACAATATTTCGTCTGTTATACAGTCAAGTTTCATATCAGTTAAAGGTACAAGAAAATAACGTATTTCTTACTATCAATCAATCATGTTCCTCACAACAGTAATACATTTGTTGTATTTTTTCAATACAAGATGTTAATTATTGTATATCTGGATGGTATCTTAGCTAGCTAAATGTACTTCTTAATATTAGGTTTTAATCTCTTATATTGCATTTAGCACTACATAAATAAAATACAAATTCGCATAATTTGTATCATCAATACTATTCATTATGTACATACATTATTTCTTTTTTTAAATGTCGTTTGTCAATAGCTGGTGCATTGACACATAAATTCTTATCTACATATAAGAAACTTGCTTCGTCAGAAAACAGTATGTTGAGTAAAAACTGTCCATCGCGACACATTTCTGTGCAAATCCAATTAGGCAGATATAAATCTTCGATGGGTGCGAACCGTGCAATTCCAAGATCACTGGTCAATTCATGTTTAACTTTACTATTTACAGTCTGTTTGATAAGACCGTATACGGCTTAATTTTTTCCTGGAAACTGTTGGAGGGTAGATTCAAACGCGAGCATGTAGCGGAACCCCTCCACCAAGATGCTTTGCATAGAAAGCCTTAGTATCGTTTGACCTTCGTTGCAGAAGAATGTATTTCACCATGAGTACTAAGTACGCATCACGTTACAAAACCGTGTTTTTGTGTTTGCATCCGAAAGGACCGAAAATGTCGTACGGAGCCGCTGCTAAATATATTAAAAAATCGAAAGCATTCGTAAGTAAGTGGGTGGAACGTTATTCCGACATAAAAAACGTTGATGACCTGCCATATCGTGGCTTTCGTAAAACAACGAAAAAGGAGGACAGAGTGATTTTACGGATGTAAAATTGAAAAAAAAATGAAAAAAAGCCTCGTCTATCGTTGCGTGGTGGGCAGGCAGTTTTGAATAAAAAGGGTCTAAATGTGTCATGTGACACTATAAGAAGACGTTTACTGACTCATAACGTGAAATTTCGAAGCCCAGTGAAAAACCACTACTGTCTTAAAAACAAGTCGAAAAAAGACTCACTTGGGCGAAAGAAAATTTGGACCGCGATTGGGACAACGTGATTTTTTCGGATGAAGCTACTTTTTGGTCACGTTCTTCTATTAATTATACCTTGTGTACCCCCACCAATAGACTCCTCCAGCGGACCGTTAAACACGCGGTAAAAGTGCACGTCTGGGGCTGTTCTTCAAAGCAGGGATTTGGCACTTTGCACATCTTTACCGATAATTTGGACCCTGCCAAAATGATCAAAATATATCAGAGGGCTTTATTACCATCTGCCCAAGGGTGGTTTAGAAGAAAACATGAAAATTGGCTACTGTAAGAGGATAATGACCCAAAACATCGGAGTCATCTTTGTACTACGTGGAAACAAGAAAATAACGTTAACTTATTGAATTGGCCATCGCAGTCGCCGGATGCAAATCCTATAGAAACTGTTTGGGCACTCATAAAGTTCAAGCTCCGAGGGAAGAAAATTTGGATCGTCAAGCAGTTATTTCGACAGATTCGATCCATATGGAGGTCTTTCTCGCCAATTTATGTTATGAAATTAGTAGAAAGTATGCCTTGGAGATGCCAGGCAATTATTAATAGTGGAGGCGACTGGATAACATATTAATAATAAAGCATCACGGATTATATCATATAGTATGTGTGTATTTCTTTTTCAATGCCTTATTTTAAATAATTTTCGAGTCTCGCTGTACACGCTCTTGTCAAACAGACTGTACAATTAGCTTTGTAAAATTTTACATGCCCTATTCTGTATATGAAACGCAAATACAAATATCCAAATACACATTTTTTTGCTACTAGCGTTTGTTATACAGTAACAGTTAAAATATCTTATCGCGACGGTAAGGTCCAAAAGTTTATGCCAGTCAGAAACAAAAGCATCGCATGATTAGGATAATATACTCAAATGAAATTTTTTAAAAGAATGCATTTACGATTAGTAAATAATATAAACAAACGTGGAATGTGTTGACTAGATTCTAAGTAAATCGCTTGTAAAAGAAAAGAAATTCTAAGGCATTCTGCATTTTAAATATTTGTAGGTTTGAAACGGGTAGGACGAATATTTTACAACAAATTTTAAGTATCCCTCTTATTTCATTTAAGTCCATTAACATATAACATATAAATAAGTTATAATATTATAACATTTCTTATTTATTAAAATCTGACAAGCGATTTCCATAACAAAAATAAGACACGGTGTCATACATGATGTGCTCGAGATACACGTGTTGCATGTAGCATGTGAAAATTTCAAACTTTGACATTGTTTTTTATAACATCAGAACGGTGTACCTCAATAAAAATCGGCCTGTTCTGTAGGTATTAATTTAGAGAATAAACTATCAAAATTTGAGAAGATTCTGACAAAAATGATTTTACGGTACAATTACCTTGATGTATTACACGAGAGAAAGAAAATCACCCGGGAAAAAATTATATTTCACTCGAAAATTCCTTTATTATCCATACCTTGTTGTTGGCATTGACTTTAGACACAACCTGGCACAACCACTACTTCCGGTGAGAGCTAAAGGAACAAATTCGAAATAGAGTAAATAATTATCAACTAAGTATTAAATTATTTTTTAAAATTTTTATTGTCTTAAGCGATTGCGTGCGCAGAAGTGGCTGTCACCTTTATTATACATGTCATAAGCATAAATAAAATCTACAAAATGCATGTATTGTTCAATTTTATGAATACGATATTTTATTTATTACACAGTCAAGTTTCAAATTAGTTAAATGCACATGAAAATAATGTATTTCTTACTATCAATCGATACCTTCCCTCTATCTAGTCATGTTCATTGCAAGAGTAATACATTTCTTGTACTTTCAATATAAGATGTTAATTACGTTTTCGATGTTATCTTCGATAGTTAAATGTAGTTCTTAGTACCAAGTTTTAAACTCATTATTGCACTTAGCACTACATAAAAAAAAATGCAAGATTATACATTATGTATGTACATTACTTCTCTTTTCAAATGTCGTTTGTAAATAACTGGTGGACTGATACATTAATTCTCAGCTATCAGAGTATATATACACATTGAAATGCACAGCATCTTTCTGCTACTATCGTTTGGTATATAATGACAGTCAAAATATCCCATCCAACATCCGTAATATTAGATAATGTTTATATGAATAGTTTGTACTCTTTGTATTAAGGCAACATTTATTGAAACATGATTTGAAAAGATGCTATTGTAAGACGAATTATTAAATTATACCAAGTAGGGACCTGGTGTATAAAATATTAGCCTATTATATTAAAATACTAAGGATAGGACAACTTCGACATTTTGCTTCTTTTACGCTCGACAATAAAGATTGTAGGATAACAAAAGAAAAACGGACGTAGAAGTGGGATATGTGAGTGGCATTGCAAGTTCTAACAAGAGCATTTTTTCTGTGTTTGCGGAAACTGTATAACAGCGTCGTAGAAAGCCTTTGCTACATAATCAATATTTTTCTCGTTGAGGCCACACATATTTATACGGCCACTGCGTAATAGGTAGATGTGATGATGATCCATCAAGTGTTCAACCTGTCGTTCTGAAAAGATAACATGCCACTTATGATACTCCAGTTTTACAAAATGTTATTTCATCATATTTGTTATTTAGCTAACATTTATTTACCATTGAGACCAGTGTATGAGAACATTCCAATTTGTTGTGTAATATGTTCCCAGGATCCAGGAGTTCCAAGTTTTACTAGTCTATCATAAAGACCAGTACGCATCTCTTTTATTCTTCCTGACATTGTACGAATATGGTCTTTCCTAAATCATACACATTGCAAACTGAATATTTTCTTAATTTTTATGATAGCATTCAAAACATTAGTTATCAATCATATAGGAGAAGCGAGAAACAAAAAAACTGTGTACCTAAAGAACTTGCTTTAAACATTGAACTCGTGGACCGACCATAGATCGTTTTATACTTTCAAGGTTACTACTCACTTAAATACTTTTTTCCTGTCCTTGTGGCTTTAGAGTCAAAACGACATAAACTGGACAAAGAGCATTCTATCACTGAATCATATTATATCATTTAGGTCAAACTGATGTTTCGTATATGATATAAATAATAGAAAGAACGATAATTTAAAATATTTGTTAATAAAGCTAGACTCACTATACAGTTTTTCTATAAATCATTTTATGCGCTGAAGTAAAAGAATGTTGCTAATTTCGTTTTCTTTATCGTCATTTATGTCATTATCATATAGAATTAATTATTAATCATATGTATTGTCAAATTAAATTTTTATACACAAAATTTTATACAATTTTCAAACTTGCCAAGTTTGATTTTATTCTTTGTACAATATAAAAAGCAAGCAAATATTTATACATTTAATATTTAATGCATGAATAATAATTATTATGATTAATCGATATTGACCGTTTTAATTTATAAATTGCATACTGAGAAATGAAAAGCATGAAAAGTACTAATAAAATATTATAATTAACTTATGCATAGCTATTGGGATTGCAGTGTGATATGCGATCAAATCTCATGTGAGTAGATCCGGCCAGACCTCGGCAGAACTAAGCAGTCTACTATGAAATCCAAATAAATTGTAAAGTTATACATACGATCATATATGACCAGATATACCATCAGATCTAGCTAGATCTGAACAAATCTAATAATATTTGACTTGTAATTCTTTCGGATTTCATAGCAGATCTAATCAGATCTATTTAGTTGGGTCAAAATTCATGTCTAATTGAATTAGGTCATATTGATTCCGAGCAGATCTGATCATCAGACAATGAAAAAATAATGAAAAAGACTTACCATTCTTCATAGAGATCAGGATTTTTAAGCACAGTGGCAACAATGCGACCTCCATGATTCGGCGGGTTGCTGTACATTCCACGAACAATGAGAGTTAATTGAGATTTAACTTGAACAATTTCTTTTGTATTGGACATCACCACGACCATGTTTCCAACACGTTCATTGTATAACCCAAAGTTCTTCGCAAAACTTTGGGTACAGATGAATTCTATTCCACGATCAGCGAATAATCGTACAGCGTATGCATCACGATCTAAGTCACCACTTGCGAAGCCCTATTTGATGTAATTGAATTCACATATTATATTTACTTTTTATTTACGATATAGGATGTATAAATAAGATAGATAGTTAAATAAGTATACCTGATAAGCGCTGTCAAAAAGAGGAAATAAGTGTTTTTCTTCAATCACATCTGCGATTTTTGCCCATTGTTCTGGTGTTGGATCACAGCCTGTTGGATTATGCGCACATGCATGTAAAATTATTACTGCGTTTTCTGGGGCCTCTCTTAAGTCCGCCAACATGCCCTCTATATCGATATTATGATTTTCGGGGTCCCAATACCGATATTCGCACCCTTTCTTAAATCCTCCATTGGTAAAGATTAGCTTGTGATTTTCTGTTAGTCAAAAAAATGTTGATCTTAATATTTTTAAAGAATAGATATTGTCAAGTACATTATAACTCTTATTATTTTAACACTAGACCAATCGAATCCGTAAAAATGATGAATTTTAGATTTCTTGTTTTAAATTACAGAAACTCTTAAAGGTGCTTTCTATGGAATTTATATTGACGTTTGTCGAGACAAGAAAATGAATACATATGCCTATTTATTTTCTATCAACTACTTTAGTTTCAAAGTTCCGTATATAGAATACTTTCATACTCCCAAAATTATTCTGGTTGTTCTAGTGTCAAACCACATTGCAATATTCAATTATATTATTTTGTATGTACCCGTTCTTATTTGTATCTATAAATTTAATAGTAAATTAATTACTTACCCCAAGTAGGCTTGCTGTAGTAAAAAGTATCATAATGAAGAATACGGGATAAAAATTCAGCAGCTACACGCAACGCGCCCGTGCCAGATAAAGTTTGAATACCAAAAGCTTGACCCTGTAATACTGAGGATGAACTGGGTCCTAATAACATACTTGTTGCTGCTTGGCTGAAAGCATCCAATCCTAATACAGGTAGATATTCATGATTTTGTGATTCATCGACAGCCAATGCCTTTTCTACTTTTCTTACAACAGGTAGCACCCATGGTTTTCCTTCGTTGGTACGGTAAGCTGCAAGATTCAATATAATCACAGATATAGTAAATTCAATTTAAATCTGAAACTACTGTATTTTCATAGTTTGATATTCCAATTTATTATAAATCATATTTGGAAGTACGCATGCTTATTGTGTATAAATTTATGTACTGCACTATGATTTTTCATTGAATTTGAAGTTTGTAAAGTAAATAAGAAGGGCATTTGAAAGAATCTATATTTCTGTAAGCCTATACTTAACATGGCACTACACAAAGTTTCTTTATATATTATTATAATTAATCATGTTCTTTCCTAACACATATGATTCATAAGTAAAACATTGCAATATTTAATTTATTAAAATATATCATGATGCTACAGAAATATTTAAAACATATAAATAAAACTTTTTAGGTGATTAAGGAGTTCTCGTTACCATGCAAGTAAAATGTAAACCAAAATCGTAAATGACAGGATTTTAATAAAGATTCTTTCTCCAAGTAGAGTTTAAAGTATGTTCTCCAAGATCAACCATCGTTTTTACACCTCAGTCATAATTATTAACCCAGAATTAAACAAGTAATGAGATAAGAAAATTTTCATATGTTTCAAATTCATATACAAATTTTCTTTTCAGATTACTCTTTTAATTTTGGGTTATTTATTGCAAAAGCAGTGTCAACATTTTTGTTGATCTTACAGAATATGCACTTAACTCCACATTGGGAAAAAATGTTTGTCAAAAATTATATTATTTATAATTATCATTAATATTTTACTCATATGATAATGAGAGCTCACCAATTTCCCTAATAGATTCAATAGTAAAAGTCAGTTACCAATATCAGTAGAAACATTATGATTTATTTTAATCTAATCAGTCAGAATAAACAGTATCAGTTATTATTTGTAGCAATAAAATCTTTATATAGTTTTTGTCAGCCATATCATATTAATTATAACATTGCTTTTCATTCATTTGTAGCTGTTAATAAATAATGATAGGAATATTATTGTGGATATAATAATCTATGAGAACAATTAAGTGTACTAACAAATTTTAATAAATTGAATGTTCAATAATATTGTATTAAAAATGATCATATTCAAGCTAGAACTGAAAAAACAGAAATATACTAGGGTATTGTGTTAAATATAATCTTACAATAAATACATGTATTAATCATAATAGTGCAAGCCATGTTTTGATAGCCAATTATAAATACTATTAATGTAATACTACAAACTGATGTTAACCTTAATGCTATTATATAATCTAGATTATATAATAAATTATGTAATGCATAACATAATCGTTCCGAAGGTCACTCAAGGTTATACGAACATATATCCAAAAACAAGACTGCTACTAGATAATGTATTGAATATTATATAATATAAATTATACGTGATGTGATTGTCTATAATCAAATTGACATTGAAAAGACAAAAACCATAAACAGTCGTTGGCCAATACGTACGATAATTCAAAAGCTTCTGTGTAGTTACTTACCACCAACAGTGAGGTTTACTTTATTTTCAAATGTATCGTCGAGGAAGGCTTTCTGCAATGCAAACACTTCGATTGGTGGTCCTAATTTGATGTTCGAAAATCTGGTGCTCATTTCGCCGAGATTCTGATAATTGAAATAAAATAATTAGTAATACATTTTCAGAGCACGCTCTGTGGTATATCTATTGACGATTTAATTAGTAAATTTAACCACTCATAACATTAATATTAAATAAAAATTACGGTAATTAGGAATCTGATGAAAAGTCGATCGAAGATACTTGACAGTCCAATTCCAGGAATACTTCCGTTAGACTTGGTTTCACTACTATGACTTACTGGCACAATCTCAACAACCACTGACGTATCCAGGGACAAACTCACTGACAAACTACACGAACTACACTTTCAATGTATGAGCTACACTCCACTCAATTGCTGTGTGAATTTACATTTGGGTGAGTGAGTGGCACAAGGCAACACAACCACTATTATTGGCTATTTTTTAAATTTTCCGTTAGAGCGAGCGAGTAGATATTACTTCGGTGACTGTAATCGATTTACCTCGATAAATAGAAAACCCACTGTATCTATTGATAATAGCTGTTACTCAACTTTTGTTGAGTTTACCGCTTAATCTTAACTTTATTAATGTTTTTTACAAATTGATTGTGAGTCATTAGGTCCGTTCGAGCAGGCGTTTTTACATGCTCCAAAGCACTATAAGTGTGTTCGAAAATGAACCAAGAACGTTAAGAGCATGTTGTTTCTTGATCAAATGCATGTAATAAGGAGCGAAGCAACGATGCAGTTTCCGTTCTCGGCTCATTTTCGAACACACCTATATACTGCGGGGAACGTAAAAACTTTTGCACAAACGAACCTCGTTAACGACTTAGTTAATACTGATCTAAAGGAATTCACGAATCCCAAATATTCCTTATAAGTAAAAATGTCTATGATTTGTCGTGACCTGTGAGGAATACTTGGGATTGGTCAATTTCTCCAGATCCGTAATAATTAAACCGGTTTAAGATCATCGTGTAAACGGAATCAGTAATTTTGTAAGCATGGTGCGAATATAGATATGAGTATTAATTGCATTTATAATATTTAAATAGAAAACATATGCAAGATACTTCTTAGTTATTATCATGATAGTATTCTCTACTTCGTTAACATTTTTTGTTATGGCTTGTTTTCTTTAATTAATCTTTAGTTTCTTTCTTCAGTATTAAGTAACAATGGAGTCGTACTTATGAGATAAACTTAATTGCAAAATCCAAAAATAAAATGAATCAATGAATGTTTGCCTCAAATTAGTGAGATACAAAGACAGTAGTATAAACTATTTGATGACCATTTCAAAAAAAAGTGTTAATATTCATAATTTGATTTGTGAAAATTTCTATGTATTTATCAACACAGTTTTTTTTAATAGAAAGGAATTGTACTCTTAATTGTTGAATCTATTGAATGAATCTTTTTCATTGTATGTATAGTTTAAATATGACCCCTTTATTTTAGATTATAATAATCATGATCCTATATTTTTTGTATTATTGGTTATCATAACAGTTTTCCAAAATATAGTTTAAATGTGTTACAAGAAAAACCAAGGAGCTATTAGTAAAGCAGCAAGCTGTATAGCATTATCAGCTATCACAATGGACATAGGAGATATGCTAGGATCAGCATAGAAGTTCTTAAGGGGGTTGATACAGTATAAGTTGTATTTCAGACACAAAATATATGGGGGCTGATTCTCTTTATCAGTAATTTTGTCGGAGTAAGATATAAGGTTCAAAACAATTCTAAATACCTAATTAGATCTTATTTTATAGATCCTTTATACATTTGATTAAAGGGCAACACTAATTGTTAATGCAATCAGAATATCGAAAAAGATAACTTGCTACAAAAACAATTTGCTGATAAATAATAATATATAACTATTAATACTATGATATAGACATAATGTACATAGTACATATATCAAATATATTTTGTTTTAAAGAAAATATCAAATAATAATCATTTTTCATATTATTACAAATATGATTATTTGACTACAGACTTCAGGCTGGTATATGTAGTATACTAGAGTAAAGTACGTCACATACAGACAGTGGGGTACAATGATGCTTGCATTACCAACAGTGAATTTTTGAATGTACCTGGCTGGGAAGAATAAAAATATTCTGAAATATACGTACATAGTTTTCTAGACATACCTACCAAATGAATTTGGGTTTACCAGAGAAATAAAGTGGACATACTAACTCAAAGTTGATATATTTGATCTGGATATATATATAATCTTAATATCTTCTCCAGTTTTTTGTATTTGATGAAGTAATATATAGTTAATAATGACTGATAAGTGACAGATTTTTAATTAGGAACAAATAATACGATTGATAGCATTACAGTATAATAGTAATAATAGTTATAGCATTACAAAGAATTGAAAGTAGAACGTTTTTAATCGTGAAAATAGCTGAAGCCTCTGTTTGAAAATTATATTTAGACATTTCAAGGTGAGGAATGGAAACGAAGATTCCTGATTATCTAAATTCGTATGTAACGTCATTATATAACGCGAATATTTTCTGAAAGGATCATTTTTAGCAGTATCTGTATGACCGCGATAACATTGATAAAAGTGTCGCAATTTCTGAGGCATCCAAACAATATAGTAAAGTATTATGTCATTTTCTAGGTATTATCATTCCATAATGATATTTTTATATAAAACTTAAATTTGGAAATACGATAGTTTTTTTTTCTCTAATACGGATTCAATTTTCGCTCTTACAATGGCTTACAAGTAGACAAGTAGACTAATCTTGCAGTTAAGTTCCTGTAACTGAAATTCGTGCAATGAACAACTTTTTTGATTTATTCAAATAAACAAGTTTATTTTGGGTTGCGTTTGGAAAAGTTTTTTGTTTTCGAAAAAAATGTAAAGAAAAACTGGATTATCTCTATAAATATGCTCTGTGTCACACGTAATAAAATTTGGATAGGAAATTTACAAACAAAAAATGTAGATGTCAAATGTAAGCGTGGGATAAATTTTAATACACAAAAATTGGTATTCGCTCTGTGTTGTAATTATATATTTAAATCAGACAGACCCTTTCCATTCGAATACAAAATACATTTGATTGGGTAGTACCTCTTCTCGCAAACTTGTGTTACAATTTACATTTAAATTTCGCGGTTGTACATTGGTTAGTTGACCAATAGTATGTGATGTTACAATCGGCGCGTCATGTGCGGCCATCTTCGTCAGTTGTCCACAGGCTCTTCTGGCGTGCGGGCGTTTGTGAGTAATCTGTGATTGCTGTCGTTTTGGAGTTTCGTTTTTAACGACGAACACCCCACCGTATCTTCTGTATTCAATGTGTATGGCGATTCAGGTATGTCTCTACTTATTCCCTTAAGCAATTATCAGTTCTTAGGCTTTTTCCGAATTGGTATATTCCCGTCCCGAGGATACCCGATTCTTTTCTCGAAGTGGCTAATACCTTTGTGTTTCGCCGTTTTTCCGACTTTACGAAAGCAGACTTGTTGCGACGTTCCACTTTGTCCCACTTATCTACGCATATAATATTGATAAGATTCGCAAAGCAATAAGTTACTCTCATCGCGATATGATCCTGGAAATTCGTCCTACCTTTATTATGAAACGGAGATGAATAATAAACGATGAAGCATCTCCGTCTGTATTTTGTGAAGGCAATTTGATGACAGCGCCATTGATTCAATTCCGGGGTTCCGAAGTCGTGACCATGTTGTATGGCATGGCGGCTCTTGCACAGCCGTTATTCTCTCTGTGCGTTCACAATTTATCGTGTTCTGTATCTCTTCGCTCTGTCGCATTTCCTTTTTTTCTTTCTTCTGTTTAGTTTCTTCTAGATTTTTTTGCCAACCTTCCCTTGCGACTTCCCATTTTTGTTCATCATGTTCATTATTTCGTTGTCAGGCTCCAGATGATCATGGGTCTTTCATCTGTTATTGAGAAATGACAACGATAATTGTAATTTTCGTATTGCGCGATAGTAGATCTGTAAGTTATGAATGAGATATGTATATTGGGTTCCCATTCGGAGCCCTCACACTAGTTGGCTTGGTGCGTCGCGACATCCTACAAAGGCAACGCCTTTCTTGATGATTTATAACATGAAAATTCTAGATGTTTTACAGTATACGTTAGTCATCATGAGTTATTGGCCCTTTATAATATCTCGATTGATATCAGCCAACATATAAGAAGAATTGTTCTATTATTATATTGTTATTCTTTAAGAAACATTAAATTCGACTGTATGTACGCACGCGATATGATTTTTTTTTCCAGATAGGTTTATGCACATGTGTATGTAGTGTCTTGCTAATTCAAGTCTGCATTAAATGAAGCAAGTAGAGTTCTTGTTTTTCTATCATCTTTTATCATTTGTTATCGTCGGATTATTAGTTCGACACAATATGCTTTCATCATTTGTATCAAACTATCATAGCTGTCAAATTTGTGTATTGCACAGTTGAAATATGGATAATAAGATCATATCAACCGATGAAATATTTGTAATAATTGATACCAATTTTTGAAATTTTTTAAACTTATTTATATGAAAATATTATGGTGTAACATTGTGAAATTTACGAAGGATATAGATGTTCATTAAAAGTTTCGGAGTAAAAACGATATTTATATATATATTTTTTTAAATCACTTACGAGGCTTTCTTTCACCATATAATTATTGTATTTAGTTCGATTATTTGTTCACATATTTTTAGATCAAGTAGTTGTCCACAAGTTCAATGTACTTTTTGATAGGTCGTAAACGATAAATTCTGCATTACGCCCGTGTGGCTTTGGATAAAATGTATGCTAGAAAGAAGTATATAGGCGCATAATTTTACATTGAAATATATTTTTTTCTTAAACACATATTTTAGTGATTGTATGCTAAAACACGTGCTAATTTTTCTTTCTTACCTGTCAAAAATCATATTGAACTTGTAAACTGACTATATCCGTTAATTTTAAACAGTTTCAGTCTTTGCATATTTTTAAATAACTATTTTCCATCATAGGTAGCTTGACACAATATTATGCAATACTGTAGCATATATAGTACGATAGGTTACATATAGCTTTTGTTTGTGATGTTGCGTGTAATTTAGCAATGCCTGCAGGAGCACGAAGTATTGCGAATTCAATTGATTTTCTTAGTCGAGTTATCATTGAGTGCTGCTTTACTTTTGACGCATGCCTATTCTCATGAGTCTAGCTTAGGAGCCACGGATTAAGGATGACGCGATTGCTTGCGTTATTGGCGGTTACGTAGGCTGTTATCGCAAAGTAGCTCGCTGTCATAGCGGACCACCACGAAATATAATCAGAATGTAAAATTGTTATGAACATTCATATGGTAGTAGAATTTGTGGTGCTAACGATTTATCATTGATGATTGAACTGTGCCGTAGCGTTTCCTATTCCTTTCCAGGTCCTTAGGTTTTCTTCAGCATACATTCTTAAAGACTAATATTGTATACCCAAGGACAATGTTATTACATTTGTGACATAGAGTAGCAACAGGTGAAACAAAATATATGTATAGTGAGATAGAAATAGAGCATTGAAATACATATCTATATAAATTTGCCGTTTTCAGCTTAGATTATGCCTGGAAGATGCTAACTTTTTGTACTTAGCATCCAACATGTTTTTTATTAATACAATACGGCAATTAAATTCGATTTTCAGAAACTAAATAACAATTAAATCATAAATTAATTTTCTATCCAAGTTTTGCTATTTATAGCTTATTTTACGTATAGGGGCGATAGTTTTTTCCTACTTGGGCTTCCCCTTGTTAATTGACAATTTAATAACACCAAATTGCATCAATGGTTTAAATTTTGTACGATAAATTGGGGTCGTTATAGTTTCGGAAAGATGATTTACAGGCACTATCGGACTGTTCCGTTCTTAACTAAAATCTGTAGGGGACATATTGCCAAATTAAGAGCTGTTGAGGGGTAACAAAGCGCCCTAATGCAAATTTTAGAACTTCACTTCTTTTAGTTAAAAGCTGTGGCGCTGCTAGCTTTAAGAAAATTTAGAACCGCCAAAGCATAATAAATAAGTCTTGGGAAATTTAGCATACTCTAACCTATTTTAATCTAACGTAATCATTATTTAATCCATCACAGTTTCCGGGTGCCTAGCAATTCGCGTTAGTGCTGCTTTATGATACTCACAGTTTGGGCACTAGGAATTGATGGATTTAGTAATACTCCTTGAACTAGTGATATCAAATGAAATTATTGATACAGAATGGTGTTTACTCAACGAGGAACTGCATTTTGGAGGCATAGTTAAAGGTCTGGAACTTATCGAAAATCGAAGTTTCAGTTTTAATCATGTTAAATAAAATAATACTTTTAACATTCAAGGTAGTTTCTTTATCCAGAGTTTGGTGTCAAAACAGCATACATTTATCTCGTATCACAAAGTGACAATGTGTTGGTGAAATTCGCATCCTTGAAAGCGAAAATTATTCCATTAACCTCTTCTGCATTGCACAATGACATATGTATTGATATAGCATTGTTTGTTAAAAAAAAGTCATAAATAATGGATCTCGCTGGTCTTTTTATCCAACGTACTTTGTACACTTTTAATATCAAACAGTTTTGTCCGTTACTATTTAATTGTTGACAGGCGTTGCATCAGCTCATCTTGTAGCAGCTGACGAAATCGACAGCAATGTTATATACACATATACAGAGTGGTCAACTAGAAACTAAACTTCTAAATACCTCCCATGGTGGTAAAGATGGAAAAAAATATTGGACATCATTTGATTAGTTTCGAAGTGTAAATCTGACTTTAAAAAATTTGTTCAAACCATTTAAATTCTTTCTTGAACATTTTTTTTTATACTCTTAACTAAGGGGGGTCTCTAGGAGGTCGATGTCTAGCCCAGGTAGAAATATAAATAGGATAGAATTTTGGACCCGATTTCGGATGTAGACTAGCGTCCCATCTAACTTTTACCGCATTTTACGTGACCGCCAGATTAGACAAACTATCGGCCCTGATCTGATAACATTATCGTGGCCTTAATCAATTAGTCTTTATTTCTTCTCTATTGGCTAATACCGTTATACGTTTCCTGAATTTCATACTTGGCTGCATTAGTTTCAATGGCATGAACAATATTGTACTTGATTGGCAATTATCTTACTTCATTTCAAACATGAATTGCATGTTTTTACCTGCCCAGGAGTTTCATAGGCCTTACATTTATAATTACAATCTATCTGCTTTGCGTAATATAGTTTTTAAATTTTTTGTATTTTCGCACTCGAGTTTGCGTTTTACTTATTGCCTTTTCTTAGTCCATCTTCCACGACTAATGGTTGACATTCGCAAAAAGTACATAGTTGACTTTACAGTGCCATCTGACTGTAATTTAGTGCATCATATACTGTAAAGCTAGAAACGTAGGATGATTAGTGCGCCATCTACGCAAATATGGATATCGTATTAAAACTTAATCAGGAACATATTAGTTAATAATATTCTTGAGAGGGATTTCCCGATTGGGCTATACTAGGGCAGGATATGTTTAGACCGTATCTATAATTTCTGGATTGATACCCGATCAATGTCTAAGAAATAATGGTATAGCATCACACTTCTGGAAGATCTCCGTCCTCACCTAGGAACGAGCGCATATGAGAAATGCTCTATTAAATTTCTACCCGGGAATGGACCAGGGCGTATATACTGTTTCATCGAAAGATGCTATACTATATCTTCTACATTCAAGTGCTTTCGAGAGAGACGTGTAATCAGCGCCATCCGTGGCCTAAAAAAGTAATGGACGCGCGAAGACAATGACGACGACGATGGAACTGAAAGTGAAGCATCTCGTTCGATCTCTCGATAGGTCTTAATTTCTTGGATCAATCTTTTTTATTTTGATTTCAATCGATTGAGAGTATTCAAATTCTATAAATATATCAATACGGTTTTCTTATTTATAGCCACTCATAAGATATTGGATTCAAAATGCAGGTGCAAAAATTTCTTCAGGTACCAGAGTCTCGGTCGTCGAATTAGTTTCAAAATTGGCCACATGATGTTTTAGATTTCTAATTTAGAATTTGCAATGACACTTACGAATTCAAAATGGCAGATCAAATATGACGATCATTTAAATGAAAAGTTATCCGATTTATATTAAAATGAACATATTTTATGTTTTTAATTGGGCTAAATTGAAATTTAACGATCAACATGGAAAATTCCAAAAGACAGATTCTGTCTGGGAAAACATTGAAATGAAAAATTCCACACTTTGATCATTGTATTCGAATACAACGTACCAAAACCCTCAGTGCGTATGTTTTTACGAAAATACGATCAATGTTTAGCTGGAGTTCGTCATTTTGAATTTTGAAAATTATATTCGAATTTTGCGCACTGTTCCCTATCTGCATCTTAATTTTAAGCTAGAAAATATATATAGCTGGAAAAAAATTAGACTTGAGAACGATTTTTGAAATATAAATATGCACAGGGTGGGATTGTTATAACGCTTAAGGAAATTTTTAATTTAATAATCAGAGTTCTCCTGTTTCTTATTCTAATTATTCTTAGCCATTTCCACTAGAACTATAGTATTTTTTCCCTATTCTTCTTTCTCCGAGTATGCGAGCGGAGAAGAAAGAAAAAGAAAATATTTCTGCTAGTACGATTTTCATAAAACTTATCAGCTAGTGATTTTTAAGGTCGCTGCATTCAAATGAAACACGTGGTAATGCGTAAAAATAACATATGAGGACTTGAAGTGAATACGTGGGCCAGGGCCTCGCGGCATTGAAACTTCATTTTCAAACATGTGTAAATAAGTGTTAAAGTCGTATGATGAAGGCAAAAAATCGTGCATTAAAGATATGTTGGTTCCAAGGTGAGAACTTAATGAATGTGATATGATAAGAATTATCATTTGATAAAAGTATGATAACAAATTACTATATCAGTGGGATTCTTAAATTATCAAAATTCTAAAAGTACAGTTGAATGTTTTTTAAATTTTTCTTGTCGCTGTTTTTCTTAATTCCTTTTTTGACATTGATTACTAATCTAAAGTTAAAACTTAAAAACTTTTAAAATTCATGATGGCAGACCGAAATTTCTTAAAGTAATCAGATTTACACTAAATTTAAGACTCAGGGTTTTCTCGGGTCTCTTATTGCGAATCTGATGTCAAAATATAACAATTCCAATAACGGATTCAACCCAGGTAGAAAACGCATTCCGAGTATTTTTTTTATCGTAGTAGATAACTCATTTTGCAAGTCACATCTTACCTTGATATCCTGAAACATGTTATGCCAGAATAAGGCTACATTGTTACAAGCTATTTTATTATGCACTATCAAAATCCTTGTCGCCATAAGAATGGAAACCACAGTGACGACCGAAAAAGGGTTAATTCCGTGAATTTTTGGGAAAAATAAATTATATGAAAAATTCCTTTTTAAATTTGTTCGAAGTACACGGATCATGAAATATGATAATGAATCACGGCTTGTATTAGTTTGCATTATTTTGGAGCAAAAGACTTGAAAAAAATTCCTGTAATGTGTTTAAAAAAAAAAAAGAGTAAAATTATCAGTAAAATTTCGTATTGGTACACATTACAGTTCGATGTAAAAAAATGCACAAAAAGTAACACATTTTAAACATTGGAAATGACAATATTCCCTTAAGTTTTCCTTTCGTGCCTATTGCACGTATGTACATATGTTGCAGTGCAATAAAGAAGACGCGTGACACGTGGATAACAAAAAGGAATAGTGCACTATATAAAATATTGGCATTAGAGACATTGAAACCGAATATAAATAATTCACGTGAGACAAGCTGACCAATATGGCTGACTAGGCCGAACGTAGCTAATGCAAACTCTAAAATAGTACAACTGCGTAGAATACGATTGCTCGTTACGTGGGTATACATGTATCCATAAATCGTCGAGCAACAATATTTCGTCGTGCATCTTTGTTGACAATCAAGTCTGTGTTACGTAGTGTTATTTCAGAGCACTACGTCGGAACATGATATTTAACGAGACCTTCAGAATCTCTGCTATTCCTGTCACCATGACATGTCAGGCATTCATTGTGCGCGTTACAATATTAAATACCGTTGTTTAGTGGTGAAAGTGGTTGAAAGATATTGTCTAGTGGTACTATTGCGAATTCCAGTATAGTATTTAAAAGTAAAGTGTATTGTAATATTTTGTTCTCTTTATCTGATTGCAGGTAATATACGGAACCATACTTCGTGGTACATATAAAAATCTAATCTTCATACGGATGCTTGTGAGTCCTTAATATCTAAGTTTAACCCTTGGAGGCCCGGAAGACGTTATAACGTCTCAAAGGGGACTAGACGTCCCCTTGCTTGTAGGAGGTATATCTCCTGACAAAGACTTGTTCCTGTATCGCTTGTTTAAGGTTTCAAAAAAATTCACGTCGGCCCTCTAAAGGTTAATTATCCTATAAGTATATAGGCCAATTTTTCAAGAGTATTATTTAACCAGTATAAGAATGCCTTTTTGCACACTTTGAAAAAGTTATACAAGTTTAGTTAAAAAAGTTAAATAAGTTTATTGAAGTCCTATGCTTTAAGGTCAAACTGTACAAATAACTTTTTAATACGTGTTTAAGGACACGCCTCGATTTTTTTTTTCCAAGATGAAGATAGCATTTACAAATTATCCAGAAAGTGATATAACAGAATTTTTGATCTCGAAAAATGTACACGATATTTGACCAGCATCGTTTACAACCATAGTTGGGGCTTTCGTATTTCATGTACTATTTGTTAATATTATGTATATCCTCGAATTTTGTTGAAATAATTATTTTAATGACAATCCAATCGGTCGGTATATCATATATTTCTTGGAATATTATTAATTAACAAAATATATACTATTATTAAAAAAAAAAGCAATGCCGGACGAGTAGAGTGATGCATAAATACCTCAATTAGATATTGTTATCATGTTACAATCAGTTCTAACGTGGGTTAATTTGTAATAAATTTTGAGGTCGCGCGTTAATAGATAACAGTGGAATTGTTGCGTATAAAATATTGTCATTACTTTTGTTTTATGGAGGACGTATCTTTATATCTATTGCCCCTTAAGGACGCTGGTTAATTCAGCTGATACAATTGTCTGATATTTTTTTCTCAATGACATTCAAGTTCTCAGACAAACTGTTACTTTTCTTATAAGGAACATTACGTTTACCAGTGACTAATATTGCGTGTGATTCTGTCTCGCTGCAAACGTGCTTCCTTCTGTTTGTTTCTATTTACATTGATATATCAGCAAGCAAGCTTCGCTTTGAACTATCGGTCCAATTGCCCTTATGTACTTAATTATTAGCAATTAATTATCACACGCATTCCTAACATAATAGCAAATACTAACGTACTAACGTGAGTACAATAAGTTGTATTTAAAGGCACGTACTACTATAATATTCTCTGATCCTTGACGATCAGTGAAATGACTTGCAACGACGCAAGTCTCAAATAGGTCGTGACCTGTCATATGCCATATGTAGTGGCTTACTGCTTTGTAATAGCATAATTATTCAAAGGACCATGAGTAACTTCTGCTTTGATTTTTAATTATGAGGGTTTACGGGTTCCCCCCTCGCCCCCTCCACTACTCATCTTTATGCTGCCTTTTTTCATGTCTTTTTCATCTTTCTTGTATTATCTGCTATTCCCTTCCATTTCGCTGGCTAGGTTCCACATGCGGGGGACAAAAATTATGGCTACGACTATGACGATTATGACGCCGATGACGACAGCGACGACCACGACGACACGGCGCTCTCTTCTCTTGACGCCGTGCTATTTTCATCCTCGCTACCGTTGGCCCAGATTTGAAACGATCTTCGGACTGCGAACGCGTATCTTTTTTCTTTGGAATTTCCACGTTTGTATGAAAAACTATCGCTCCGTACCTTTAATACGTGAATTGGGACTATTTTGCCATTCCTTATCTTCCCTCACATTTCTACCCGCCTCCTCGCGTGTCCTCTCCTTGTTCTCTTCCTACCCGTTTCGCTGCGTATTATTATTCCCAATCAATCTTTATATGTGGGAGGTCGATATGAAGTTTTCAATTTGCCTGATGCAACCTTTGGCAATCGGTTTAATCGAGCACATGATTTTCTTTTAGTATCGATCGCATTATATCGGTGTTGTGCCAAACTTCATGCGTGACAATTTATTTTTAATGATTTACGTGCACGTGTGATATTGATTGATTCGCGGAGGAACGTTCTTAAAAAGTGATTATATTGTAACATATTGTGCCTGTACTACGAGAGCCTGCCGTTCGATGAGGTGGATGTAGGGTACATATATGTTGGCGTTTAAGTGATGCAAGAAATAATGCTGGATTTATTTAAGGGTTTCCCGCGATTGAAGGGTACGAGGATGAAATTAGTGCTTGGACTAACTCGCCGAACTGATGCTTCACTCGATTCGCTATAACTGTATCTAGCGTGCCCTGTAAGGCCGTCTGTTGTTTTATAATATTTGGTATGGAATTCGGAGAGACGTAGTTGGGTTAAGAAATTGTTTTTATATTTCATCAGTATTTCATTAATCGTATCTTATTTTTTGTCATAAATTTTAAGTTATGCTACCCTCCGTCGGTTCTTACGTGGGGCTTATTATTTAATTCAATCAATTCATAGAACGTATCTCAGAAGTAATCTTACGATCGAACCACCTTATTTATAATAATATATATAGTTAACAAGAATGGTTAATACTTTGAGTCTTTAATAATCACATTTCAGTATCACATCAATCCTTCTAGTGAGTGCCAGTATATATCTATATAAAGAGGGCGGAAATTGTGCAAATCGATTATCGATCTATCGAAGAGCGCGAAGCCACTTGAATTCAAACGTATTAATATATACTATATGTATAAGTATTTTCGTTAATATAGTCAGTCCACGGGTTCAATGTGTGTTCTTTTTTTTTAGATCTCAACAGTGTACTCCGTAAGAAATCACACGTCGCTTTTTTTAAGATCGGGAAAGTATATGCTAAAATAACAAAGTAAAGCATATTTCAATACAAAATGGTGCGCGTGCATATTTTGTAACTTAAATTGTATACACAGACACGCGTGGCTTGCTAGATAACAGAGTTTTCTTTGTCTTTGATCAGTCAAAAGAACGCATTGAATTCTTCGACCGTCTATAACAATGTGATGCAAAAGTATCGCGGACAAGAGGATTCGTTGATTTCATTTTACGTCTCTGAATGAGTTTGATTCTTAAATAAATATCAGGCAAAACGGTGAATGATTTTCTTTCGCGAAAAACTTAATTACGTGGACGTCGAACTTTTGAAACCGATACTAGATTTTGATGGAAATTTTATCTCATCTGTGGTTCGTTTAAATTTTTCGGATACACATTTCCAATCCTTATTCACATTCTCTTTTTTTTTTTTCGTATAACCATAGCGTAACACCCCCCTGCATATTTTACGCGGCCGTGCCCAAAAGTAGCTTTTTTTCAAAATATATTATGAATTTTTACCTAAACGACGAAAAAAGATAAGAGTACCTCATTTGCGTGATTTAATATTTTTTTTTATATTATATATTCACGCCAATATTCGATTCTTTTTCATTCTCTACCCAGGATATGACGTCTGAAAGACTGCTATCAATATTTTTTTTTACTTTTTGCTGTTAATACGACAACGGTGCTAAAGTATTATGAAAAAAGGAACGAGAAATATTTCTAGCAATATCTTGTTTTTCTTTTAAAATCTCACTTTGCTCTCCAGTATATATATATGTATTAGACTAGGAATATGCATCGGCATACTTGGTGCTTTTCATTACCCTATAACCGATCCTAAAGTTAAAGAACGTTGTCCTAGAAAATTGGAATTAGTTTGGTGATCTAAAAATTGGCGGTGGAGGGTTGTTTTTACAAATTTTACACGGCTGGCATCTTAATAGGAAAAACAAAGCAAAATTCGAGTGGTGGAAACGGACAAGGGATATCGAATACCAAAATAGAATTTTGTTTACTCTCTACCGGTAACTGCGTATTCGACGAATTATGTAGCGTATGACCTTGCCGTTGACCTTGACCGAGTGTTAATGCGCCGTAAATGTATGATACATATGGGAATAAGAAATACATATAATTCCAGTCTTATGCATGTAGTGCTGTTGAATATTTTCGTGGCAGCGATCGCGAATGCTATGTATATGCAATTACGTCATCAGTCCTAAACACGAAACTACTCCATAAGATTTACGAAGCTTTAACGGCAATTTTGTAATTTTTGTCAATTTACGAATACAGACTGAATGGGCGTTTAAAATGTCCTAATATATTTTTAAGTGGTTAATACAAAAAATAAACGAAAGATAATATGCAATATTTTGTTCAGTGCCCATACTAGGAACAAATACTTCAAAACATTTACTGTTCGTACAATGACGTTCGTTTGTTTCGATTTGGTATAGAAAATGTATTTTTTACAATCGCATATGTTTTAGGGATACTAGAAAAAAAAAATTTGATATTCGTTAGAAAAGAAATTGAAATCTACAAGTAAAAAGATGGGACGCCGAGCTTTTCAGCATTATCGCAAAGTTTGAAAAAAGATAATGGTGATTGTAATTGAAATATGTTATTATATAAATAATAAAGTTTTTTGCAGGAATAAATTTTTTTTCTTTAGGGGATTTATGTATACATTGATAAAATTTGGAGATTTTATACATGGTGACCAAAGCACATGTTCGCCTTTATTTTATTAAGCAGTTGATTGTATGTTAATACTGCTTTGTACTTTCTGCTTGCAGTTTCCTGGTGAGTGTATCCTCACATACATGGAGTTTCAGCTGGACAGTGCAGAATACTGCCAGGCTCAACACAAATAGAGAGATACGCCCGATATTCCTAGAAGCGATTAGATATTCATTAAAGTAAGAATAACGGGTTGGATAAACTGTCTTAATAAGGCAAGGCAGATATTAGAAACATCTAGATCATCACCAGCAAACCAGAAATCATCAGCTAGTCATCACGCAAGACATAGGACAATTTATTAGAAATCATTACTAATTTACATGCTCATTTGCATTGCAATTACTGAGTGCACTTAATACAGCAGCACGTAGTGCCAAATAGGTGAGTTTTTTGCTCACCTTATCATGTAGTTTTATCAATGTCACTACCATCTCTCTCAAGCCTCCTAAATCACGTGGGTCAAAAATATTGTTCAAATGAAGAACGTGATACTAACAAATATTAAGCAATACGACATAATAGATGTTTGAATGAACAAAATGTTTCCTTATAAGTAATATATTATTTTTATAAACACTTTTTTGAACGAGTGACTTAGGAAAGTTAAAAATACGTTCTTCTCTGGAAAATAAAGTATTATTACAACGGGTTTGACTATTAATATCACTGGAGAATTACTAATCTTTGTTCGGTGGTATTATATTCAACTGTAAAGCATTTATCATTCTGAATCATGAGAAAGATAAGGTTTCGAGCTATTGTATAATATTTAATGTACTATGTTAATTTGATTTTGTTTTTTGTTTGTTCTAGATAATCTTCCGTATAGTCAAACATCCCAAGTGGGAATCCAGAGCATATCATCACCACCTAATGTGACGTAGCTTTCCTTTGACGGCGATTTTCGCACACATTAAATTCTTCGCAAGGTCTACATGTGAGGTTTAGTTGTCCCGCGGTTTAGTTCTTCTCTGTATAAAAAAAAAATATCAAGAATCCAATTATTTAAACGGGAAACAACTTTATAAGACTGATATCTATGGGCTAATTTTCCAAAATCAGCCTGTGCTGCTTGATTAGAGCTTGGTCAAATATACAGAATCATCGGCTAAAAATAGAGAAAATATCGAGAGATAACTGTGAACAGTTCATAAGGATTCAATCAAGAATTAAGAAGGAGGCATAGTAAAGCACCCGTTACGACGAAAAGGAAATGAGCAACATGAGGGTTAAGGACATTAGACCGGCCCCTGCCGAAATCGAATACAAAAATATGAAGTTCCTCATCACTGATCGTCCGAATGATCAGACCATCCATACATTTATTCAAGTAAGTTGATTATCATTAACATTCGTACTTAATGTTCTTTAAGAAAGACAGCTGATCAGATTTAGCTGAAATCCAATTGACCGACGGAGTCAGATCAAACTTTAACTTTATTTTAGGATAAATAAAATATATCCTTTTTCATGTTTTCATAGCTTTGAAATTTATTAATTTAAATTCATACATTCAGTATGTTGTGAAATGACAATTTAATCCTATTTTCAGATTATATAAACTATTATTTATCTAGAGGATTATCTTGGACATCAAATTTATTACTGAATATTAGCTAAAGCTTGCTGTTACAACAAAACTTATTAATAATGTGTCTATCAATAGCACAAAACTCTTAGTAACGAAGGTTTTTCCTTCCGTAAAATTTCACAATAACATAATGGTTAACCCCCACTTTTTCTATACTCTCCTTCGCGCTATCCCCCCCTTTTTCTAACTTCGTGAACTCCGCTTACTCACTCATAGAGGTTCCTGCGCAAGCGCAATTTGAAAAAGTGGGGAGTTACGTTATTGAAAGATGGTCCGATTCAAGCATTACATTATTGAGAGGTTTTGCTGTTATTTGTAAGGAGCGCACAGTAAATAATAGTTGTCATTAACGTTATCAATGCGTATAATACCAATTATTTGTTTTTTATAGGAACTCAAGAAGCACAACGTAAAGGAAGTTGTAAGGGTATGCGAACCAACGTACAAAGTTGAAGAACTTAAGTCGGAAGGAATCAATGTCCTTGACCTGGTGTTTGATGATGGGACTTTTCCACCAAATGAGGTAAGTTGACGTAAATTTGTTAGTGCAGTAAAATACGGTGTTAAGTATCAACAAATTTTCTTCTCTAATATTAGCATTACGATCATTGTGTTAAAGATAATGTATTTTGTTTCTAATGTAATTGACATCGGTATCTCATAAATTTAAGAGGGGGTATTCTAATCTAGAAATAAATTTGGGTGGTAATTGTTGGGATTTTTGTTGGCAAAATACCATTTTGATGTAATTGATAGTATAAAATTATTCAGCCTTCTCGAAGAGTCAAGAAGACTTGTTCAATAATTTATACTAATTTACAAGCACAATGAGACCGGCCTTCACCCTTAACTGAAGTGTACTTGCTTTAACGTGTTCTTTTACGGCGTCTCGCTTACTTCGAACCTCTATAACTTCGTCGATTGTATGTACAAATATCGCTAAAATATTTTGGAGATTAAATTCATTGCGAGCCCCAATAGTTTAAGAAAATAAAAACAAGAAATCAATTTGTTTAAACTTGCGAGCTATAATACCGCTTGATATATTTTATAGTGAGGATTTTACCCATTCTTTTTTAATTCGTTTTAATAACCTTTGTTGAATTTCATTCTATTCACTCATACTTCGAACCTCCCTGATCCGCTCGTTCACAATTTTTTCAAATTGATAGCTGTCTATATCTTTAACAATATGTAGATATACGTATATTCGGATAATTTATCAATTTGCGGCCATGAATTAGCTAATTTACGCTTTAAATATTATATATGGGTAAAAAATTAGACAAATTTTGGATTAAAGTGGTTCGATAAAAAATTTCCGAATTTAAATACAAATCTCTATTTAATTTTATAAAATCCTGAAGTAAAGATAAAAATACAATGAAGAATAACATTTCTTAATTTTAATCTAATGGTTACAAATAATTGTTTCAGTAAACTATTACCAATGCTTTAAAATATTTACCGAAAAAAGTTTACATGGTGGTTATATTTGAATTTAATTTAATTAAAAGAAAAAGAAATGTGCATTATGAATCAGAAAAGATGCCCTTTGTAGCATCGTGTGTTTCTGTCCAGCAATTGATCGGTGATTCTGAATTTGAAGTCAAAGTATCAAAATTCAGAATAGCTGACTAGTTATAGCAGCTCAAAGTTCGAATATTTTTTAATTTGTATAAATTCCTATATCAATTATACAATTCAAAGGGTTTCTACCAATAAGTACACGAGCGAAGGTTGGCGGCACTACGATCGTTATTCATAAGTTATGGAGATAAAGAGTTTTTAGTGGTTTCCAATGTAATTTCTCAACAATTTTACTAAGAATCTTGAAAAGCCACAGTAAGTATTGTTTAATTTACTTCATTATTATATGAAACTACATTTAGTAACGCGTAAAATGATATCTCATAAAACTCTAATAGTTAATTTGAAGTGTCATAAAAGTAGTACTGGTATACTGGTAAAAGTTGTACTGGTATAAATTCGATAAATTGGATTGGTCGAATTTAACAAAAAAAAAAGCTTATAAATATTTGGTTGTTTAATTTTTTAGATCACTGAAAGAGGCAAATATGGGACTACACTACTCGGACAATAAGACTTAATCAGTGTAGTAGAGTATTAAAAATTCCTAAGCTCTGATGAGATATATATTAATAAGAAAAATAAAAATGATAGAGTCGACACTAAGTTTTTTGATAGGAATCTTATGCTTCCTTTCAAGATAGAAAAGTTATTTGCTAATTATATAAGTGTTAAAAGAGATAGTAAAACCTAGAAAGAGAAGATCCAATATCATGAATCAGATCTGGATTTACAGTGAGTGAAAGGAAGAGGGAAGACAAACCAGAGTAAAAATGGGATGAAAGGAAGAGGTAGATGAAAGGGGATGGGAATTCTGAAAAAGCAAGAGCAAAGTAGAGAGGTCACTGAAGAGGTCTAGACAGGGGAAGGAGGTAAAAAGGAATATTTTGAGGAAAAGAGAAAGCACAAAAGGATATGCGAAAAGAACAAAAAGGAAAAAAACAAAAAGAGAATACGAGAAGATATTAGAAATTATGGATGAGAGTGAAGTATGGAAATATATGAGGAAGGAGAAAAAGCGAAAGTCAAGCTTACTGTTTTTTTTAGTTCAGACGATTCTAGCAGATATCGTGCAATCCCGTTCTCTTATTACTGGTGCAGATACCGCCACTTACATAGTGGAGTGGCGAAAAGAAATTTTTAATGTATTATTTCGAAATTTAATAATGTAGGAATAAAACGTAAAAAATTTGTTTATTGTATTTATTGTAGTCTTCTTTAAATAAAATCTTTAAAATGAGGTATTTTGCGAGCATTTTAACCCGAATCACCCATTAAAGGTTTGCCTTATATTACTATTTGAACAGCATTGTTGGAGAGTTGTCCTCCCCGTTTGAAAAGGAAATTTATACCCTTCGGTGGTGTTCAAATATTAGATAGAAGAGGACCAGTCGTGGGATTGATATTACAGCGCCTGTGAAGATTTTAAGGAACCTGTCATTCGAAATTAGGTCAAAAAATGTATATGAGCTGTGGTCCTTGTAATATGTAGCTAGAGTGTTTCAACAGTAGTTATTATAATTGCTAAATTTAAACTGTTCTGAAAATGTAAAATTAATTAGTAATTGGGCCATTAAACGGACGTCGTAGTATAAAGTTATTATTATTATGCTATTATAAAGTTATATGGCAACTTGTTGGTTTCTCGCAAATTTGGTTGCACGAATGCACTTTTTACCACCTGAATTATTGATAGGTCATTTAGTTGACTAAATCTTACATAAGCACAGTACACCAAGAGTTGGTTATCGAATAGTAGAATTTTTTTAAATATGCATATGTATATATGTACATTCTACGAAAATTACACGGTAATATTTTGCACATCACTTTTTGCGGCAGTTTCTTATTCTGACTTATTTTAGTTCCCATTAGAGTCCTGGCAAGAAATTTTGTTGAATCCTTTAAAATTTATTATAGGAAATAGTTTATGTCAATGGAATCTGTGCCTAAAAGTCAGAAACTGTCTTCGAGATGTTATAAAGTCTTTGGATACCGTATAGACTAAGGAATGTGAAGTAAATCATCTTTTCCCTTTTAATCTCTATACTTATATACATTTCTATTGCAACAAGTTTTTTTTTTAATTTCCAGGTGGTCGACGAATGGTTCGAATTGTTGAAAAATCGCTTCAAGGAAACGCCGGACGCATGCGTAGCCGTACATTGCGTTGCTGGACTCGGTAGGGCACCTGTCCTTGTGGCTCTAGCTCTTATTGAGCTCGGTCTTAAGTACGAGGATGCTGTAGCTCTAATTCGAGAGTAAGCAGACTGATTAAATATCTTTGTTATAAAGTTTAAAGGGGACTGGGGAGCATAAATGTTGATGTATAATGAAATGTATATTTTGCAAAGTTAACCAACATTTTGACACTACTTTAGCAACACTTAGTCTGAAAGCAACGGATAAATCCAACTTGAAAATTTTTACATGTGTCAAGTTGATTTTAAATTTTTAAGTCGTATTTCTTCTTTAGCTTAGATTAATAATTGCAAAAGTAGCGTTGAAATGATTGATGATCATGTAAAATGTGATTTCGAATCCAATTAAGGAAGAAATTTCTACCGAGTTTTTGTTGTGTCCTGCATCGTGAGGCAAGTTCCCCAGTCCCCTTATGAAGCCAGACAGTTGGCAGATCTTGAACTTAGGCGAGGTGCACTTGCAAATAATGGTAGATAAATTAGGTATTTCTAAAAGATAAATTACAATTTCTGTACCATCTGTACCCAGGTAGATGTTATCATACTGTTCATTCTGAACCGGACGTGAATAGCAGGATTAGATTTTTCATAAAAAATAAAAAAAGTTTTCCTTTCAAATGTTTAGGTCGAAATTTCGTGATATTATAATTAAGATTAAACTTTTCAATCATTAGATTGTTCGCCTTGAGTTGCAAAGGGTTTTCGGGTAGAATGTCGCCCTAATTTTTATCTCTTTTACTTATATTTACATTTTTGAAGCATTGTTACAGTCTCTGCTTTTCAGAATGTATTTGAATCATTTGCTTACTATTTCAGGCTGTAGAAAATATTTTAAATTGTCGGCTGTTAGGAAATTTCGCTATTGTAAATGCAAGATAGTCGTTAGAATTCTGCAGCTTTAATAATGTTCAAAATATTGGAAGAATTTGATTTATTATTAAATAATAAAGAGATATTGTTTCTCTGTTACCAGAAAAAGGCGAGGAGCTATAAATGCGAAGCAGCTGGCCTATTTGGAAAAATATCGTCCCAAATCCCGATTGAAATTGAAGAATGGGCAAAAAAATTCGTGCTGCGTCCAGTAAACAACAACTGGTGTATTCGGAGTCATATAATTGATATACTTATTGTATACCTAATTATATAGGTTAACATGTCTAGTGACAAGTGACGTATCGCTCCTATTGGATTCCGAATGGCTTATCAGTGGAAATGCAACTATTATGTTGCTTGTTTATTTGAAAAAGATGAATTTTAAGGTGACGAATAATAAACTATTTTGGACTGACCTCATAATTTCCTACGTCCCTTATTTCTTTCCCTTTTTTTAAAGACAAAACCGCATGGAATATGTGGAAGTGTTTTATGCAATCGACGTAGTAGAGAAGCATGTACGTACGCACAAAAGTCTGTATAAATAATGTTGGAGTAGTCTCTTAACTCGTTGAGCTGGAATTGGTAGGAGAAATCAAGTTTCTAATCTCTTACTTTAAGCTTCTTCTAGCACTTGTGGTTCCAAAAGAGCGCATTCACAAAGACACAAGAAGTTTATGTCATATACCTGTAAAAAAATTCTAAATAATCAGTTTTTCGTCAGTTAATCAGTGACAGTTTATCAGGTTGAAATTTATAGAGTAAATGAAATCCTGAATGTATAAAAAAGTCAGTAAGTTTTGCAGATATCCAGCACCTATGCTATCAATTCAGTACATGTCCGAAACTTCATTCTTTGTTTGTAGCAGCGAATGCATAAGATGGGACCGCACAGTTCATGCGGTTGTATATGTATCTTATTGTTAGGCAAACTTGTTTGCCCAAATATTTTTATTTACTCATTGTCAAGCCGTCACACTCAATAGGACTAGAAAATTGTTTGAACGTGTAACAAATTGTATCGGAATAACTGTTTTTTAACATTACAAGTAATTGAAACAATTTTTGAGGAAATTGCGATTATTATATATATTGTATTTCTTTTTAAGAAAGATTTTATTACCTAAGATTTATTCATTCTAGCTGACATTAATAGGATGGGAGAATTACATAAATCTTTGTTGTATGTTGCATTTCCAATGACATGCCTAGTCGATTGATGATGTCACTCTTATTACACTGAAATTTTTTGTTAATTCAAAAGATAAGAAGCCTAAATGGCTACGGAAAGGCGAAGTAAGTTACTCCAGAGCTATATATCACTTTTTATCACAGCTTGGCGAAACAACTTTACGAGAATCTGCGAAAATATCTGCTCGATGAGTATCTTTGAAAAGTTCAACGAGTAACCGCGCGGATTATTATTTTTAAATTAAAAAGATAGAAATCGAAAACGACTGTAGTACAGGCTGAATTGGTCGATGATGTTGTAGCTATTATTTCGTCTGTGATTCACGTAAGATTGCTTGGCCAGATGCTGGGCGCCACACTCAACTGTGTTCAAAAATAGTAAAATTTCACTTCTACAAGACAAAAACTTTACAATTTAGATTGTGGATTTATAGGTCTATCATTGCGAAGCAAATATATGTGTGTTTACGTTTACACTTTTCTTTTATGCGCTTAGTTTCTGGGGACTGGGGACTGGGGACTGCTACCCTTATATTACATTTTTCCCGTTTGCACTATACATTTTTCACTATTTGAAGTATAATTTAACGACTACAACCGGAAAAATAATTTTTGTAATTTTGAGCCTAAGGGTTTAGAATTCGAGACACGACTTCTTACTACGTACTCCAATAATCAATCGGTTGATCAGCCATTCCCTAGTCCCTTGAATAGTCGCGTATAAAACATGAATTTAGTTGCTATAAATTTTCTATGATAAGAATCCGTTTCTTCGCAATTATTATTTATGAAATCTTTATACTCAGAATGCACATGGGACGGCTTGCATTCGTTTATCTATTTCCACTTTTTACGGATATAAAAACACATAATTTTGTATATTATTGATCCACTAATAATAATATTAATAAACGCGTATATTTGCCATATGGTTGTACATCTAATATGAAAATTTCAAATTATACACACGCAACGCACTCCTGTTTTTAAAGATTTTCGAAAACATGCAGTATTTTTACCAGAGGATGAAGCACGAGGGAATCACATATTGGTCTGTGAAATCACGTCAATCCCTGATTGACCAATTTAAAAATTGAAATAAATGATACTATTAACAATTCTATAGTTCATCGTATAATTATTTAATTATATTTATAATTAAATACAGGTTTTTCTTTAATGATGTGTTTATTGTTATTATTTGTAACTGCCCTTAATGTCTTTAAATGAATATTCATTAAAAAGGTCGTATTGTGAAGGTAAGTCTATGAAATTTGTCTGGCAATTCGCTCCTAAACATAATTTTTTATTCACCAAAATTAATTGAAATATTCAATTCTTTAGCAGTCTGTATACTCAATGATGGATTTCACCATTTTTTTTAAATTATAAAGGTAATGGAAATTAAAATTGGCCTCCAAGCAAAGATGCTTAGGGATAATAAAGATAATAGTTAGACTGTCGAGCGTCGTGCATTCAATGCTTTAAAAAAGATAAGAGAGGCAAAAGCTGGAGAAGCAAAAATTCGCTGCATGAGTATTCTACGGAAAGATGGAAGGATTACTGCCTGGCCCTGAAATAACTAATTTGTTGTAAGTAATGAAAATGTATCATTGAACATAAGATAGCAAGACCTAAAATTTGTTCATTTTTCTCAAAAAATTTTTAAGTTGGTGCAATTGATTTCTCAAAAGTTACCAAATATATTGAATTATAACTTTACATAATTATGAAAAACATGTCTCTTTATGACATGGACTTTACACATATGCCTTCTTGCAGCTTGTTACAAACTTCATCTGTGTAACGTTATATCTGTATCGTTGAGTGTTCTGCGTCTACGGTTAAAAGTTGTTCACAGTTTGGAATCCCCTTCGAAAGTCCTATAGTCTGCAGTTTGTAAAATGGACTCTCGCTGTCCGTGGAGGCTGGGCTTAGATTGTGCGTTTTGGATCTGCAAACAACTTGGTCCACGGGTTCACTCGTAACTTTAATACTTTATAATAATTGTTTCCCGGCTATATCTTTCTCCTTAACAGGGGTTTCCCTTGGATCTCACGGCTCAGGGATTTCCCCCACAACAGCTCGCAGTTGGATCACGGAGGGGCAGTAACTCCTTTATGAAAAGGTACTGCTTCACGGAAATAGTCACGGAGAGGCCCATTTCACAAGATTTTTTAATTTATCTTTTTTCTTTTTCCCTACACACTTCGTTCTGTTTTTATCCCTTTTTCATTCCCTACATTTTTTTTGTACATCTCCTTAATGCAACTTGCATTGCACTTGATATCTATTACCCTTAAAATACACGTATTGGTCCAGTTTATTAAAACAGAGAGAGATAAGTATTAGAATGACTATGGCCCTTACTCATACCTCTCTTTTAGCGTTAAGAGAAGTCTATTAGTCGTTAAAAAAACAGCAGATCACAGCAGTCACTTGTAGTTAAAAGTCACTAAGAAAAAATTTAAAAGCGCGCTATTAGCACTAAAAGCGAGTTCTGAATACGAGCTTATGACTTTAAGGTGGAGACAATAATCGGAAAATTCTATCGAATGCTTTTGTGCTACGAATTAATGAAGTCGAAAGTAAAGAAAAAAAAGAAACGATAAAACTTATGAATAGGCTACTATAAACTGTAATCGATAATTAAGAATTTTTCGAAGTCTGTAGGATTACTGATCCCGGACCCTGTTCCTCTTCGAGTATGTAAATGCCCATACATACCAGAAGTTATTTATCTAACAGTAAGCGAATCAAAATATTTAATAAAAATTTGTATAACTGTCTATATTTCATGCATTTTCCGGCCGCTTAGTTTTCTGGTGCTCAGCTACCGTAACAACCGAATATGTCAAGATCTACATCATCAAACCAATCAAAAATCGCAATCGTTCTGGCGAAGACGACGTAACTGCTAATCGAATTGGGCTAAGGCCATTATTTTCATCATAACGAATGATACGCAATTGATTACCAGCTCCTGTTGGGAAAATACTACGATTGATTACCTCGGAAACGGCGTTCATACAAGTTAATTTATTTAATCTTTTCATTGTAATTCCTAAACATCAATAAATTGCTAACTGGGACACGTACCCCAGAAATTTATTTCGAGATTCAAGAAATCACGTGTAAAAAGGAAAACGCTAAGTTTTAATAATTTTACATCAATTGAGAACAGCAACAAAGAGATTAGAATACTTTTCGGACCGCTTAACGATTAAAGGCAGAAATAGAACGTGGTTAATTTTGCAGAGTAATTTAGAAATATTTCATGAGGAGATTCTTAGCAACAGTTTATTTGCATTACAATACAAGTGATGATACTTAAATCAATCATCACTCACACACATGCTCTCTCTCTTTCACTCTCTCACGCATAAGCATCCTCTTCTTTTTTAAACCACAAGTTGTCACTCCGTTCAGAGGCATGCAGTATCCAGCAATTAACCCCTTCTATCACACTTACGCTCTAGCACTTAACGAACGTCGTATCAACCAAACATATCGCGGCCAATTAAATGGATATTTGTAAAAAATATTAAATAACTTGAAGTTTATTTTGTACACTATAATTCATTACGATGCAATGCATCCCGGTGTGTAGCACACCTAATTTCACAATGTTTACAAATGGCAACATCATTCCCAGTACTAGCAGTGCAAGAGCATTGATGGTGATGGTGATGTTGCTGTATAATCCTTCCACTCTGAAAACGGCAGAGGTAAGTAGAAACCAGCCAACAGCGAATCGGCATGTTTTGTCTTGTGAAATATTAATACATCTCTTTCTATATTTTCATAAGACATGTTACTACCGTGTCCTACTTTGTGTGCGACGTCTTCTTGCAGTTCCTCATGGCAATATTAGTGCTAACATTTTTTTTAGAATTGAATCATCGAGAAGTTGCAGACTATAGCAAGGAATTCAAGCGGGAAAGTTTGCAAAGAAATACTTCATATCGAAACTGGAGGAATGTAAAAATTATCGTTTCTTACGAAACGACTAGAATAGTTCGTTCATAAAGGTGGTGGGAATATATCGCAAAATGCGTTTCCCTATTTGTGTTTCTTAAAAAAGTGCAGCAAAAGTACTCAACGAACAAAGAGAATCATTGAAACACAGAAATATGATTCGTCCTCTTCTTTTGATGCATTATGTAAAATCTGTTGCTTTCTTGAGAAATTATATACATCTGATGTGACATAGATATCTTCTGTTAAAGCTTTCACTTCAATTAATGACATCGATGGGATTGAGTTATGTAAAGAATTGCATGAATGCAGAGACTGCGAGCCGCACATATTTGAGTGCGTGTATGTACGTTATGATCATACGTATACGCGTAAATGGGCACGTGACTTGCAGTGTTAAATGCGCATCATATAGATGCACGTGCGTGTACCTCCGTCCTTGCCTTTTTTTTCACACGATGTTGTGTAAAAATAATTTAAGTATATACTTTTTGTCGTTATATCCGGTCCCCACAAGGAGAAAATAAAGTGGACCGCCGTTGATGTTTTACCAAGCACCTAGAGAAGCACTGCTCGTCTTGCAATCGATTTGCTGTCGTGTGGGATCGGCATAAACCAACCCAAACTCAACGACAAATTCATAAAACTTGTCCAAAGATTCAAAGGCCAATTCCGCGATGATGAAATCAACCGCCAAATTTTGCCGGTAGCTAAACAGCAGAAGAAATAAGTACGTTAGACAATAATATTTTTTTAACCAGAAATAAGAGAGCGTTCAAGGAGATCGAATTAAGATGACCAGTGATATTTTTTCAGAAACACAAACTTCTACAGTCGAATAGTAAAACCTAACATTACCGAAGCAATTAGAACATGACATTTTTCTTGGAAAAAAAAATCTTCAACTCTACGAGTGATCGAATATAAGTAAATACTCCAGATCATCTTATTTCCATCAATTAATAAATATTATTTCACAGCAATGTTGTCCTGAAACAGAAATTTAAATATTAATATATCCTCCTACTGCGTGGAAATTTGTCGATGACTAAAACTTGACGAGAACAAAATACTCCATATATTAAATCAATCGAACTTCGTAAGCTTTTCTCTAATCCAGCGTTACTTAAACTTTTTGGCCCAGAGAGATAATTCTGAAAAATTTATTGTCCATTTTACTCGAGTAAAAGACAGACTAGAAAAAAGGCAAGTTTATGTCCTTTGAATATCCGTTTGTGCTTAACTTTATCTTATTTCTTCCATGAGAGAGGGGGTAAGGACACAAAAAGTCCTGAAGCTCGAATTCAAGATACGCTGTGCTAATAACACGTTACTCAATATAATCATCTATTTTAAATAATAGACAATAATAGACAACTGCGTTATTTTCCTTTTTAATAATAGAACAACCAGCGTTGTTTTTGGTGTATTTAGGCATCTTATATACAGAACTTCGAAATTAGAGCGTTTGATGGAAAATAAATTGGTATATATATATTCGTTCTTTTATCTCAACAAAAGTCAACATAAATTCTGTAAAAGCATCTTCATAATTTCTGTAATTTGAAACAAGAAATCTAAAAACCGTCAATTTTACGCGTTTGGTTCTAGCGTTAAAATAGTTTTCAGTACTTGTCCAGAATATGATCTAAATATATTCCAGTGAATGTGAAGTTGAATACATTTAGAAAAGGTATTTTAAAATCTCATTCGTAGCGTTCGCATAAATATGTATGATTTGTTTGATAATACAACTACTAAAGACAATTACAATACGGGACTGTTGAAGTACTGATGCCTATGAACTCAGTCTGATGTGAAACATCTAATGACAATATCGAATGAAAACATTTGAAGCTTAGTTATATACGCATAAAAGCAACAAATCCGTATCAGTCAGATAATTAATTTAGCAAGCAGAGTGCGTGCTAAATGTTTTAATATTTCAACAACAGTTTATTCAAAATCTAATCGCAGACAAGACGTTTTTAATCACATTTTTTTTGTATGTTTATGTATTCTATCTGAAATAAAACCAGTACATTCGACTGTATAAGTTTTTAGACACCCTGAAAATAAAATATGTAGATTTGTGTTCAAGGAAAATGTCTTAATTTGGACGAAATCAAAATATTTTCCCTGTTTTACAACAATTATTAATTTTATAACACAAATGGAAAACTATATGGAACACAAACTCTGAAAATGAATGATATACGTAAAAGTGAAAATGATTACTAGATTTAATACGTACGACTTGATCATGAGTTTTAAGGCATTTTTTCTTTCTCTGGTAATAAACCAGTCCATCAGGAATGCTGCCATTCTTGGTGCCTTACTGTATAGCTTGAAAAACGCATGGTAATTACCCAACCACCAGGCGGATCGTACTTTTAATGCGTGTTTTATACATTCGTCATCCTTATCTTTGTCTGACAGGTCTGCTAAAATTGTAGTTAAATCTGCACAATAAAGAAAAAAGAAAAATTATAACTTATAATACTCCAAACTTTACTTGGTATATCTAAAGTGTATAACAATTTTTGAAATATACGACTTTATACAGATTAACTTATTATCGTTTAAGTACTCGATTTTGTCCGATATTTCTGGGGACTTCTTAATGTTCAAAAATACTAAAACAAAGAACATATTGGTGAGAAGGGCCAGCCCTCGTGTATTTTGTGTTTGTAGTGAAATATATATTTCAACCCTCTTCATAATTTCCTACTAACTTCACACGATTCCGTCTAGCACAAGCATTGACTCACAAGTCTTGAGCTTTAATGGTGCGAGGAATTAAGTAAAATATATATATACATATATATATTATAGGTATATATAAATTGTCAAATATTTCTCGTCGTATGATGTATATGAAAAGCAGATGAACAACAAATTCATCCTGACTATCGTATATGTATGATTTATTATGAAAATAATGATATACATTACCTTGAGTGTTTTTTGTGAAGATATAATACAATATTCTGTATGCGATGAATTCCAATCGGTTTTCCCCACCAACGTCTTGGTAGAGCATTCGTAATTGCGTTTGGCATTGGTTAAACTCTTCATGATCGCCACGTTCTAGAGCCACACGCGCATGTGTCTCATAAACGTGAACTGTGAATGGATCTCTAATACCTTGGACAGTCAGGTCTTGACGAATAGACTTCAGTTGATCGCATGCGTATCTATAATCTTGATCGACGATCCAGCGCTTCTTCACGTGAACCAGCGAATTCCGAAGTACACTTACCGGTCGCACGGCAGAAGCTGCGGGAGCCTGAAATTTGTAATGTGAATTTTCCGATTACTACAACCCCGATCAGAACTTTATTATATGTCAGAAGATATATTTTAACTGTTATATATCGCAATATAGAACTGTGTGAAACAGGTGGAATAAAAGTTACCGATGTCAGACGCAGATAAGGTTTTTCAAGATCCTTGCAAGTTCCGACGATATGAAGTCCCGTGAAATCAAAATCGGTTGTAGTGTCGTCCCTCGTTCCGTTGTTGCCGCTCCTAGAAACCGTCTCGTGAAATCTAGCTGCACGTTGCTGCAATTTTTCCTTGGATCCAAGATCGTCCATATTGCCTGTAGCTAAACCAAACTCGGAATAGAAATGCGACTTAGCCTGCTTAGTCTTCTTAGTCTTCGTCTTATTCCCGTGATTTTGTTTGCTGCGGTTTGATTTTTTTATCCTCGATGATTTGTAATCGTATTCGCTAACGTTGGAAGAAGATGAAGTGCTTCGTTTGTATTTGCGTGTAGGTGGACTGCGCGACCGCGAACGTGATTTTGAACGTGAACGAGACCTTGACCTTGACCGTGACCGTGACCGTGATCGTGACCTTGATCTTGACCTTCTGTGATTCGCAGAGAGACGAGCGCCAAGCCGAGCCCCGAGAGATGTGGAAAGGCCTGGCTTGCGCAGGCCCCCCTGCGCACTAGCCAATGGATTCGTTAGCTTTAATTGTGGATTTTGGGCTTTAATCGTCATGGTCATGCGCTCGCTATGTATACTGGGCAGAGGCTCTTTATCCCAGTCCTTCACCCAAAGGGAGCCGTCGTTAGCAGCCCGTGTGATTTTACCCTTCAATATTATCTCAACCTGATCCTTATCGACAGCAGTTTTGCATTTTTCATAGCATCGATTAACATAATTCTTCAAACTGTCAGGCCAATCTCCAACAGGATTCTGACTCGATACCCCAGTTGAAGTACGTACCATCGGCCTGCTGGTAGTCGACGATATGTTTGTCGTCGGTGTTGTCACTGTCGTTGTTGTCGTCACTGTCGTTGCTGCAACGGAAGGGGCAGGATCCGAGGATTTTTCTGTTGGTGGTGGTGGGAGTGGTGGTTCATGCTGCACGGGAGGCAGGGGTGGTAACTCGGATTTTAGGTTTGGTCCCGGAATAAAGTTCGAAGTCGCCGTATTTCCCTGAAAGCTATTGTTGAATTGTGCCGCAAGATTTTTATTCCTCTTACGTTTTTTTTTCGCTGCCCCACTATTGCCGGATGGCGTGAAACCCAGGCCAGTTTTCTTGTTTTGTAGATTAAATCTTATTTGTCCGTTGAATGCTGAAAATAATAAAAATGATTTTTTTTTTTCAATAAAACCATTATAAATAATATACATTAGATATTTTATAAAGCTTTTCATTACGATAAACGTAGATATTAGCTCCGAATTCGATGAGGTAGAAAACAAAATACGTAAACATGATCTCCTATTTGTTGTTTTCAGATTCAGAATTTCAGAAGACTATGCTACTTTGAGAATAACAATTTATCAGACTAAATATTAATTAGAGATAATAGTGACATTTTAAAATAATTATAATTGATGTACGAATACTGTTTGTGCTTATTGCCTACAGCTTCATCATCTGTTAAATGTAAATTACTATTGGGAGTAAGTGTCACCTGTGTGAAGTTAGCTCAGCACTTTTTGTATTAATATATTTTTTTAATTGTATAGAGTTGTGCTCCGTCTGTGCTAATTTGTGCCGGTATACCGGAGTTGGTAACCTTAAAGAAGTTGATCGAATAAATGTAAAAAATCGAAATTTGTGCCAGCCTTACACTTTTTGAAACCAAGACTTTTAAGCACATACGGAATTTTGCAGTTTGCCCCGGTCCTTAACTGTTACGGTTTGTGACAATTATAATCCACATCATTCCTCTTTTACGAAAAGATAGTATTTAATTTATGTAATAGTGTGCCGTCAATAAAAATTGTACACAACTAATCCCCTATCGGAAATAATTGCCGCTGACACAAATTGTGAAAACCCTGCGAAACGTAATGTGAATGAAATGAGAAATATCGAATTTCGAAAAAGTAGAAGTTGTGCTGTGTTGTGCTGCGCGAACGCAACAACTTTTCCTAATGGCAAAACCTTCTCAAAGCAACTCTTCGCGGTATTCCTTCCGAAATTCCAATGTTCACAGTTTCGGAGTAACGCTAAAATGCAATCTCCGGGGAATACGGTGAAGGGTTGTTCTGAGAAGGTTTCACCATAAGAAAAAGTTGTTGTATTCGCGCAGCAAAACAGAATACTTCTACTTTTTCGAAACTCGAAATTTCTCATTTTATTCACACTACCTTTTGCAAGGTTTTCACAATTTGTTTAAGGGATCATCACAGTGTGACCGCCCGAAAAATAGCCGATTTTCGCGATTTTTAGGTGGATGGAATAAGGTAATCCGTCTAATTTTTTTTTTGTACAAATTGAAGCACCTATGAAATATACAATACAAAATAATTTTTAAAAAATGTCTTTATGTATTGTTTAACGTTGTTTTTATTTGTGGAAAATTGAATGGAAAAAAAAATGGTGTCCCATGGTGGCCAGGATTGCGGGCGCAAATTTTACCTCAAACAAAAACTTCAAATGGTTTATAAATCTGTAGGAAAGCCGCTATGCTTCTATGGAGGCTTTTTTTTTTTTAGTGAAATTTGAAAAAATGGTGTCCGTTTGAACAAAACGTATAAAATTTATCCTTTTTTTTCGACAGTTTTTCGTAAAAAAAATAGGAAGATTTAAAAAAAAAAAGAAAAAAGCTTCCATAGCAACATAAGAAATGACGTGAAAATTGTTCTGTTAAAATTTCAACTGGATAGCTTGAAAATTTTTCCTTTGAGAGTTGCCACCGTTTTGAAAAACACCATTCCGAGAAAAACGCGTTTAAAGTTCGGAGTGCGCCAGGTCTGACCGTCCAATCCCTTCTTCTAAGAAAGGCTGTAGCGACCGAAATAATTCGAATTTCGACATAAACATTGGACAGAATGTTTATAACAGTGTATACTATCAGATAATGAAAAAAAAAATCGATTTTTTGAAATTTTACACTGTGATGACCCCTTAACTACATCAACAGTTTTTTCGGACTCGCAGAGTGTTTTGAAAGCCCTACAGTCGTTTAATCTAGATGAATCCCGCTCATACTTTATATATTTGATCAAGCAAAAACTAAGCCAGGCCTCATTAAACAGGCAATCTATCCGTCTTTTTTGGATTCCGAGTCATTCGAGCCTCCGGGGAAACGACACGGCTGATCTTCTCAAAAAAAAAAAAAAATCGATTTTTTGAAAATTTTACACTGTGATGACCCCTTAACCATTGAACGGGAAGATGGAGTCAGCGGCAATGATTTCCGTTAGGGGGTAATCCCCCACAATTTTTATTTACGGCACACTATTGCACAAATTAAATACTATCTTTTCGTAAAAGGGGAATAATGTGGGTTATAAGTGCTGACCTGGAGAAATTTTTTTTGCCTTTTGTCACAAACCGTAACAGTTACGGACCGGAGTACAACTGCAAGATTCAGCACAGTACTTAAAAATCTTGATTTTAAAAAATGCGGGGCTGGCACAAAATTCAATTTTTTAAATTTATTCGCAAACTGTTAAAATTATCAACTGCGGCATACCGACACAAGTTAGCACAAACGGAGCACAACTCAATACACTTAAAAAAAAAATTAAATTCGAAAAGTGCTGGGCTAACTTCACACAGGTGTATGTGTCCCCTATGGGACTCCGTGGGAGAGTAACGATAGCTTAATCGTCAAAGCATTCGCTGGGAATTTGAAAATCCCGATCCAAGCACGAAATGTTCCAGCGAATCTTGCAATCGTAACAATATTTTGTATTTTTTTTTTCACAAAAATGCATAAATAAATATCTCTAACGAATAATGGTTTATTTTGTGTTAAAAGTAATAAAATCAGTGTTATCAATTATTTTCCTATGAAAACTGTCAAATGTACAAATACTCTTCACACGAATTATATCTTGTACAGCATTTAATTACCGATAATAGTATTGTTGTTTAGGTTAATCAAGCTCGATTGCTTAGGATTATCAGAATTAAAGTGTTTATATAATATCTTTTTGGATTTTAAGCTAATATTTGCATGCAGAGTTAACGTAGTATAACTATAAACTTACGAGAGTGGTCACTTTGCATTGTAGTCCAATTGCCATAAGGATAGGAGTTGTAAACAAACGATGTTGGATGCTGAAGAGTAGATTGAACTTGGCTATTTTGTTGCTGTGCTGACTGTGGAGGAGGTGGTGGTCCTGGAGGAAGTGGAGGAAGATCAGTCTCATCGTCGAGTACCACTGGAGTTCCAGGAACTGGTGGCTGCTGTTGCTGAGTTTGCTGCTTTCCTTGATTATTCTGAGAATGTTTTTGCTGTTGCTGTTGTTGCTGCTGCTGCTGATGTTGTTGCTGCATCTGCTGTGGATTAAAAGCTTGTCCATATCCTGGTATCATTCCTTGATTGTAATAATACATTTGCCCTTGGGGACTGTACCCTTGTCCATACATGTGCCTAAAATCAAATTTTTTGCATAATTGTGTGATAGGGAAATCAGTATTTATATAGATATACAATATACAAGATCAAAGCTGATTACTTTACGAATCAAATCTCGCTTAACATACAAATTTATATTAAATAGAAAATCCATATAAATGTGCAATTAGTTCACATAAAACTGGTAACTGCAGTATCTTTTATAATTTACTCCAAAGCGTCAAATAAGACAGGTAAAGTAAGAATATACTTACAAAATTTTAATAATTATGTTACTTACCCTGCATAAGGAGGGTAGAGATGCATGCTACCTGGAGGTGGATATTGCCAAGCCATATTTGCCATTGAATTTGCACCCAATTGCTGCTGCTGTTGTTGCTGTTGCTGCTGCTGCTGCTGCTGCTGCTGCTGCAATTGATGATGATGATGATGATTGTGATTATGATGATGCTGATGCTGCTGCTGTTTCTGCGATTTGCTGCTGCTGTTGTTGCTGTTGCGCATAAGGAGGGTAGAGATGCATGCTACCTGGAGGTGGATATTGCCAAGCCATATTTGCCATTGAATTTGCACCCAATTGCTGCTGCTGTTGTTGCTGTTGCTGCTGCTGCTGCTGCTGCTGCTGCTGCAATTGATGATGATGATGATGATTGTGATTATGATGATGCTGATGCTGCTGCTGTTTCTGCGATGCTACAATATCGCCTTCAGACATATTGATGAAACGCACGTCTATTGACGATCCACGCACAACTAACGCTTCACCTACCAATATGTTTTCTTAAATAGATATGAAACAAGCCCTTGTAACCCTCACTTAAGGCAATGTTATACAAATAAAAATACTGATAGACTTCAGAGAATTACGTCACTCACATAACCATGGATTGGTAGCCATCAGTAGCCATTACAATCCTGGCTTTCCCGTTTCAAGTGAATGCGTAAACGCAAGTAAACACAAACCTTCATTATTGGTTATTCCCAAAACTTTCCGTTAAAGCCAGCGAATAGCTATAACATTGGGTCCTCTCCAATAGAGGGACGACATGAAATTTGTCTAGGACATCGACATATAACATGGACTACGCGATCCCTACTTCAAACTCCTTGAAAAAATGTCCGCTCGAATAGATAAAGAGAGACTGAGATGGCGGCCAGTAGCACTCCTTTTCTAATGCTCTCATTGGCTACGTTTTCTATCTCTCGTACTACGGCTGCTGATTAGAAAGAGACAGGACTCGGCCACCACCAATCGCCATCTTTTTCTATCATCGGACCATTTTCCCAATGCTTATGCGTAGTCCATGCTATATGTCGATGGTATCGGGGACATCTTATTGGAGGAGTTAGCAATAAGGAAGGAAGGAAGAATGTCGGGGGTATCGCCTAAACCATAGCGTTGTGCATCTCCCCACTCATCACTGACAGAAGGAACACGAGCTCCACGTATACATACAGCTTCCTAAAATAAGAGGCACTAGTGTTCTGTATGCACCGAAAAAGTGAACTTTAAATTAAAAATCATATTTAATTAAGTACTTTGAAAATTATAAAATAAATACTTTAACTTAAATAAACAAATAATAAAAATGTGCAATGGCAATTACTTGTAAATATTTGACAGCTTACTTCACATGTATTTATTATGCTATATTCACGTCAGTAGAAAAGGGAAACTAGCGACGCTAGTGGCACAGAAAGAAAACGCAGTGTGGACGATATTTAGTAGCAGATTCTGTCAATTTTCCCATTTGAATTCGTGCTTCTTATGTAGTCTCCATGATTATACTTCTCCACCTTACAGATTTGTGATGTCAACAAAAAATCCAAAGGTTAGTTTGTATAGTGCTTCGCAGTGAATTAAATGAATGTCCCGAATGAGTAATAACAAGAAAAATGATGATCAACCGATTGACATTCCATCAACTTCTAAACAAGCTAAAATTGATTCTTCTATCAAAGGTACATATGAAAATATCTCGTTAACTATTATCAGATTTAGACTGAGGGTAATTTCGATACGTTATTTTTAGATGCTTTTAGCAATTTAAAGAAATCTAAATCTTTTAATGAAGATTTACCTGAACCTTCCAAATTAGGTTTATCCAAAACAAAAAAAACTGCAAATCTAAATGCTGTCATTGTTAATCCACGACAAGTAAGTTTAGTAATATAATTATTATATTTAACGTTGAGTACTATGCTTAGTAATTATTGTTTTTTTTTTTTTCTAGAAAGGTAACCCACTACTTAAATCAATAACTGTTGTCCCTTGGGAATATGGAGATATAACACCGGACTATGTGATGGGCAAAGGACTTTGTGCACTTTTTCTATCAATTCGTTATCATCAACTAAATCCAGATTATATACATAACCGCTTGAAATTATTGGGCAATGCATATGATCTTCGAGTACTTTTAGTTCAGGTATCCATTATATTTGTTATATATCACAAATTTTCAGATTAAGCATAGTACAATAAGTAATAGTAAATGGCATTGTAGGTGGATGTTGCTGAACCACACCATTCCTTAAAACACCTTACAAGAATTTGTATTCTGGCAGACTTGACGTTAATGTTAGCTTGGAATGCAGAAGAAGCTGGAAAAGTGATTGAAACATATAAGTGTTATGAAAATAAGCCTCCAGACATGATAATGGAACGCAATAACTTAGATCCACGCGAAAAAGTAAGATTATTCATCTATGTAAACAGTCATCATTTGTTACATATAAAATTTGATAATTTTAAATGATAATTAAGGTTGTTTGGTTTATCTTAGTAATTGAATCACTTTAAGTTACTTATAAAATTTTTCTTTGTAGCTCGTAAATGCATTGACTTCAGTAAGGTCTGTGAATAAAACTGATGCCACGAATCTTCTATCAAATTTTGGGACACTGAGTGATATTATTAAGGCCACACCACACAAATTGGAATTGTGTCCTGGATTTGGCACCCAAAAGGCATTACGCTTACACAAAATGTTACATGAACCATTTCTCAGAGATTCCAAAACTAAATTAACTTAAAAATATAGTATAAAATTGAATTATATGATAAATACATGATTGTGAAATAAAAATTTATAATAATGTCCAAATAGTGAAATAAAGAATTACTTTGTATATACAAGTTTGCTATGATATCCCAATTGAATTTACCCAATATAAGTACTATTTTGGAAGGTAAGCACATTGTGTGTATTGTTTGACTGTAAGCGAAAAACATTCTTGGAACATTTATCTTTTCCTTTACTCTTTTATAGATTTATCCCTTCAAAATTGGGTTTCAAAAATTGAATTGTTTATAATATTTTAATTGGTTGTAAATACTTAAAATTTAATGCCTAAGCTGCTTGTTAGTCGAATGAGAAAAGAATGGACCACCTACCACGTGGTCAGTAACTAATACAATTGCTTCCTTGTTCCCCTACTATTTCCGTACAGAGTGGAGTGGAGATTCAACCTTTATTTCTATCAGATGGTGCTCGTGTATTTTTGTGAGAAAACAACCTTTCCAATAAAAATTAGAAATGGCGGACGAGGATGTGAATGGTGATTCGGATGAGGTTCAACAAGAAAAGTCGCAGAAAAAAGCAGCAAAATACGATAGCGGTGCAGCAGATTTGGAACGAGTAACAGACTATGCTGAGGAAAAGGAAATTTCGTCGTCTGATGGTTTTTCTTGCGTAAGTTCCGTGGAATCCACGTGCTTTTTATTATTTGAGTTTATTTAAAATCCTATAACGTAAATGCAAATTTCTCACAAAATAAATGCTATGCAATCTATATGCATAATTATGTAAAATATTTTGTTGAAATATTTATTTATTATCATCCACAATTTTGATTTGAAGTCAAGCAACATAACCTCTTTGCTGTAAACATGTATTTTCAATCATTCAAAAAAACACACGTCACTATTACGTTTATACTATTCTTCCATACTTATATGTTAAATAAATATTTTAATAGGCCTTGAGTATAATTGGTGACCGCCGCAATAAGGAAGCTGCAGAAAAGAAGGCAAAGGAAAAAGAACTGCTCAAGGTCTCCATTAAAAAGGAAGATGTTGACCTCATAGTAAGAATATTTTTGAACGTATATAATAATTGCTAGTAATACATTTTAGAAGCATAATGACATACAATTTTTTATATACGAATAGCATCATGACATATGAGTCAAAAATTGTTTCAGATGAAGGAAATGGAAATCAGTAGAAGCTTGGCGGAGCATACTCTCAGGGAACACAGTGGGGATGTTGTGGAAGCTCTTATCACGTTAACCAACTAATTTTTCTTTGTTAATCAATTCCATGTCACAATTCCGAAAACCATTGTAAATTTTACAAATCATTCGAGTCACGACAGGAGTTTGGATTATGGATATCTATTGATATAAATTATAAAATAAACAACACAAAAACACCAGTTATTTATAATTTCCTCTGCATCTGTTCTAATATTAAGTTTAAATTTCATAACCTATTAGATACTGATATGAATTTTAGCATATATTGTGTTATTAATTTTTAATTATTAATATTTAATTACACTAGTTGTATAGTTAATGTTTGAGTCAAAATCATGTATCTTACCAAAGCAGAGAATATAGAGTTATTTCGTAATCAGGTTATAATCCTGAAATCATTCTATTTCATAAAGCAGTTAATTTTTTAATAACAATTTCATGTAATACTTTGTTGTATATTTACCTTAATGTTTAATATTAATATCTGTATTTCACACATGAAGTAATATACATTAATAAGAATGAAATAATTTTCAAAAAAATTTATTCCATCTACATCAGACTGCAGGTTTACACAGGAAGAAAGTTGAGATTGTTGTATGATTGATGAGAGACAAAAAGAGTAATCTGGCTGTTCAGTTATCAGTGATTGTTTTAGTATCAAGCGAACATCATCAAAATGGAGGTCTCTATCGCTGTTAGGTAAGCATCTGTCAACTTTGCAGAGACGTGACAGGAGGATAAATTGGATATCAGTTCTCATGCAAAAGTCGGTTTGCACGTACTCGCACGTCCGATCATGCGTTTCTATCTACATTTTTTCATATGTTTCTGTCTTACGCAATCAACAATCGAAAATGGTGCGTGTATTTATATTAAAGTGAAATACTTTTTTGCCTACTTTGTTTAGTTCATGCGCATGAAGTTGTGTTACATATTTTATAGTATTCCAAACGTGAAGGTGTTTTTTGTGGATACTTGGTAAACTTTAAACTTTGATAAACTCCGCGATTCATAAAATGTGCAGAATTTGGAATTCGTATATAATTTTTTAATCTTCGATTGTTTCTTCCCCAAAAACGGAGTCAGGTCATGATGACAGTACAGCTGATGATGTACGGTGTTTCCAGCTTTCCCGCCGTGTAAATTGCCATGATTCGAATATGAGATCGAACTTATTCGTCCACCTTTCGATAATATTATCTTTTGAAAAACTTCGGTGGCTCTACTTCTTTAAGCACCTTTGAAATTCACTGAGTCATTACATATTTCATCTTTCAAGACTGAAGATCATTATCATGAAAAATCTGGAATTGAAACGCGGTCGGGAGCTTTTTCCATATGCCTTTGTACTAATATTTCATTTTCAAAGAAACAATTAATCATTACAAGATCCATCACCGGGCCTGAGATTTTTTAACACGTTGCTATGTGATAAAATAGTAGTAATTAAAAAATCATTAATTTCCGAGGTCTATGGGTTCACGTTCGGTATACCTAAACACATCGTATTTTAGCCATAACGCATTGACGTTAGTGCAAGTACTTTTTTTTTATAAAATGTGACGATAACAGCCACTTTGTACGTGCCAATACTAAGAATTTAACAAATTCTTAAAACACAAATAACGTAAATCCAACAATAACCCAACCTCGTACGCTACTACTCACCTTGCCTATACATACATTGAAATTGTGTTTCTGTGTAATGGGAACGCTCAAATTTAGCGGTTTCAATTTACAATGAATCACGTCGATAGTAGAACCTGGTGCATGATATTTCTACAGATCGGGATCTTGTTTTTCGAAAATGAAATTGCGACGAAGTATATTTTGCATGTGTGCTAAAGTATTTATCAGTTATTCAGAAGTGCTTATTCGAAGCTTACGATTTATCAATTGTTATCTTTGCACATTTATTTTTCTATCGTTGCCGAGAGTCTTGCTTAAGACAGTAATTTGAATCGTATCGTGACTAATACATTAGCTTGCAAATACATAGATAAATTAAATTAAGTCATATCAAATAATAATTGTAAATAATTCACATAACAAACTCTACTCGTGGCATATTCTGTTCCATACGTTTTCTCCTACCATAGAACTTTCATTTTATTTTCTACAAATTACAGATTTGAACTCGATGGCATATACTGCAACCGCATTCGCAAACGAATATGGAATTAGCACCAGCGCAAATTGCACAAGTATGTTCATCGGGCCATCTTGTAGCTGCATCAACTGTTCAGGTATCTATTTCAATTAACACCTAATTGGCTGCTAATTTTATTTCACCATACCTTTTACGTTTATACCATATTTCTTATTAAATTCGATTGATTCCACACTATTTCCAATTGTTCATCAATATCCAATAATTCCTGAAATTTTATTTTAATCCGTGAATCGGCCACGTGTAAGAAGCACAATAAACGTGTAAAGTATAATCGATCTATAGTAAAAAAAAATAATATTGGCGGTCAATAAGATGTAACTAATATCAGCCATACACGCTACGGTCTACCGGAGAGGTCTACCTGCGCAGGCATACCTGTGCATAACACTTACAATATTATTTGATTTTTGACACTGAAGTTCAGTGTCTATTTCACAGTAAAAAAAAAAGATTTTCAGTTAATTATAATGGTGATTATTCTTTGCAGCTGATAAATGCACCCTCTGCTGCAATTCACCCCGCATCAGATGTTGTGAGTGCTATATGTGCGACAGCACAAATTGCAGGTAGGTATAGATGAGCTGGGAACGCATATAAATACTTCAAAATTCTCGAAGGCAGGTTGATACGTATCTGATAAAACTTTCAGGGTCACCGACTGGGAATTGGTAACTGTCACCCAACTCATAATGTCTTCGGTACTATTTCTCGGTATAGTTATTACGATCATACTTTTCTTCAGGGTCTGTCAAAGGTAACTATTTCCAAAGAAAAAAAAATGACTACTTGCCACAATTAAATTTTGTTAATTCTGTTAACTCAAATTCTGCTTACACGTATTATTCAGGGACATGCAGACGGAGCAATCGAGATCTGATTTGTTGATATCCGAATGTGGCGGTGATAATGTCAGCATAAATTCTATACAGCGTTCCATTTTGGAAAGATTACGAGATAGACCGCCAAGGTACAATGAAATTTATGGCGCACCGCCGCTCTACAATTCCGCTAGCAACAGAGTAAGTTTCGAAATATTTCTCTACGCAGGATGTCAGAAAATAGAATACATTCTGGATATATATATATATTATCTAGAACAGACTAAATTTCTGTTCTCTAAGAAATAAAGCCGTAAATATATGGCAAGCCGAAAAGAATCTTATTTCATTGTGATGTTAAAAAAAAAACGCGTTCCATTTCGACTAGAGGGAAATGTATATGATAAAATTTTTTTGTTTAAAAAAATTGATACCTAGATTTTGGTGTTCGGGGGGATATTGCATTTTTCACAGGCAGCGATGACGGAAGCACCTCCAGTTTATGAAAGATCTTCAGCAGATGATTCAGTGGCATCAAGTAGAATAGCTGCACAGGGACAAACGAGTAATGTGCAGACACCACCGGTCGCCCATTACATATGACTGTCGAAAGAAGGACGAGTTTTTTTGCCAGCATTGTACATATTTATTGTATAAACAGTAGTAAAGGACTATTGAAATAATCAAAAGAAAATGTACTTCTCGACACTTCTCTTTCACATCGTTTTGTACGGTGTTTCACGGACTGAGAATGAATAATCTACTTTGATAGAAGTTACCGGAAGCTACACCGTGCTATAAGTATCGTGATATGCTTAGTCCCTCCGATACGACCAATTGTTCGTTTAATTGTTGTTGAAAAAGTATTCGTCAAGAGATTATTCATTCCCAGAAAGAGTAATAAGTATACAGCACGGAGTTTCGCTAAAGGCGGATGCAATTGCTTAATTGGAATTGCAATCAGTCTGATATCTGATATAGCTGGCTATCCAGCTGAGTTCAATACCGAAAATTGATAGGTCCGCTTGTATCGTGCGTATGTCCAGAGGCTGTAAAGACTACGAAAAAGAATGTTATCAGGGATAGTGGGAATCACATTGACGTTTCAAAAATTATATAATGAAAATGTAATTTATTTGATGTGGTGCAATGACTTAAAATAAATGGAAAAATGAACGTCTGTATGAGCTGGGATTGATGAGCAGCACTGTGCACCAGTAACTACCACTACCGTACCGTTCGTTACAAAAAGCTTCGAGTTTTAAATGCAACATATAATGGAAGTGTAGCGTACAGTGGTGCAGTGGTAGCCCTTGACACGAATGTACTGATTTTTATGATGAGGTAACACTTGTCTTACTTGTACTTAGTTTATCAAATTATCCAGTCATACGCTCATATATTCTTGCTGCAGATTGATCGTTATTCAAGAAACTCACGAATTGTACGGATAATATTAGCCTTTAGGAAAGAAAGACAGAAAACGTTCGGTAGTATACAAATTTTCACAAGAAATCGTCCAACAATCCCAAGGCTAGATGAAATTTATAAGAGCAAACAGCTAATGTGTAAAATAACTTAATTTCACCAAACTCGATTCTCCAAATGCATCTTTGTCCCTCCTTCCCGTGAAACTTAGTCTATACTTTTTGATACGCTCTGAAGAAAAATCGGGTACAAGCCGGAATTTCCTTGAAATAACAAAAAATAAAAATTTTGTTTTTATTAAATAATTAACTGTCCATTGTGATTACCATTTGCTGTGCCAATAGCTAATATTTTTTAAATTTGTGTAATCACACTAATACGAATCTCTAGGGTACAGAGAGACAGAGGATGCATGCAATTCGTGTGCATCGAGTTTAGCTTAACGGGTCGAATAAAAGCGGGGCCGAAATTAGGCGAATCGTCTTACCATGCGTAAAAGTATGGTTCGCTTCTTATAAAATATAGTCGACAGCAGATATGTACAGTAAAAAGCTTAAAGGCGAGCGAGAGAAAGGGTTGTAAGAATTTTGAAAGAGAAACGATAAATTGGGTTCGGGGG